CCAGGAGTCTCGATTGTAGGGGGGGGGTAATGTCGTGGGCGTAGCCCCGGCTCCTATTTATCCCATTTTCTCCGATTTATTCCACGTTTGTACGACCCTCAAACGTCGTCGGCGCATTAGCGCCAGTTTACAAGTCCTAGCCGTGCGCTAACATCAGAGAACGCATCACCGACAGGCACGCATCAGCGCATCAAACGCGCTACATCGCCGCCGCCTCGTCGCCGCATCACGCTTCTTCGGTAACAGCCGCACTCCGATCTCCATCGGACATCCGATCCCCGTCGGCCCAACAACGTCATCAGACAGGACACACCGGCCCCGTCTATCCCCGAGTCCGATCGGCAACGGACACCCTATCCCCGTCGGCCCGACAACGTCATCAGATATGACAAGCCGGCCCTCGTTTCTCCGCCTAAAGTCCCCTAGACACTAGCAGTCGCCGTAGCACCAGCCGCTTATGTAATACCTGGTCCGTGCGCAGCCTGACTAGTATATAAAGGGTCCCCTTGTCGCTACCTAGCCCCATCTCAACCTCTTGGTTAATTGGGCTAGGTAAGCCTTCTTTTGTATCGTAGTACTGATACTAATACAACTTGGTTAATTGGGCTAGCTGAATAAGCTAACACAGCAGTCGCCAGACCTCGTCGGCGCCGCCTTCTAGTTAGATCCACGCAGTATCCTTAGTGGTGTGTTGACGCAAGTCCACATCAGAGGTCAATCTCATCGCTGCGCAGATGGAAGATCTCACGCTTGACGAAGGTATCGATCCAAATTCCCCATTCCTTACTGACTTGCCATCTGACTGCCCTCAGGCAGACTCACCAGCTCGGCAGACTGCCTCTATAGTGTCCTCAACCAAGCAAACAGCTTCGGATGCTTCTGCAGTGGTTAATTGGAACTTCTGAAGGCGCTCCAAGGAATTTATTCTGCATTCATTGTGCTCACCATGTCCCCGCAGGGTTTTTCTTCGTTTATTCCCGTTTTCACGCGTGATCAGGTGTTTATTGAGGCTAGCCTCAATAAACACCTGCCCTACTTTGGTTTGTATGAGTATTTTCGCCCTCCTTAGAACACGTGATATTGCATGATAACGTGTAATAACGTGTAATAACGTGTAATAGCATGTTATTAGACCTCTGGACTTCGAGTCAGATAGTGTTCGACTTGTATACTCATTGCTCTTGTCCGTGCAGCCGAGCCCGGCCCTCTTGCCTGCTGCGCGCAGCTCCCTGCACTGCCGCCGCGGGCCGTATGTTTATTCTGCTGTGGGAACCTTACCCAATGAGCAATGCCCATCGTGCGGAAGGGCATTCAAAGGAGCCCGGTGTGTGTCTCCATGTCTGCTCTCTGAATGGCCGTGGAACAGTGGACAGAAGCTGGCAGCTCACAGGAAAGAAAACAGCCGGAGGACCTGTATAGTGTCTGTCACCATTGTATAAGTCTACGACTCTGCGAGCAGCCCTGTACAGGCCACTGCGGGCCGCTTACTGACATCTAAAGCCAGTGCTGGCCGGCCAGTGTCCAAAGTTATTTGTCATAACAAGCCTCTATTTATGAACAAGGCTTCTAGGGCCATCGAGTGTGACCAACTTTTAGCGATGCGTGGCGGGCGCAGTGGCCACCAGGATGACTTGCCTGCCGAGCACCGGCCACTGCCCCGCAGCATCCCAATTAAGCAAACTACATTCCTTATGCTGGCTCCTAGAGCCCGCATAGTGTGTCGCTGCTAGGCCTGACCTGCGATCAGCCAATGAAGTACACCGATGCCGCGTTTCCGTGCATTATTGCTCGTTATCACGCGTTATTACTGGGCGCCTATCCATACTCCACCTCGCGAAACCCAAGGGCCCAAACCGTTGCAGCTGGTTGCGAAATCAGAATAAATTCTGACATTTACCTTCATAGATCCGAGAGGGCCCTTGTTTTACACACACGTGAGAATCTCGGGTGGGTTTCTCACCGTACACTAGTGCAGTGACCGTTCAAGGAGATATTATGTAAGCGCCAGATCTGCAATACCATTTCGTTCTCTTCTCTGCCCATGGCTCACTTTCGAACAATGTGAGACTGTCAAAAGTTAGCCAGAAGTATTCTCTACAGACTGAAAGTCGCAGAAATTGGGATATGGGAGCATAGCCAAAGATAATAAACGTTAAAGCGTTTTCCCCCGCCAGACCGGCTCAAAGCGTGACAGGCGCGGGTCATGTGATGTAACTGTATGTGTTCTGGGCATACCTTAGTTGGTCCAGAACTCAAGCCGATCAGATCCACATGAGCCGTTGCGAGGCCCTAGAAAGGCAAGCCACACCTTTCTGTAAGTCTGCGATGCCAAGATCTCTGGCGACGTCGTTAAGTACACTATGTAGCGTCCGAATTGCACCGAAAACATTTTCCACCGGCGCTCTGAGCATGGCGAACCAGCCTGCAAAACGATTGTTCGCGCATCGCTGACGCGCCCTGAACCCAAATTTGGAAGCGTCGGGGCGTGTCACAATAATCCCATTCTGCCTTGTCCTCAAGCATTCATCGGACGGTAACGTCCTGCGCGCGGCTGAACTGACTTCACCTCCGACGGTCATCCTCCGGACAAGCTCCAGCGAGCTTCACTCCTACGCTTTTGCGAATATATGCATGTCTGCGTGTGTACACGATAGTGTCTCTGCGCAACACATGCAAGAAGGATGTACCAACTCAGGCAGAGGCTTCCAGGGGATTGCACTGAGAAATGGTGCGTGCCAATTTTCGCTCTCCGCTTCCGCTCTCGTGCTCACGCATCTGCAGGCGGCCTTGTTCAACCACCTCTCGGCCTGCAACTTGAAGATGCTTGGCCCTGTGCCGATGCCCACAGCGGTCGTCCCGATGCTGACCCACTGCATAGCCCTCTACGCGGTGAGCCCCGCCCCAGCTGTCAACACCCACACTCTTCCATTCGAGTTCAACAAGTTCATGACGGGCAGAGAACATCAGATATAGTAATAAATGGTGGAAGCCGTTACTTGGTGCGTCGTGTCGTTTCTGGCCATTGTCGATATCCTCTGACACATGTGCCAGACCCGCCAGTGTTCTTCAGGTACCACAATGTAAGGTCCATTGAATATGTCCTTGCAAAGGTAGCTGATCTTCGTGTAGCGCAGCCACCGTAGCAGGTTCCTCTTGCCCAGCTTACGGAACAACAGTCTGAGAAAGATGAAACCCTGAACGCTCAACAACCCACGCCGACGGCGGTACCGCAACCCATCCAAGAGCCTGCGAAGGACGCGACAACGCAACCAAATTACGAGTAGCTACACAATACCGCGACTAGACAGCCGCAGCCTGAATCAGCCATGAGCACCGCTGCAAACCCCTATGCTCCCTACCTCGCTATCAACCCGACTGCACCCCTTAGTGCCATCACCACGCCTTACGTACTACCTGCATACGCTCAGCGAATAGGCAGCTCGCAGTTCAATCCTTACTAGCCTCCGGCTGGGCCGGTCCTGCAAGCAACCGCGAGTCCATCACTCGTACCCCCAGCAGACCGACAGGCGATAATCGCTCTGCCGGTCAAGGCGCCGCATCAGTGGAAGCGAGCAGTCAAGACGGGCATGTTTATCAACGAGGAAGAGGTGTTGAATGGAGAGTTGATACCAAAGGGGCCTATCGGAGGGCAAGAGCAAGCGGAACAGGCGGGTTGAAGTTCAAAGTGATACTGCCACAATGAAGTGACTAGCTTGGGAATAACAGCAATAAAGCCAAGCAGTGAAAGCTCCAAAGCCAACACTCTATGCTTCCTCTGTTGCTCAGTACAAGCCAGAAGGACAGTCCTAGCTCTTGCCATGACCAGTGTGAAAGGAATTTAGCAGTGGCTCATCTGGCAGTTGTGACAGTGCGGTGACTGGGCTGACAGCGCCGGAAGTCACGCGGGTTCAGAAACTCGGCGAGTTTCAAAACTCAGGTGTTACTATTATCGGAGAGACATTCAGGAACGATCTTAGATAACCGGAAGCAGATACGAGGCCTGTCTTTCTGAAGTTAGAGCTCCATAACAGTAAATGCCGTACTTCCCGGTGGTCGAACATCTCACTCGAGCTCAGTTGCTTTGATTATTGGGACGGTATTGGGGCAAGTTTGCAAGGATAATTCCGCGGGTCTCCCCTGTTGAAGATCTCCCCTTATGACAATAGGGACCGGACGGCTCCAAACACTTTGCCAGCCAATGCGATTCTCCCCAAGCAAGGTCTGCACTCCGAGACGCGGCATCAGCGTTTCAATGCTCAAACACTTCTGATAGCCGTCCTGATACAGGCACCGCGAAGTATGGCCCAGCATGCAGCTGCATGTCCAGCTTCGTATATGAAGGGCCTGAAGCTCGATTAAACAACTCCACGCACCGTACATATCATGCCGTCCTCGCATCTTGTGATCGCTGCGTACTTTGCCTGGGGTACGGGTCTACTATTCCTTCCGATCCCTGACCTTGCTGTTGACTTCTACTCTTGTCAAGGTCACATTCGCCCCTTATGCACGCTGTCCGCAAGGCTTGTCAAATTACAGGATCTCCATATCACTTACTTGATCGATCGTCCCCTTCACGGCAAGGTGACTGCAGAGCTGAGCCGTAATTTCGAAGATGGTGAAGAAGAGTTCGAAAGTCGTATAAGGTGAGCACTCTTCTCTACCGCCTAATGCTGTGATGACGGCGAAACAGGGTAGTGGGGCTGGATTACAATGAGAAAAACCCAATGGATCTTGCAGAATTTCAGCGATCTTTCGAGCGGCAATTTCGGGTGCTCGCCGACGGTGAACCCGTCTTCTGCGCTCAGCAGCAGAAGCAGCTTGCTACTTTGAACGCCCAGATGTTCTCTTGGTAGACGTGAGTATTGAGCCGGAAAGAGTGGCGTGCTGCAACAATGACATTTGTTGGCAGCTATTCGGTGGTTACCAATTGCTGCAGATTGCGCGACGCCTTGGCCCAGACACAAAAGTATGGGCCTCAGGATCCTTCTTTGGTATCGCCCTCTGCTCGCTCTTTGGACCCTTCGGACCAGATAGTCGCGGACACCTGCAGAGACTAGTGGCCCAGCACATGGCTGCGACTGGGCAGGATCTGATGTCTGCCGCGCTGGAGGTGAGTTTTAATAGCTAGAGATCGGTCCAGTCTCCGGCTCTAGCCTCTCAACTTTTTTGCAGGTCGTCGCCAGCCCCAGCGACCAGGTCGACCAGGTGCCGGGTCTTCCGCCGGTGTTCAAGTACGAGAGCTTCCCTCAGGAGGTATATAGCCTTCTGAAACCGAGTACTACCAGAGCTGAGCCCGTCTCCTCCAGCGCATCGTCGAGTCACCCTTTGTCGGCCTTTTTCACATGGATGCTGCATCGTCTGTGGTCTTTCCCGGTATCCGCGGAACATTCTTCTAAGCAGCGTTCCGACAGATTGATTCATGAGTGCGACGCCCTTGTCAGTTCAACCTCAGCTATCTACGAGCCGAAAGAATGCATCAAAGCCCTCAACGATTTCTTCGCGCTGACATCTCGAAAGATGTATCTGGTCGGTCCTCTGATAACCGACACGAAGCGCTCTTCCAGACTCGAAACAGAGGGAGCCGCCAAGTCGCCCGAGCTTCTCGCGTTCATGCAGAATGCCCTGAAGACGCATGGCGAGAAATCACTCATATACGTAAGTTGCAGTTTGGGGCGACACTGAAAGGGCTTACACAGATGTCATGGAACGACAGATCTCTTTCGGAACTTTCTTCTGGAGCACACAGCCGGATAGGCTATGGACTGTGCTGGATGTCCTGATGGAGAAGAAGATCCCTTTCGTCAGTGAAGCTCGTACTGCCGCTGCAGTGCTCTCGTTTGATCACTCCCTTTCAGATTTTGAGCCACGCTTCCCCATTCGCTAAAGTTCCCGATGAAATTGTTGAGAAAGTCAAGGCTTCGAGCCTGGGCTTCCTCACAACATGGGCCCCTCAGCAGACGATACTGGAGCACTCTGTAAGCATACGTACTAGCCGAAAATTGACGATACACTGATATCTCTACTAGGTTACCGGGTGGTTCATGACCCATGGTGGCTTCAACAGCATTACCGAGTCTATCGCCGCAGGAGTCCCGATGTGCGCCGTTGGGGTTCCGTGCCTGAACATGCAAATGCTGACATGAATGTACCTTCAGGATTTGCTGGCCCTTCAGCGCTGACCAGCCGGTGGATACGCTGCTACTTACCGAGAATCTCGGCGTCGCGTACGAGCTCACCGACGTGCGCAGCGGCAGCTGGGGCCTCAAGCCCGTCTACCGCACGGGCAAGGCGCCGACGGCCACGCTCGACGCCGTCCGTGCGGAGGCAAATGCGGTGCTAGATAAGGCGTTCAGCGAGGATGGTGCCGAGAAGCGGGCCAATACACAGAAGCTGAAGAACATGTCGAGCGAGCAGTGGAAGGAGGGTGGCCCCTCCCGGATTGCCGCGCAGCAGCTTCTTGATGACCTTCACTGAGCGGGCAAGAGGGCCATAATCTTCGCGAAGTCAGCATGCTTCTGTATATTGTACTTGGGATAAGACAGCGGATTGTGAGCCACGGTGGATAGAAATCTATAATTCTGTTCTAGCAAGGGCCGCCGGGCAGACGCGGTGAATGGGTCTGCTGAATGGTTGATACAACCCACGCTATTGAGCTACTAACCCACATACTACCAAGTGATCCTTTACATTAGCATATCACCTCCCTCCGCGCACTCTACAGCGGTGTCACACCCTTATCGCCTTTCGTACGCCTGCACAACTTTTCGTCTGCTCTTGCAAGCCCGACCTGAGACTTCAGTGACAATATTGCTGCTTAACTTGCGTAATTACTGCTGTACCGTATAAACACGTCCCGCACGATAAAATCTATACATACTATATGTATGCACCGATAGCGAGCGAGAGGCAGGCTTCCCTGGGGAATCGGCTGATACAGCGCTAACCAAACTCGAGTGTAATAGACGCTCAGCGGGCTGCAGAGCGGTTGGGCTGTTAGCGAACTTGAGCTCGAACTTGTATTCGTATCTGGTCTCATTTGCACATTTTGCAGACCGAGTTCAAAAGCATGGCAGAAACACTGGAGACGCATTCACAACCTGGAACTTCGCCACAGTCGGTCGTCATCCCCCCTATGACCATGCAGCAGGAAGGCAAGTCGAGTTAACTCAGTCTCTCGACTTCCGATCTCATCGCAACACCCCACCGCTTCTTGAAGACAGTATCATTCATACGCGCTTAACCAACGACGAGAAGGCACTGCGGAGGGTCACCAAGAAGTTTCACAGCTATACGTCGGTGGCATACGACCCTGTGGTCCCGCCGTCACCTTCGACCGCAGGCTCGGTAGACGATGCAAGAGAGGCTTTCCTCGTGGAACTCGCATCTTTTCACTTGTCGCTTAAGAAGAGCCTTATGGTGTGCGAGGCGGAGGCGAGGCAGGTTGAGGAGTACCAGAGAGAGAAGGAGCGCATCGGTGGGCGATGCTCTAGTTCTCGTGTCATTGACGTTACTGACTTCTCAACAGAACACCAACGTGTCTTGTTGAGAGACCAGCTTGAGGAACTAAAGCAGGCTCTGGAGCATGCACAGGTGCAGCGAAGACGAAAGATGGAGTACGACGTGATTGCAGAGAAGATTCATACCATCCCAAGCCGAGAAGAGCTTGAGCAGTGCGTCTACCACGGAGTCTCTTCAATATCGTGCCTAATTATGATCTAGGACGATCAACTCGCTCGAGAGTGATATGGCAGCCATACGCGCAGAGCACGAAGAGCAAACACGCGTATTGCGAGCACAGCAGTCCGCGTTGGACGATGTGATATCCCACATCCGGGACTTACGTCTTCTCGCCAACCCGGACATCGATGCTATAGAGCAAGCTCAGCGCGGCTCACCCGCCCCAGAAACGCAGCCTAGCGAAGATACTGATGTGCCTTCAGAGCCGCGGACAAGAGAGGAGACAGGCGAGATCCAGGAAACGCCTGAATCTGACAAAGATACGCAGGCTGGCGGAGCCTCCTCGTCGAAGTTTCTGAACCCATCCGCACAGCCCTTCGTTCCTGGCGCGACTACATCGCGCATAGCGACTCCACAGACGGCTGCACCAACGCCAACACCTTCAGTAGACCCGAGGGCCGAGGAGCAAGAGGAAGGAGAGGCAGACGACGACGTAGAGATGGGAGAACTTGCAGAGGAACCTGGAGAGAGACCGGTAACGAAGAAAAAAGTTAGAGAGGAGCTGGAAGAGGGCGAGGCCAGCGATTCTGACCTCGATAGCGAGCTGACGCAGCTCTCGGATGACTGACAGTGTTTCTGTTCTTACTACTATTCATCTTACGCGTTTTGTATGATATCTACACTCCCTCTCGCCTCAATCTTGTGTGTCTGCCTTGTTCTGTCTTCCGAGCCGCCTCACTCCGACAGGCGCTTCGCGGCCGGTATACCTTAAGGTTGAACTTAAGTTATCCGCATGTCTTGCTTTCGCTATGCAAGCAGGTGGGAGACATGCTTAACGGGATCTCGAAGGCTCTCAGCGTGCTCGGCGCACACGCTGAGTGCTGAACGCTCTATTTACGTCTCAAAGTCGACGAATCCATACTTTAATCTGACTTTCGAAGACTGGTCCGTACGTTTCCTTTTCTACAGTAATTGGCTCATTTGACGCAGTAAATGCGAAGGCTCTTCAGAAATAAAGCACCCAAGGATCCTCTCCTCTTGATTTACCGCGACGATCCGTGTGTCGTCATCGGCCGCAACCAGAATCCTTGGAAAGAGGTTAACTTACGCGCAGTCGAGTCTGCCGGGATTCCTTGGATTCGTCGACGCAGCGGAGGGGGAACTGTATATCATGTACGTGTCCCCAACCTTGTCTCACTATGCTTCCCATTGGCTGAAGCACACCTGCAGGATCTGGGGAACACGAACTTCTCGATACACCTCCCGCGTTCCGCGTTTGACCGGAACGAGACGGGACAGGTCGTCCTTAACGCTGTCCGCTCCCTGGGCGTCGATGCGGTCCTGAACGACAGGAACGACATTTGCGTTGGCGGGGATAAGATACGTTCACCGTAGTGCTGAGCGACATCCTTCGTCTCACGTTCCGATACGTTTCAGGCTCGGCGTACAAGATCATCAGCAACCGTGCCTATCATCACGGTACCATGCTCATTTCGACGCGTCTGAGCACGTTAGGAGACGTATTACGCGTCAACAAGGTATGGAGAATTGGTCCTGTCCTTCTCGTGTATGCCAATTGTGATTATGTGTAGCCAACACTAGAGACGAAAGGTGTAGCCTCTGTGCGCTCACCCGTCCGTAATCTTCAACAGTATAACTCAGAGGTAACCCATGAAGGCTTCGTGCAGGCCATTATAGACGCATTTCGAGAACATTACAGCATCCAAGAGGAGGTAGGAGGCTGCTTATATCCCGCTGACACCCTGCTGAGCACTGCTGTGTATGCTCAGGCGTGTGTGATCGAAGAGACTGAAGAAGCAAAGGCCATTTCTTATACTCGCGACGGCATGGCAGAACTTCCGGTAAATCGACATGCTCAAACGATATTAGCGTGACACTGACGCTCCCTGAAGCGATGGGACTGGGCTTTCGGACAGACACCAGAGTTTACTTATACTATCCAGATGGACTTCTCTTGGGGAGCAGTGGTAAGGCTATCTCCCCTTCTATTGTGTGGACAAGCCTGACCCTATCCATCCCAAGACTGCGAAGCTTCGCTCTAAACACGGCGTTATTCTGGATTGTGCCATAGATTCGTCAAATGCCACGTCGATAGAATCAGAGTTGAAGGACTTAGGGACCAGGCTGCAAGGGCAGAAGTACGCGTTCGTCGACGAGAGTGTGCTGGGCCTGGAAGGTAACGAGAAGAAGACAGAGATCTGGGGGTGGCTGCGCGCAGAGATGTCTAGATAGCTTATTGCAACCTTCTACAGTGTTCTGAGTAGCTCTTAAATCGCGTTTCAGGTCTGAGCGCTGAAGTTGCGTGTGTGATACTGAGCGGGTCAGGACAGAGCGGATTAAACGCAGTATCACAGCAATGTATAATGAAGTCTCTATTATCTGGTGACCTTTTCTGTATACCAGACGCTGTTTGTAGAGAACGCTTCAGGTGCCGCAGGCTCATCCTACGAAAAGTGAATAGCAAATCCAAGGATATGCACACACGACTCACCGACTGCCCTCGTTCGTGTCCAGTCAACCGCTTGTCGCGGTCCATCATCATCTCGTCCCACGAATCAATGTGGTAGCGGATAGGCTAAAACGTTAAGAATATGAGTCGAACAGAATTCACGCCCTGACATGCGAGCATACCTTGCCCTGGTTCTGTGCCCTCTTAGAGACGTTGAACAACGTGCCCGCGGCCGCGAACATCGTTGTGACAAGACCTGGGTGCTGCATGAGTTTTGACTATATTATACTAAGCAATTATAGATTACGTACCGAACGGAATGAGAGCCTCCCATGGCACCGGCATAATGAACGGAGTGTTCGAGTTCAAGGTGAGCGTGAACGCTTGAGCGGAAGTGAGTTTAGGACGAAAGCGGGGCGCTAATTGCCGGCGATGATGCTTTTGGCAGGTCTGCAGGACCGGGCGTTGTCGTTCTGGTCCCTCGACGGATTATGTTGCGAGCCAAGCGAACGATTGCGATTTAATGTACAAGAAGAGAGCAGACGACATGTGCATGGATGATAGTGCAGTGCTATGGGGAGTGGAATAGATGCAACAGTGATGCAAATTAATACGACAATCTATAACCTGGACACGGCTGCAAGACAAAATTCGGGGCTTTATGCAAAAATTGGGTCAATAATATCCGCAGGTACCTCTTCTACCACCTTCTCTACTACCTTCTCTCCAAGGGGCTGATTCGTCGAGTCTCTGCTGCTCGCAGTGGCCAGCTTAAGCGCAGGCTTGTTGGTGGTCGCTGCGCGCACGGGGCCACGAGGAATGGAAGCCGTAGCAGGGAGCTTCCTGGGAGGTACCTTGTTCTCCCCGACTTTCGTCGTAATGGGACGGACGGTCCCTGGGCGCGATCTCGGTTTTGTCTCTACAAGCCGCTTCTTCACGGCGCTTTTATCGTCCTCCTGGATGATAGCTTCGCTAGCGGAGGACTCCCCGCCTTTGCTACTCTGTTTGCGCGCAACCAGTGGAGCGCGGACAGAAGGACGAGCAGTCATGGTCTTGGCGCGGATGGTGTCCTGAGTCCCTGTACGTTCTCCCATAGCAGGACGTGCGACTTGGGTCGGGCGTGTTGGGGAAGGCAGTCGTCGCTTCCTGCCGGCAGATGGAGAATCTTCCAGATAGGGATCGGAATTTTCAGAGTTTGTTCGAGTTCGTAAAGGAGAGCCGTAGTCAGTGGTGCTAATGCCGGTAGAGTCATCAAGTGAATCTTCCTCCGAGGCAGCTAAACCAGATGCTTTCATTACGCGGGACGGTGGATGAGGTGTGCGAAGTGTGATGTTGAAATCGTCCTCTTCGTCGTCGTACTCCTCATCCATTTCCATCTCGTCGCCAGTGTGAACCCCGATGCGTTCTTCGTTGTCGTCGCTCAAGTCGCCATCGGAGTCGGGATTCGGTGACTCACGCGACAACTGGAGCGACCGCCGAAAACCCTGCTGAGACTCCTTTGCAGTATCCGCAAACACGTCGCCCAACGAAGGAAGAGATTCGAGGGACTGTGGTGGCAAACCAGAGATGCCGGACAGAGGGCTGGCAGGCCAAGCCGATGGGAAGGCTTCGTACTGGCGCCATTCATCGGTGTGGCTGCGCTTATCTATCTGATCTTCAGCGGGAGGGGTAGGTAGTCCGACTGAAGCATCAGGAGGCGAATCCTTGTATGAGGATGATGGAGGATGCCAGATCTCCGGAGCTGCTTTTGGTGTCGCATATATACTCGCATCAGGTGAAGACGGCTCCGCGGCGGCCTTGACATGCGCGTTATGCAAGACGCGCTTCCTAGTGCGTGTTTCACCGTGTTCTGACGGGGCTTGCTGCTTTTCCTCTGCAGCACTCGGTGTCTCTTTCGTGTCCTCGGAAGTGTTTGGTTTCCGCAAAATCCACCGGTTCCACACAACATCAAACAGAGATGACATCATGTGGAACGGTACAGCGCAGAAAAGAAATACGAGGTCCCCGAGTTGTGTTACGGCCTCGACAACCAAATCAAGAGTGGCAGTGTATGGCTTGACCATGGGACGCAAGATGTGCAAGTAAACAGGTTCGGCTCCCTATGTTGACAGTTATTATACGATCATCTAAGAAAGAGCCATACAACACACCCTTGCACGAGTGAGCAAGAAGAATAGTATGAGTATAGCTTTGATTTCACTGTAGAATGGGATGAACATCCCTATGATGCCGTCAACTGTGCGTTCATACACAGCATAACAGCACTGAAAGGGATTAGAGAAGTATTTAGCTCGTGCCAGTGGATGCAACTCACCCATATTAGCCATATCGCCAGACATCCTTTCATCGCACGTTTCCTTTGGCTCATAGCCCGCACGGTAGGCCGTCCTCCGGTGCGCGCTGACCCAGGAGGCGGTTTCAACGTCTTGAACGTGTCATATACATTCAATGCAACATAGAGAATCCGGAGTATAGGGACAATGAGACCCATGTCAGCGTAGCGTTCCGAGGTGCCTGCGGCACAAGACCAGATATAGGGCCGTTGCCGTCGACGTGTCAGTAGAACTTGCGCAGTCGCTACGTAGATGAGGACAAGAGAAAGTCAGAGGTATAACTTAGAATGCTTGGTGCTGCGATTGCGGTTCGGGGTAGTCGTTTGCTGTCCACAATGTGCGAAATAATCGACGGTCGGTGGTGGTTGGTCTCACGAGAGCGCGTTCTTATTGGCGCTCAAAGGGCGCGCGCGCAATGAGGCAAATCACGTGTTCGAGGCCCAGAAATGTAAGCGCTCACAGCGTGCTTACGCGCAGGTTCGACCATTACCACCATGCCCAAAATTCGCACAACGAGGACGAAGAAGCCCCCAGAAGGGTTCGAAGACATTGAAGGTGTGCGTAAAGCGGCTTGTATGTATACGTTTCGGCTACTCACCCGTGCATACTCGTCTTACCATTAGATCCTCGATGATTACGCCAAGAAGATGCGTGACGCGGAGAACGAGTCTCACGAGGGCAAGCGCAAGGCAGAATCGTTATGGCCCATCATGAGGATTTCTCATACTCGCTCAAGGTACATCTATGAGCTGTACTACAAACGAGAGGCTATCAGCAGAGAGTTGTACGACTGGCTCTTGAAGGAGGGCTACGCAGATGCGAAGTAAGTACCACCCGGCTTTGGACCCGATGGCTCGTCCTTACGCCCTCTCAGCTTGATCGCCAAGTGGAAGAAACCCGGCTATGAAAAGCTTTGCTGCCTTCGCTGCATTCAGACTAGGGTGGGAGTTGCACTTATTTGGAAGACGATTTGTGCTGATCGGTCGTTGGCAGGACATGAACTATCAGGGTTCTACTTGTATCTGTCGCGTGCCAAAGGCACAGGTACGCCCTGGAACTGTGGTGGAATGCGTCCATTGTGGTTAGTCCGAACAAGACTTCTTGTGACCAACAAATGGCTAACCATTGCTGTAGGTTGTCGTGGATGCAGCTCTGATTCGTAATGGCGAGATGCTGCTGTATGCATGGCGCCGCGGAGCTTGTAGGGCTTGCGCGTGCGAGCAAGGTCACCTAGTTCTGATAGTCTGGATTCACTACTGCTCGAATATGGCTTGTACACAGCTGTAAGCTTTTAGTATAATCCTGTGCTGGTCTCTCTACAATATGTGGCACCGGCCCCGCTGTAGTGGCGGTGCGAGAACGGAGGCCGCGGAAGCGAAATCCTTCGCGTGGACTTGCTCTCTTCCCGCGTCTCTTTAAATACACCCTGATGTCGTCAGGAACCGCCGCCCTCTGCCGGTGACAGTCATCATTCGCAGTCGTCTGTCCCTAGATGCGTGAGACGGCCCTAGCCATAACATCAAAAGATTGCAAAAAGAGCGAACCTTGTGGAGAATGGGCGGCTGCGGAGCGGACATATATATCCAGTGGCGTTGGTCCCGCTTGTCGGAGCAACCCCCAGCTTGGGCGACTGACACCGCTGCTCTCCATCGTTCGTTCAGCCCACCATCATGGGTGTCTTGACGAGAGAGGTTGTCGACGTGGTCCACGCCCTCAGCCGCAGGGCCGCTGCTCCTCAGCAGGTATGTCCTTTCGTTCACACTAACCTCGCAACACAGTCACCAAATGTACCCCTGTGCAGGCGGGCGTGTTCGTTGGCCTGAACCCGGCTACGTACAACGCTAACGACCCTTTCCCACTTTGGGTCATCCAAGTCGGTGTGTACCTCTCTCTTCGGCTTCCCGAGACCCCAAGATGCTCATATCGAAACTCAGTCATCATCATGGCCATGATCCAGTTGCTTCACCTCTTCCTCTCACGCATCCGCCAGCCCAGAGTCATCTCAGAGGTCATTGGAGGCATCATCCTTGGACCCTCGGTCATGGGTCGTATTCCCAACTTCACGAACAGCATCTTCCCTGTTGCTTCCTTGCCCATGATCACCCTGACCTCCACCATCGGCCTAGTTCTTTTCCTCTTCCTGGTGGGCCTCGAGCTCGACGTGAGGATTATCAGGCGCAATGCCAAGTCCTCCATGCTGATATCCGCTACTGGTCTCGTTATCCCCCTTGGCTTAGGCGCGGCCCTTGCTGTGCCTATCTACCACCAATTCGTTGATCCTTCGGTCCGCTTTGGAGACTTCGTCCTTTTCGTAGCCGTCGCCGTGGGCATCACTGCGTTCCCGGTGCTTTGTCGCATCCTGACGGAGCTGAAGCTTCTCGATGACACAGTTGGCGCAGTCACACTTGCAGCCGGAGTGGGAAACGATGTAAGTTGTGTCACTGGTTATCAAAGTTCTATTTGTTCATGCATTTTTAGGTCGTGGGATGGATTCTACTCGCCCTGACTGTCGCCCTTGTCAACTCTGACACCGGGCTTACAGCTTTGTGGGTCCTGCTCACTGCAGTGGGCTTCACCATCTTCTTGTTTTTCCCGGTCCGCTTGGCATTCCGTTGGCTTGCCCGCCGGACTGGGAGCTTGGAGAGCGGTCAGCCGTCTATGACAATGATGACACTTACACTCGTCCTCATTCTCGTCTCGGCCTTATTCACCGACATCATTGGCATTCATCCCATCTTCGGGGGGTTCCTTGCCGGTATGGTCATTCCAAAGGATAATGGATTTGGTATTGCCTTAGTAGAGAAAATCGAAGACTTGGTCTCGCTCCTCTTCCTGCCTTTGGTAAGGTTGCCATCCATCCATCGTTAAATTAGCTCATATCGTTGGTAGTACTTCGTAAACACAGGCTTAAAGACCAACCTGGGCTTGCTAAATAACGGTGTGACCTGGGGATACACCGTCCTTATCTGTGTCGTCGCCTTCTTCTCCAAATTCATAGGATGCGCCATTACTGCCAAGCTCTGTGGCTTCAACATCCGCGAGTCCGGTGCCATCGGCTCCCTGATGAGTTGCAAGGGCCTGGTAGAGCTCATCGTCCTCAACGTCGGCCTGTCAGCCGGCATCTTAGACACGCGAACATTCTCCATGTTTGTTCTGCACGCCGTGGTGCTGACGTTCATAACTACCCCCCTTACTCTTCTCTTTTACCCACCCAAATACCGCACCAAGGCTTTGGCCGTCACCATGAACCGAAACAATTCAAAGGTGGGCGTTGAGGGTGGTCAGCCTTCGTACTTCAAGGAGGCAATCAAGACCAATTTTGCCATGGTCGTCGACAGGATCGAGCAATTGCCTACGTTGATGGCCCTTACTATGCTCCTCCAACCTTCATCCGCCGCCGCCTCTTACACCCCCGTCATCAGTGACTCCGTTTCGGATCACGAGAAGGAGTCGGGCCACGAGAAGGAATCGGTACCTTTAACCCCTCCAGGTCTTCCATATTCTGCCGCTTCAACACCTGCCATCTCGCTCAACGTACTGCGCCTGATCGAGCTTACTGAACGTACATCAGCCGTCTTCAAGTCTCAGTCTGTCGACTTGTTGGCTCTCAGCGACCCGATCCTCTCTATCATCCGTACCTTTGGCTACCTCAATCGCATGGTCGTCTCTACTGCGCTAGCTGTTGTCGGTTACGAGGAGTACGCATCACACATTACAGACTTCACGAGGGACGTGTCTTCCCAGATGCTTATCCTACCGTGGAGTAACACCACGCCACTCAGCGACGATGCATCAGCAGGCAGTCGGCCATCGTCCTCGCCGATGCTGTCCGTGTCCCCAAGTCCGTTCGACGTGCTCTTCGGACAGAGCAACACCCGCAGTGGAGTACAGAATGCTTCGTTCCCTCAAACTCAGTTCTTCCGGAAGATGTTTGCGAGCGCCACAACCGACGTTGCCCTTTACATCGATCGCGGGCTATCCCAGCCTGTCGATGCCCAGAACAGCGCGCACATATTCTTACCATTCTTCGGCGGTCCCGACGATCGCTCTGCATTGTCCTTTGTCGTTCAACTCTGCACGAACCCCTCCGTTACGGCTACGGCGGTTCGCTATGTCAAGACAGGGTCGAACGATCTGACACCGGTATCGACACTGGAAGAGGTGAAGCAGCCTGTACCCTTGGTATGTATTCCCTTCTCGAAGCGTAGCATCTGCTGAGTCGTGGGCTCCAGGACATCGCCCAGGATACCGTCTATGCGTTCAAAGACACTCAGACGCAGCTGGCATCCGAGACGGCCGACAATCTCTTGTGGGATAGATACACTCGGTCAACAACTCCTGAGCTCTCTGGCGCACTGAGCAGGATCACTTTCCGCGAGGAGCACTCGCCGAGGGTGCTTCGCTCTGCGACAGATGCCGCGGCTCGAGTTGCGTCAGAGCATTCCGGATCTAGACTGCTGGTCATCGTCGGTAGGTCGAGAAGGATGGCCGTTGAGTCGCATGTGCAGGAGCTTCAAGTGTTCTTGTCCGAGAAGGGCGTCTCACTGGGCTCGGAGTTGATGAAGACTCTTGGGGACGTTGGGTCAGCTCTGGTGGCCAGCAACGTAAATGGCAGCCTGCTTATCCTGCAGGCGTCCCTCTCGTAATGATCCCCTGATGCCACGATTTGCCATGATCGCTGATACCGATGACTGTAATTGTACACCTACGGTATACCTATGATTTGTTTTTGCTGTACAACATTCTTGGATTGGGCCGTGAATGCTTCTCGTATTTCATGGGATTTCTGACACCGAAAGCGGGGAGCCAAATGGGGGGAAATGCTCAAGCGTCTGGCGCCTATTCCTAGTTGAACAGGTTTCACAGCAACCACGACCTTGCGCTTTTGGACGTGAACGCTTTGATCCAGGGTCTCAATTTCCCAGCGTCGCTCATCCCTTCACTCGTCTTTTCTTTTCCCGCCCCGCGACTCTTCGCGGACCCCCACTTGTGTAAGTCCCAGAGCGATGCACTGCGTCTGCGTAATCGCTTTCAGCTCCTGCTCACCCAGTTCCATACGTTAGGAAAGCGAGGGTGAGTGATTTCCCGGCTTTCCTTACATGCCGCCCTTCTGACTCTTTTTAATCTTCCCAATGTGTCCTACGCGCACCCCTCGTCCCGCCGTGTAGCCTCCGCGTCACGAGACCGCGATATATCGTTGAAACGACCGTGACATGTCACCTCCACGAAAGCGTCCAGAGTGTCGCACCTGTAACATGCCCATGGCTGGTCACAAACGTCCCCACGGCTGGCCGATCTGCCCCCCGAGACAATCACCAGGGCCGGGAACCGGGAAATCGCGAGAACCAACACCAGACTTCATTCCGCGCATTGGTGACATCTACCATCTGAAGAACCCCAACTACGTCGACCACTTCCCTTCCCCCTCCGTCCCCGAGTTCAGAAGAGAACGTGCCGGGTCGCCCTGCACCTGGGTGTCGACCGAGCCCGCCGACGACATACCTGGGCCATCCACGTCTCCCAACGATCACTTGCGTCGTCAGCGACCTGCCCAAGAAGCTGAACTGATCGGATACACAACTCCGCAAGCCAGCATGCCGTCCGAGACATCTTCGACTACCGCACGCATTCGTCGTACGCTATCATCATTCATCACGAATACCGTCCCTGCCGTGACACTGTTTTCTACCCCACATGAGAATGTACAAACGCTCACTAGGACTGCACGCCTGAATGGGCTATATACCGGTATCATGCGTCGCCCTAGATCGCAGGAGAGGCGAAGTCTTGAGAGTGTCGGTCGGAGATACTCGTGGTGGGTGCTGATGGGGAGGGATCCAGTTGCGGTGGAGCACTTGATAACTCTGCAGGAGCAGCAGACAATGTCGCATCTCGAAGGACGCTACAATCACAGTCCCCCCAGCACCGTAGCCGTACATCCGCCGTCCCAGGCTAGCCTGACCATAGTCCACCTAGTTCTGTGTTGTGTTGGCAGCGCTATCATTAGTGTGCTCTTTTACTCAATATTGTAGCATAGGGTCCTTGTCTCTTGTTTTCTTGCTGTCTGCTCTGCTTTACGTGGTGAGTCTTGCGTCGCCCCTACTCAATTTTCGCTCAACCGATCTTCTTCCTCCAGGTGCTAGTTAACTGCTGTCGGCCGTTTAATACGGGAACTTTCTGCTAGCTGTCCATCTCGCTTGTTGCTCGTCTCCACTGATCGATGAAATTGTACCCATAATATCTATGAACCCTCCCCGCGTCACCTTCTACATCTGGGTCTGCTCATTTCCTTCTCGTTTCTCTCTCGATATACAACCCCCATGTTATGTATGCAACATATGCGATTAGGAAACCAATGAAATCTCCCTTACTCTCAGCCTGATCCCGCATGATAAGACAACGCAAGAGCCGACGAGTGGATAACAAGAGATGGTAGCACTACAGGACAAGCTCCTCTATTTGGTATATGCCCACTGCTATGCCCGCTTGCTCATGAGCCTCCTTTCGTCGCTTACGCCAGTCGACCTTCAGATCGGGCTTCTGTACGCCGTGCGCAGCCTCATGCACCGCCTTCGCGTGTGCACAGACAAAAGGCTCTAGAGGACCACGCAGCTGTTCGACATCGTCCGTGAAGTTAAGCTCAGGCTCGAGGTGCGAAAAGATATCGCGGAGGATGCCGTGCGAGGGCAGGTAGGTCAAGAATGTGAGGAAGGACGCGTCGAGTAGTGCCTGGAGGAAAGCCAAAACCTGAGAAAGGGTCCATCAGCCAACGTGCGTGGCGTCCCAACGCGTCGCATTATGTGCTCACCTTCCCCAGTGGCGGCAATGCGTCTTTTTGCCTCTCCTCAAGGACAGGGACTAGAGCGCCGTGTAAGTCCTTTTTGGTCCGCTCAGGAAGGAGGGTAATACCCTCTGCACACCATGCGTCGATCCACTCCTTCAGGAGTTGCAGGATGACAGTGAGTTCCGCGGCATCGGACAGATGCTGACGGATCGCCAAGCGTAGGGCGGGCGCGGATACCGTGTACGTGGTACACAGGGAGAGGACAGAAGGAAGGGGAGGAACGGAGCCGTCTGCAGTGGCGTCCACCTGCATCGCGCTGTCGTCGGACCGCATCTGGCGGGCGACGACCACCGAGGAATGGAGGAGCGATATGACGTCGCTTTCGGAGACATCAATGACGGTCTTCAGAGCCAGCATCATCGACTTCTACCAAGGGTGTCAGCACAACTTCGAAGTTGTAGTGCATGTTACATACCCAATCATTACGCAATCTCAGAGCAGCGAAGAGTCCACCTTCGATCATACCTGCGCTGACACAACGCTGCTGCATGAGATAGCGCATGACCTTTGGCGAGTATGGGATATCGGTCGTTACATTCTTGGGTGTGCGCAAGATGATCTCCAGGACTTGCTTCACGAACTGGTAGCCTAATGACAGCTTTGCGTTTGGGCGGCTTGCAGGGGCCTTGTCGCTCTCCTGCTGGGAGATCCAATCGAAGAATGCTTCATCGGCCGCCTCGACTCGCTTCTGTTCCATGGCTGTCCGCATGGCTCGCAGGAGCTTGACTTGGGGAGCTTCCAGGTTAGAGCTGGAGAGGTTCGCCTGAGAAACATTGGTCGCAGCGTGCACTGTCCATTTCTCCGTTGTAGATGTACGACCAAGTGCGTTGGCGACGCTCGATGAGACGGGCACTACCAAGGGGATCACGAGAACACTCGAATGTTGCGCGGAGTCCTCGCCTGTCGGGTGTGATGCTGAGCTGCCATTTGTGACTGCGGGCACAGAAGCGGGTGACAGGATCAGAATCGCCTGCTGGGTACTGCCAGACGAGCCTCCGAGCTGTAGCCGAATGCCTTGCTTCTTCGTCCGAGTGATAGTCGACGGGATAGCTAGCGTACGAGAGGCCAGCACGACGGAATACTGAAGGTCCCAGATTAACAGTACGAGTTCTAGAGGCGACGCCGATGAGACACCAGCCAGAAACACATGCGAAGATCCCAACGAGAGCAAGGAAATCTCGCCACCGAATGAGGATGTTGGCTCGGAAAAGAAAGAGAGGTTGCGTAATGTGACTGGGCTACACGCTGGCGCGATACTGATACTTGAGTTCTCCAAGCATTCAATTTGGAAGCAATGCCACTCTCCGGAAGGGGCTGCAGAGACAGTGAGTCTACTGAACGGGTAAGCCGAGCCACTGCAATAACTTACTCAGGATGCTGACGAAGCCAGCTGCGCTGCACGAAGCTTTGAATACAACCTGAACAAGACGAAATCAGTTAGCTGAAAGTGGTGTGGTGAACAAACTTACAAGCTTCGAGGGCAGAGCCAAGTCTCCCAGAACCGCGACCCCGCTACTGTCGACACTGGTAATTCGTAAACTTGTAGTGTCGTCGAACTTCTGCAAAGAGACGACGACGGCGCCTTCTTCCAAAGTCGATCGCCTTGGAACAAACACTGCTTCCGAACGGTTGAAAACAAAGCTCTCGACAGTCTCAGACTGTTGCTCTGGACTATACGAGTGCCGTGTAACTAGGTCTTGGTCTGTGACAGTGATCTCCCCATTCTGCCCAATGAAAAGGACGTTGTTCTCCATTTGAAATGGAATAGACACATGTAATATTCTGTGCGACAGCTAGGGGCAGTCAAATGTCGGCAGACATGCAGGGAAGTACAGGATACTCACAATTACGGTCTGTACTGCTACCTGCACATCCGTAGCATTGCTGCCTCCAGCAGCACTGTCCTTCCACATGCGGACGGTCCTGCCATGTTCCTCTGCTTTCACGCCTTGCGCAGATTCCAATACCGCGTAGGTAGTGCATATCTTCTTGCCATCGCTTACCCGTGTGGCGGAAGGACAGGAGAACACAGTCGAAGGCCCAAGAGTGTGAGAGACAACGGGGTGCAGGGTGGACAACTATACGTTGCTGTTAGTGTATGCATGGCATCGAGGAGAGCAAAGTCCCAATCTAAATGAAGGCGAATCTCAGCTCGAGCTCAGCGGGAGCAAAAATTCAACGTGACCATCGAACGCTGCCACTCCAAAAGAAGTCGCCTAACGATGGGGTCCAGAGAAGTATATACTCACATCCAGAACATGTACTCCATCTCCTTGTGCCGTCACAGTAACATAGCCGTCCGCGGTGCTAGTGGACGCTCGATGGTGCGTCGCATATGCATTAGAGAAGGATTTAGAGCCCGGACGGCTGAATCGTTTCGGAAGAGTATAGCTTGAGAGCAGGTAGGGCTCACTGACGGCGGTAGACATTACAAGATGCGGTGTGCACTCGGCCGTGCACAGGACTGCTTTCTCGTTCATGAAATTTGAAAAGCGCCGAAAAGAAGCGCCAAGAGTAGCAAGGTTAGGGTTGCACACTGTGAGCAGCTTAGCCCGAGAGGTATCGTAAGTTTCGAGAATCGTGCTGCTCAGCAGCTCCTCTAGCTCTAACGTCGTTCTTTGACTTCGTCACGAAAGCATGCTTCGGGAGAGCTCGATATGAACGTGTGAGGATCATGGCGCAGCGGGTGTACGTGTCGAGCGGCTCGAGTCTCCGGGCAGCCGCTTGGGCAAAGGTCTGTCGTGTTCACCACGGGGCCCGTCCACACCAATTCGGGTGTCCGCTCTCAAAAAGCCTCCAGTACTCCGCATCTCTAGATCTCCCCCTCCTACACAGTATCCTCCTACAGTTTCAGTTGTGAATCAGCAGACGATGTCGGTGCTCAGCGTCATCAAGCCGCTCGCCTACCTCTCACTCCCGGTCTTCGCCTTGCATACTCTCTCGAATGCCTCACCAGTCGCGCGATATTATGTTCGCCTTGGTACATACCTCTCCACCGTGGGCATTTGCTCGATATGGGGAATTCTGGTGGCAATAGGCATGAACATCATTGGCAATAGCTTCAACGCCAACTACGTCGTTGCACGAAGTTTCTATCACATCGCCGGTCGCATGTTGGGAATCAAGCTGGTTGTAGAAGGGGAAGAACATCTGGAGACGTGTCCTGCAATCTTAGTGGGCAACCACCAGAGCATGCTCGACATCCTCTACCTGGGCAGGTGCGTCAAGATACGCAGCGGCGATCGATCGATGTGTTAACGCAGTCATGCCCAGGATTTTCCCCAAGCGTACGTCCATAATGGCGAAGAAGGAGCTTCAATGGATGCCCTTACTTGGGCAATGGATGTCTCTGTCCGGTGCTATCTTCGTAGACCGTGGCAACAATACTAAGGCCATCCAGTCGTTGTCTGCTGCTGGCCAGACGATCAAGGCCAGACACACATCGCTTTGGATGTTCCCGGAGGGTACGCGCTCTATGCGCGAGCATCACGACATGCTACCTTTCAAAAAAGGCGCGTTCCACATTGCCGTCGAAGCTGGAATCCCAATCGTGCCCGTTGTATGCGAGAATTATTGGCGGTTGTACAGGAAAGGTGTCTTCGAGAGTGGAACTATCAAGGTTAAAGGTATGTCTTAGCAGCTTCAGTAGTTGAATGAGACCTGAACTATCCCCAGTCCTTCCTCCTATCCCGACTACTGGGCTGACCGCTACCGATGTTACTGCTTTGTCTGTGCGCGTACGTGAGATAATGGTGGAGGCGTTGCGGGAGATCTCTGTATCCGTCCCTACACCCATTTCTGCAAAGCCCCCGCTTCCCGAAAACATCGACCCGTCCGAAATGGCAGCAGAGCAACAACTTCGAGAGAAGGAGCCACTATCGGCAATCCCTTCGCTCGCGTCTATCACAGAGGCAGGCCCCGACGCCACACCTGCACTACCGGAATCGAGGTCGGAAAGCCGCGCGTCAACATATGCCTCTGAAGATTTCTCCGCACCGTCGAGCCGCCACGAAGGAAGCGAGGCGGGTATAGAGACAGAGGAGGATGAGGGAATGGTCCTGGTTGGACGCCCTAGACAATAGCTGTCGTCTCATTTAGGTTACGTCTAACTTGGTGCTATCCTGCACTTTGGTACTTAGGCTTGATGTTCTACGCGGCTTGAAAAAGAATACTTGTCGCTCGTGTATGTGCATCCGTGAGTTGTGTCTCCCTAACAGCATGCAGACAATATCTGAGCACTCGGGTAAATGCGAAGCACCCAGTTCAGTCTACGCCTCAGGAACGCAGTACTTTCAGCGCGTCCCAAATTCAAGCTCGTACTGCCTCTAGATGGCCAGATACGCTGTAGAACCACATCTCCGCGAAAGGATTCAAAGCTCGGAGAGCGAAGGGCTGGCTGATTTAGTATTCTATAGCCTTGTCACTTGGCCTTGTAATAACGCGCTCTTGTTACGATTATCTAGCGGATATCGTCACGTGTATTGTTGACTGATGTCGAAAATATTCACATTCACATCCACATCTTTGTTCCTCCCATTTCTGTGAAACAATGGTTGGCTTCCGCCCACGAGCTACATAATTATCTTGAAAGTCGGCCACGCGCAGCGCACTGCGGGTAAGTTGAACGCTGTTGTCCCTTATACCCGCCAGTCGCTTAAGCACTCAAAACATTCAGCGTTCAAGGTCGACGAACAACCTACAACATGCGCGAACCACAATCTCCTCGCCGCACTCCTCGCTGCAGGAAGTGCCTGCAACCCCGCAAAGGACATCCTCGAACTGGCTGTCCGAACTGGGATCGGACTGACTCTGGAGAAGTTGTAGAGGAGCTGCGAGCGAGCGATGCTATGCAGTCTCTCCGGATCGATAGCAAGATCGACCAACGTCGCAGGCGGGCATCTACACAGCCAATACATCCTCAGCTCACACATCACACGATCTCCACTGAGCCCGTCCAGGGCGCTGTCCAGTCCTTTGCCCTGGACGACGAAAAAGACTCACTAGCCCGCAAAGTAGAACGATGGTTGAAGAGCGTACCAAGTGACCCAAAAGAGCTCGAGCCAAGTTCGCCTAGGGTTAAATACGAAGAAACGGAAGAATCCGCCACTGGCCACTCGCGACAACCGAGACCGCCTTTGCGGACGATGAGCATGGAGGAGAAGTTTAACTTCCTGGAGAGGTTGAAGCAGAACACCAAGCACACAGCACAGGTGTTCATCATGGACAGAAACGAAGTATTGGGGTCGCTAGAGGAGGCAAAGAGGCAGGGCTTCCATGGTGGCGTACATGTCCCTTCACAGGGAGATGCATTCCTGGTTCTCGGGATGGACAGGGAGGCGGTAGATGCGTTGCTCGAGACGGTGAGGGCCGAACGAAGATCACCGATGAAGAGTTGCGTGGCGGGTGCTGTTGTAGGTGCGGCAGCGGTATGGGCAGGACTAGCGTATGCATAGGACACTTTAGAACATTAGCTATGAACTCCTTAATGGCATCTCTAACTCATGCAGCTCTCAACGTTCAAAATACATGGTTCAGTCCGTGATTGGGGACGCTATGCATGGCGAGATGACGGACAGAAGGTTGTTTGCACTGCCATGCGCGCGTTGTCACGGCCGAAGGAGGCCTGGGACATCGCCTTTTTACTGTATTCTTCTGCATGCCTTCCTTCTCGGCGAACAACACCAGACAGTCCTTACTGCGCTCCGGTTTCACCAACATCTCTTGAAGCTTGGATACTATCCCACATGCCTGAAGATCGTAGTCTCCACAGTATACCCTCAATCCCGGAGGTCGACCAGCACGGAGGCGACGATTTGCCGACATACGAAGACTTAGCCTCTCAGAATGGCCCCAATTCGAGGTGAACCTCACTCATGTGCTCATTCTGATGTTCAACTGCTTAGCCGTCACTGATCCAGGTTTGGCCGCTGGAAATCGTGGATAGAGAAACGGTGTGTATCGCCGCACTACATTCGCAAGAATTCACTTATTGTGGCCCATGCAGTGCGGCAGAAAGGTACGCAGACCTGACACCGGAACAATTTGAGCGACGTCGCCAGAAGGGATGGGGAGAAGGTGTGAGTCTGTCTGGCCCCCTCAGCTTGTGGACAACATTAACATCATTGTGGCTGGTAGACCGAAGACGGCAGCGGCCAAGCCACTTCTTCCACGAACTCCAGCACAGGTCGTCATGGTGTACAGCTGCACGTACAAACCGACCTTTCTGCCCCAATAACACCCCCCGGACACCCGCTAGAACCAGAAACTCCGCAACCGTCAATAGGCGAGGTACTCTCTCCGACGCGTCTGCAGCTACACCAATTCGGCTCTCGGTTCTTACCTCACACGACATCGCAAATTCGATGTCTGCTACCAATCCTCGGCGATACTATGCTACTGGTCGGCCACGACGAGGGTCTATCGATATTGAACATGTTTCCGAAAGAATGGTCGGATGAGGGTCTGACAGAGCGAGGACCGAACGACGCGGTTGTGTATCATGTCTTGTCTGGCGAAAGGTTCGTTTGTCATCTCTTGACTCACCGACTACTTCTCAATGAATCATTAGTTTCTGCCAAATGAGCCTTTTGGAGGCGGAAAGCACCGGGGATGGAACTCCCCAAGGCGTCGTTCTTGCCTTAGTGGGTCCAGCGGACGAGCCTCCAAGCGGCCAGGAAGGTGTTAAGTCTATTAGGATGTACAATCTTGGCAGCTTGGTTAGCCTGGCAAAATGGACAACAGTACAGCAGGTATGAACCCACAGTGCTATCGCCTACTCTTATCTCAAAGTATTCTACGTAGCCAGGTGCGCTTCCGCTGCAGCTGGGTATTGCCGAAAGAAAGTATATGCAAGGTCGACATCACAAGTCTAAGCCAAGCCTGGCGAGAGGTTTGAAGCATCTTCGCTTGGATTCTCCACTACATCAGCCCCCGCGCAGTCAAACTCTTAACGAGGTTAATGCGTCCGCAGGCATATCACCAAGCATGCAACTTCCTGGACGAAGCTTGTCTGGTGACTCAGCGGTCAGCGTAGATTCGTCGTGGGATGTCGTGGAAGATCTTCCATTACGCTGGGCCACGGACTATGTTCCCCTCGCAGCTCCCGGCACCAGGTTGTTTGGCACATCAGTTCTGTGTTACGACGTGTGGAGGGATCCAAATGAGCGCAGCAGAGGTGTTGCATATCTTGCCATCGTTGTCAAGAGTAACATCCTATTGTATCACGCTCCGAAAGGAGAAAGAGCCTTCCGCTTCGTCAAGGTGAATGCTAGCGGGGTCCTGATATCTTCGCGCGCTCACGTTCGCATTTAGGAATTCTACACTCCAATTACTGCACGCAGTATTACATTTGTTCAACAATCTGTCCACGACTCGATGTCTCGAAGCCCTTCTGATGTTACCCCGCGAACTCGGCACAGCAGCAGTGCAGGGTTCACTCGACACCTGAAGGGTATGTCCGTGGGTGGCGTAACTCCATTCTACCCGGCGCAACTCAGCCTATTCGCAACTTTCGAGAAGAAGGCGGGCCTCATCCGCATAGCCGATGCCGCCGTTGGCGAGGTCGAACTCTATGACGACGGTACTAGCAGTTTACACGGGATGCTTCTCTCGTCGGGCAGCACAACCTCTCTCTCAAAACGTTCTCGTGCATCATGGGATGGCAGGGGTTTCGTGAAGGACACCAAGGCCGCATGGATTCCACCTTGCAAAGTCGACTTTTCGGAGCCCCAACTCGGTCGCTCCCTCTCACAGAGCATGTACATCCTTACGCGGGGTAAACAGTCGCATATCTTACCCCATCCCTTGCCAACTAATATGTCCGTGGTGCCTCCTTACCGAGTCATACACTGGTCAAGTCCACCAAACAACGTGACTGCGAGGATCAGTCGACCTGAGAACGGCTCGCAGCCTGTCATACATATCGTGGCTTTCGGGGACGATGGTATCGAGGTGCAAGAGCTTTCCCTGTCACGTCTTTCCCAACGAGACGGAAAGAGCCGAGAGGACGAGCCATTGCGTGTACAGGCCGACTTTGGCGGCACTGAAGCGGGCTTCCTGGTCGCTGGCGGGCATTGGCACAAGCCGTTTGGCTCCAGCTTCACGCATACGCCGAACGGGAGCGATCTCGACGCTGATTCGGACTTGGACCTCTTACCTGAAGAGCTTGCAGACGTGATGTACGCCGAACAAGGCATCTACGGCTGGATACGGAAAGGCAGCGAGGACTGGAGGGTCATTTGGCTAGGGGGTGATGAGTGTAGCCAAAGCAAGGAGCGTAACGGGAAGGAGAGGTCTATGTGCTAGGATAATACAAAGCGTGGAATCCAACCGGAAAGCAAGGATAGCGTGCCTGATGATGTGAAAGTTATGGTCTTACAGGTGTACCATAAGGAAGTCCTTGGTCCGTAAGTTAATTTAACTAAGATAACAATGGGGATGAAGTGACTGCGTTTTGTCATGACTGTGCGTTGTTGCCTCGTATCACCGTGAAAGAACGTGGCTTTGGTGTCTCCGCTGACGAACCGCCCGCGTTGTTCGAGGATGTACCTGGTCGCGACTTGCGCACGACGACAAAGGACCGTCCAGCCTCTGGTCCGCTGGGTAACACGTCAGGCTCAGGCTCCACCTCACTTGCTCGCCGGTTCCTGAGGAGGCCGAACCACTTCTTCTTGGGCTGTGCCGCCTCGCTATTCTCGTCTTCCACTTGCCCTATAACGCCTTGGGATGGATGTATTTCGGATGCATTGACTAGCGTAGATGCATCCTCGATCAGAGCGGTCTGCGACTTCGTGCGGACATGCTCGGGAGGCTTGGCGCCCGGTGGAAGGCTAACGTCGGCTTGCTTAGCTACGCTTGAGATGGATGGTGTCGGCGGCGGTGAGTAGTCATGCGATGGGGCCTGCAGTTGGCTCGATCCTACGTTCCGCTCGGACGATCGGAAGGTCTGGTTGGAGCCGCGAAGGGAACTCGACGCGATGGCATACGGCGAATCGTAGTGGGCCCTGCCACCTCCTACTCTGGCGAAACCAGACTTCGGAGGTTCGAGCGCAGGCTGTTCTTCCACCGCATTGTATCCTGGTCGAGGGAAAGGTTGCCAGGCACCCATGATGAAGCCGGTCTCGTCATCGCTCTCCTCCTTATACGGCTGCAGCGCATGTTCTGGTCGAAGTACGGACGGAGGCCCTGATGGGGTCGGCGTCACGTCCTTGAAAGGCGGGCTCGGCCGTTTCAGAGGCAATGTCGCAGGCTGCGGTTCCTGGCGATAACGGGAACGTCGATGGCGCCGCCCGGAACTACCACAGCCTACCAGCCCGAGAACGCCCAAAAGTCCGCTGTCAACGACATGCTTTGATTCGTGGAACCCAATACCACCAAAGATACGAACAACGGCTTCTATGAGCTTTACTATCAGCATCAAGGTAAATGCTAGATAGATAAGTCCGAGGATAAACAGGATGGCATAGGCCACCCACTGGGCGGCTCCGGAGTCCACAGAGACCTACAAGTAATACCCCCATGTCAGAGATGAACGTAATCAAAGAAAACAAGACGATACGAACTATTGGGGTGAGAATGACAAGTAGCACAGCTATGACTATCCGGGCGACGCAGAACAGGAAGCTGATGAGCCCCATGCTAGCTCCATGGGCCCACGGGAGCCATACACTGGTGCCCAAGGCGGAAATGACTTCGACGACAAGAATGACGATGGCTTGGGCCGTACCGCTGTTCTGCCCGCATCCGATCGTTAGTCCGAAGGAGAGGTTTGTGGCAAAGAGAAGACAGGCGAAGAGTTGCGATCCGTGCCTGTAGTGATTATACAATGGTCCAAGAGAAAGCAAAGTCCATGTTTCATCGTAAAGTTTGGTCGTATTCGTGAACGTAAGACGGACGATCAGCGCAATGGGTAAAAGGACCGACAAGGCGCTGAAGGAGATCGCGGCGAGAATTATTGACGCGAGAGGGGCCCGAGATCGGTCGAGTGTCATCTGGTACGAAGAAAAGATCGTAACTGGGAGATGAAACAGTATGAGGATACGAATGAGGTTCCCTTGGAGGACGCTGCCATGGAAAGAGACGAAACCCGAGCGGAAACGCCACCACCGACGCCCGTAGGGAAAGCGTGATGTTCCTCGGAAAAGCCCATGTCCACTCGAGGATCGGTTTTCTTCCGAGCTCTGGAGTTGTGTGATTCCGTCCAACATGTCCTTGCTAGTGGAGGAGTATCGCGGGCTCCGGCTGCCCGTGAGAGGAGGGGTAGCACGGTTGATACCGCCCATGGTGCGTGAGCCTATCCAGTCAAGACCCCATACAGCCACGCTTAGCACGATGGTTGCCGCCATGATAGCAAGAAAGATAGCAAGGCAGACGCCAAACAAGTCCTCTGGACGAAGCCCAACGGAATATGCAAAGGACTCGATGCCGAAAGACGCATTCTCAGGCAGTTGGAAGAGAAAGTTTGGTGCGGAAGTGTTGATGTAGATGGGAGAACTGGGGTCGTTAACCTGATCAGTAAAGCTGCTTGGCGATTCGAAAGCAGGCACAGCCAAAGGATCCCAGCGAGCGGTATTCGACCCCTGAGTGACGGTAACATCTGGATCGGCTGAGTAAGCTTGCCAGAATCAAAATAGAGGCGACATACTGTAGCTCAGCATCGACCATGCTGTTTGTGAGAGAATGGGATCTAACAGATGGTCGGCACAGGTGAAACATGGAGGGGGCAATCACATACAAATAGAAGCCGGCCACTGAACGGCAACCATAGCCAAGGCTGCACACCACTGCGTGTGAAAGATTATATCTCGTAAAGATGGCGTGCCTTCAGAAGGATAGACATGAGAAAGCTGCGAGAAGACAGAAACTTAGTGCTTACAAAATCTCATAAGCGCAGGTGATGTAGCGAGCCGTTCACCGCTAATTGCGCTCGCCAGAATGAACCCTGCGCTTTCTACTCGGGCCCAAAGGCCGCGGCCGTTCCTCGTGGACCCTCGTCCCCACGCAGATGCCAGCCGCGCAAGGCCGACAAGAAGCCAGTATGCAATCGCTAAACCTACAGTGCACCAGAACACAATTTGCGCGTCACCATACACTGGATCTAACGAGTTTGGTTGAAGTACCGTGGTGTTGACATCCAAGCAAAGTAGCTCATTTTGGAACGGGTCGAGGGCACGGAGGCGGGTATCGAGCGTAGCCAACGCGTAGGACTTGCTGAGTAGTATTGAACTCGAGAGCGCGAAGGGTCCGGGACTGAAAGGGCAGTAGTTGCTCGTATTGGGAAGTGGCGACGGGGGCCTTAATGTCGAGCAAAAGTATGAATTGTTATTCCATACGTCAAACGTGAGGATAGACGTCGTGGTAAATAGTGTCGCTACAGAGACTCTGGTTGAGCACACCGGCATGCTGGCCGCAGCAGTACTCACTGGCGACAGGATCGCTTCCATTTGAAGCCTCCAGTATCTGCTCAGGAGTGGTCCCAAATAGCGTAATGTTTATGTGCGCCTTCCCGGATGGGTCGGAGATGTACTGTGCGTACACATTTGAGATGGAGAGCTTCTGGCTGGTGCTGCTATCTGAGGAGCAATCGGAGTACTGGAGAGTCGCCGGTTGGGCTAGCGAGCCGAGCAAGAGAGACAGCGAAAGTAATAAGAGGAGAAGCATTTGTGCAGGCGCATACCGCGACTGTCGGGCATGCCAGGGATGCCTTGCCATGAAGTGGTCGCTCGGTATGAGGAGCGCGTGCAACTTCCCGACGGTTGGAGCTCGTGTGACACGTGACTGTCACAAGACAGTAATAATTCCGCATCATTATGCTCGTTTTGCTCAGAAAAATACCAGACTCGAACCACTTTCCCCAACAATGCTCACCTTTTCCCTCGTCGAGCAAGAATTTCGGACAAAAATGGCCGTAATAAGGAGCAGGCTGCACCGCGTTGCGGCCGCTCTACGCCATGGGTCGAACGCTGGAGCGGGGGTGCGATGCCATGGTGGGAGGCTTCAGGTCCATAGTCCATTTACTATCACAATTGACACAGAAAATTGATTGCGAATACTCGGTACATAGCACTAGAATCCAAATCGAGTGCCAGTTAAAGTACTGATAGTTTGTCACTGCTCTGCTGCGACCTGAAGCTCTTTGCAAGGCGTGGCAACGCGCAACAGCGCCTGCGTTGCCGCTTACCGTCGCGCGTATTTACAAGCAGCCACGCAGCACGCGTCTTGGATAGCAGCCGGAATACGCGAAGGCATGCACAAAATTGAAATAATCGAGTAGCCTTACCTGCAGACAGACCTCGCTCAAGCCTCATGGCTTACGGGATACCACTTAGTGCGCATCCGCACGACCTAGCCCTGGTTTGTTTCACAATAGCAAAGCTTCGAGAAACAAGAGGAATTCTAAATGGCTGACGTCAATCTCTCGCTTAGGACGCGATCCTCGAGGCTCACGTACGCAGCACCCAAAAAATGAGAGATTTTCTGGCCCTGCGCCGCGTCTTACGTTGCGGCAGAGGCTAGACTTCCTTTTTGCGGGACTACTAAGCATCGCGGGAGCGTTGCCTGGTCCCGTGCGCCCTTTCTGCGGTGTGGTAGGTCTTCGGAGTTTTTTGCCCTCGCCAGACAGTTGTACAGCTGACAAAAACATACAATTTGCGTCAGTTTACTCGCAGTGCGATCTCCTCAGGAAAACACCCTGTTAAAACATGCTTACTGTAGGCTGCCGTCACGCTCGGTGGCATTTTACGGAACAGGCGCATCCCTTCCCGCCTGGGCTTCTGGGCCTGCGGCTCGGATAGTGCGTAGGTAGCGTCGACAAGGCGCCGCCTCTCCGCCCTCCACATGGATACCCGGAAATCTCCCAATTCCCACCCCCGAATCTCACTAGCGTGGATAATTCTCTTAAGGCGTCTGTCGGAGCATCCTTCCTAAGCCCGCTGTGGCATCTTCTGGTACGTATACACACTTACCTGGTGGACAGTGCCTTCGTGTGACGACAGTTTACCCAGGCATTTGGCTTTTTCCAATTGCCTACTGGTGGAACCTCTGGTGCTGACTGCGCAAGGGTTGAAGCAGAAAATTCCTTCAGCTGACCTTGAACGGCTCCATGTGCCAGAAAAGCCCTTAACGGGGCCGACGCAGATGAACAGAACTTGAACGCGAGGTACGGTCATTCGGTTTTCAAGGAAGCGTCATAGCAAAGCGGAGTCTACACAGCTAAGATCGTTTCAGCAGGTGATGAGAACCGAGAGGTTGCGCAGCCACTCTCCGGCAGAAGCTGAAATTGCGAACCGGCGAGCCGTACCTTCCCATTGCAGGGTCGTATCTGTTCGATAAAGTTTACGAAGGCAATTTGCCCGCGTATACCAACGTGAAAGAGGCCAGAAGTCAACTCGGGCCTCGTGAATGCCAGTCAGTTGGTTCCGACTCTTCGCGAGCTTCATACCGTTACGATGGATGTTAGTCACGATCCTTGTTTATTGCTGCCTGTATTCATGCTTACTTGAGCATCAGAGGGGGGGGCGAGACAGCATGGGAAAGGTTCTATCCTGAGCCGGCACAATCATCGCCTCCCTCAGACCGCCACAACGTCACTGTATCACTTCTCAAAGGTTCTCGGCTGCAACCGCCGCCCTGTAAGAGCTCAATAGCTTCGTGGCTATCTGCGAAGAAGCTATTAACGTTCGCGTTTCATGTTGAGGCTCCGTTGTCGCCGCCCTAACCTTGCTCTGCGATGATAGCGTGCATTGGGAAGGTACGATCCGTGAGAGCCTCGAGACCAGGGCGCGAGGGGTCGAAAGTTGCTGTTCATGGGAAAACGGAAGTACCCAATCACCAACTGACGAGATCTCAACAAGAAGCACAGGTCAAGGTACAGTCAAAGTTCTTCGGACGCATACGGCTCGACTTACGACATCCTCGCTAGCACGCGTCCGCAGCTAAACTTGACGGGTGGGGTCCCGTGAAGGAAAGGCGCGCGCGCATATGGGTGGCGACGATCGATCCCGTGTAAGCAAGAGGGTTGGTATCCCCGCGCGGTCCACTTTACTATCCCATTCTGCCACAGAGGATGGCTCGCACAGCATTCATCAAGCTCCCGTTCCACCGGGCACAGACAAACACTTGCTCCCCTCCATTGACTTGCAAACATCAGTCTGTGCAGAATGCTAGCATGCCGGGTTCGGCGTATTGGCGGTGGTCGCAAGGGCTTGCCCCGGATTGGCCCCGGAGGACCCTTACGTACAGAAGTGACTGGTGAGTGCTGGCGAGGCGGCGGTCGGCTTGCTGCTGACACGGACAGGTCTTTCGCTCGCATGAATAACTCGGTTTATCGCGTACGCGATTCATGACCTTGGGGGCGCTACAAGTCTGAGACATTGCGAGTAACAAGGGCGTCGCCCGTTCTCGTGTGTCCGCAGAGCTTTAATTAAGCCTTCAAGCATACGTGCATCAGCTCTACGTCACGCGGTCACGGTCGACAGCCTGCTTCTCTGCGCTGTCGCGCGCGCGGCTCGCAGTCACTGTGCCCACGGCACGCCAACTCCGAGTGGCAGCGCGGGAGCTCACATGGGGCGGACGCGCGGGGCGGCGTCCCCGCCGCATTCAACGGCCAGGCCCCAAACTCTGTCGGTGGATCGAGATCTGACGTGCAGGGAGAGCGCGGTTGCCGTTGTCGACAATGCCGCCGGTACCACATTTGGAACATCCTCGGAAGACGGCCTGCCACGTTGTTACCGACCTCCGGCGCCTACCCCAGCATCCCCGTTCTTCACGTCGAGCGAGGTGCAGTCCGCACATGCCCAAGGTTTGTTCTTTGATTGAGAACTTGTTCGCAATGGGGGCCCTGATAACTCGTGCCTATGCATCAGCGATGCCATACCAACTCGCTGATAAGCTGCATCCTTCTAGTGTTCTTCGCGCAGCGCACTGGGCAGACTGGTACCCACAGTGGTCAACCTTACCCTGTTCTGTTCTCCAATACAGACCACAAGCCACCCATCTAGGCCGGGTCATCCCCGTGGCGTTACAGTTCATCTCTGGTGCGTGCTCGCCGCTATGCATACTGTTCGCATTGCACAGCTAGCGCCCCAGGGCGATGGAGGCTCTACCGATCTTTTCGCTCATTTCTCTTGCACCGCGATTGGTTAGAATTTGCTTGACGGCGCATAATATGTGAATTCATTGTAAGCTTTACCGTGGTCCTGAGAGCATGTCTCAGTGGTGCTTATTTGCATCCGTTTCAATTTTCCGCCAGTATTGCTTGCCTTCAGACTCGCTTGTGATCATCTCAGTTCACGGATGTGGGGATGGCGTCCTCACAGCGTTCCATTGCAGACATGAGACACCAAGATGAAAGATTCCCATCGACCTTCAGAATGCACATCCGCATACTCACGACGGACGGGGCGATGCCTCTGTCAACCTTTGCCACAAAGCGTAAGACACGCCGTCACTTCTTCCCCGACAATGTGGGACAAAGCGTACAGGAGAAGTGATGGCCGTTTCTATAGCGGTGCTCTGGGCCTCTTCTTTTCTGCGATGACAGAATACTGACGGAAGCTTGGTTGTCAGCCTTCGTGCAAATTCGCAGAAGCCCCCCTTGGTATCGATGGTGCGCAACTGGACATCCGAGGAGTTTTCGGCCGTCTGCGGCCCTCCTTGGTGTTGCCGAGTCCGCCCCCTCGATCCCAATGGCGGATCATCTGATCCCATCACGGTTATCTGCCCTCCATTATCGTGTTCCACATGCCATCAACCCGAATACTGCAAATCGCAGTGCCATGACTATTTGGCGCAGTCCACGGGCTTGCTTCCATGAGCGAACCTGTGATAGTCCACACGACAATTGCACCTTGCGCCCTCGTGCTCACATTCGCCCTGGCCGCGGGCCTCGCTCGGTGGTGTCGGCGACCAGCGCGGGCGCAGTGCACCAGGGCCAGCGGATTGTTTGAGGAGTACGTCAAACTGAACGCTATTATCTACGGTGTATTCGGCCGTTTCGCAGCACATAACGAGCTGACGACGGGGCAGAGACGTTGAAAAACTCGCGGGGCATTACGGGTAACCCGCCGCACAGCCTTGTGGATGATAACTCGCGCGCCGTCGTGTCACGACTGGCTCCGCTAGACATCTGTCACGCGAAGGTACAGCGGGTAGCTGCTAATGGGGTAGAGTACTTCCTGCGTTTGTCCGCCGAAACCGTTTCATTGACGACCAGACGACCGTCGAGGCGTGCTTCAGCTTTCGCTTTAGACACTGCGACTGCCGGTACACACATCGTCCGAATACGCGGTACCGTTTCGCCCCGGCAGGACGTCAGGGGGCCGACGCGACCCTACGGGCTCGAGCGGACTACGTCGCCCTTCACTGTCTCTGACTGTGCTTTCCGCAAAGGTGCCGATGCGCGGAGAGCGGACTCGTCAGCCCTTGCCGCAGCACGTAAGACTCCGCAGGTTGCAATGGGAAATGTATCTTGTTGGTCAAGCGAGCCCCAGACGCAGGCGGATATGTACAGCGTGGACAAAACACGTCACAATAGCGGACATGGACGACGCAAACTTCAGAGGGCTCATCGGACATGAAGATACCCTTCTTGCCTCTTCCTTCCAGAACGGCCTGTGGGGACAGGTGCGCATCGACCTCACTTGGTTTGCAAAGCTGGATTTTTCACCCTGAGGCGCTTTGCGCGGGCCACATGTATACGAAAAGAAGGGCGGGTCAGGCGGGCCATGGTTCTCACCCGGTTGGCGTACAGTGTTCCCATGTTCAGTCCATCTCGCCGCCGCGCGCATTGGTTATCGTCCGCTCCCACTTCGATCGCAATTTGTTTTGTCCGTCTATTCATGCGCTCGCTGTAGGCTCTTGGGCGGCGGTGCCAGGGTCCCTTGCCCTGTGCCTCGTTCGGCTGCCCTCTGAGCGGACCCTAGGATCTCGCTCCAACGTACGAAGTGCCGTGTTCCCATGTTTATCGCTAACTCACGTGCGCATACTCTCACGCCAACGTAAGTGATGATGGCATGCGCGCAACCCCGAGTGTGCGTACGAATGGGTGAGTTCTTTCCCAGCCCCTTGCAGGCCCGACTCCATTCCACTGGGCTGCGTTCGCTGTCCTTCGATTACACCATCGTAATGCGCCCCGGCCTGAAATTGTTCCCCGCGGGGAGAAGTGTTCAGCTGGCCGCCGCTCATGTGCCAACGGGCAATTTGAAACGGGCCTTCGCAGCTCGAGCTGGTCCGGCCGTCGTGCGTAAGGGGGGACTGTCGGCTTTGGAATGCAGACGCAAGGAGCGCGCTACGGCGACGGGCCGGGGGCGAGGGGCAGAAAGATGCGGGGGAGCCGCTGCAGGCCAGGAACGGTTGGGGCGCGGCCTCGGATCTGGAAGGGGCCACCGGGAGAGGAGCCCGCTGCCGCCCGCGGACATCGCCCCCAGGGAGCAACCAGACGACCGATGGCGGGCTTCAGACGGACGAGGGGAGACGCAGTTTCTGCTTTCGTTTGTTTGTGCTCGCGATCCGCACGGAGGCAAAGATGACGGAGGGGACGGAGGTTTAATGAAGCGGATGAAACACGCTGTAGAGCCACGACCAGTTCAGCGCGCTTCGCGGGAGCAAAGATTGGGAGCCGAGAGTCTATTATTTGGAAAGAGTTTCCTCATCTCGTTCAGACTACTGGGCTGTGTGAGAAAGCGGTGGGCGATGTGTGCACCGGTCTGTTGCATCTGCGCAAGGCACTGCTGACCGAGGGCACTCTCCCAATGGCTGGGCCTGCGTGGCGCTGCCCGTCAGTGTTGTCGACCGCGATTGGCCGAGTCATGGCCACTCGGTGGGAGAAGCTCGACGGGAACCAGACTGGACTGTTTGTCGTCAACGTAAAATGCTTCTCTGACGAAGAGGAGGCTGTTTACAGAGGCCTCATATTGCTAAGGATGTTCAGGCTCATGTTACGACCGGCGAACGGGAGATGCTGCCAGCGGCGCCACGAGAGGCGAGTCGGACGTGCGCGGCAGGCTGACTCGGTGGCCAGAACGGGCGACGTCATGCATGTAGTGTCTGTTTTGTCAAAGCCGCCGAGACATGTCTAACAAGCTCAAAGACGACATTCGTATCTACCACAGGCCGACAGGTAGGGAGGAGCGTCGCCGCCGGCGCATATGTCGTGGCGGGCGGCATCTTCCGAGGGGATCCTCGACGAGGGCGCAGGATGACGGAAAACGACCTGAGGCAGGAGCTCGGTTCGGCATCGTGACGGCACCCCACAGCATGTGTTCCGCCGTTCGCGTATCTTCCGAAAGAGGGAGTCGAGAAGAAAAGAAAGCAGAGTGGAAAGAGGATACGTAAAGCCGGGGTATTCACGTTCGTTACAGGAAGGGCCCGTTCGAGTTCGCACGACGAATGGGCGAGGCGAGAACGCGTCGGGGACGCTGTGGACAGTGAAATTTTATGTGCGTGCGTATGTGTGTCACTCTGGCGTGCGGAGCGCCGCCGCGCCGACGCAGAGGGCGGTGTTGGGGGGAGGGAGGGTTCTCGCGCGCTCCCTGGGGCCCGTCGACGGGAGGAGGGGAGCTGAGGAGCAGAGTGCGATGCACGTCGTCGAGGGGCGGGACTGGTGCTGTGGCGGAGCTGTGACTGTGACCGGTGCCTTGTTCTTTGACTTGTGCTTCTTTTCCTATTTTTTTCATTCTATTTTCTCGCTCTGTGCGCATGGAATGGGCGATGGTATTTGCGCACGTTTGGCAACGGACCCAAGAGAACGGTATGGGCGGGAGGCGGAATGGCAGTCTAACCAGATCTGGCACTGAGCACAGCCTGAGGCTCGAATAAAGTTCTGCCCTCTGGCACCGGTCTGGTCTGGGGTCCTAACTGTAGTGGGACACAGGGTGGGTTTCCTTTCTGGGGTCGTGTTTACATGGGACGGTACAAAATCCGGGAGAGACTCGTCTGCTGAGCCATCTGCCCGTACACCCCGCCGTTGAACGAAGCCACGCTGTAGACCATCACCAATTCCTTCTGCTATGGACTTCCAATTCGACCCATACGCTTCCTACTCCGACGCATCAACTCCCCGCACCCCTTCTCCCAGAACGTCCGTTTCATCTGACGACGTCCACTACCCTTCGCCAGGTTTCAAGCCCGCCGTCGACGTCGCCGTTGCGCCTTCCATCTACGAGCCCAACGACGAGCACGGCATCCCTCCAGAGCCGCACGCTATCAAGGCTGCTGCTTACATGCATTCCCAGCACTACAACAACGCGTCTTACCCTCCGCCACCGGGGTCGCGGGGCTCCCTTCTGGAGGAGCTTTATGATAGTGACATGCACGAACAGAACATGCCAAACGACATGTACTCTCATCAGGAGCAAGCACACTACTCGCATCACTCGCATCATCCTCAGTCGCGCCACCAGGGTACATGGCCTTTGCCACAATCCGCCCACGGCGACCACCACCTCCCGCCTATGCGTCACGTCCACGATATCCCCATGTCTCGCCGCGCGACTTTCCCCTACGTTCGTCACGATGGTCGTGACCCGCTCCCATACCCTCCGCCGCCGTTCATGAGTGAGTCGTCGAGCCCATATGGCTCGCGTCCAGGAACGATGTATGGAGACCCGATGCCCATGGAAGCAATGCATCACCCGATGGAAGAGCCCTTCGCGCACAGCGTTTCTCTCTCGGCATCCCCTCACCAGCCCATGTATGACATGATCAAGACTGAGGACTCACCCGTCATCGTGCCCTCGCAAACCGGCTACTGCAGACCACCCTCTGCAGGTATGCACGGTCTGCCGTGTCTCTCTCCTCACGCCGGCCTCCTTGTGCAGCACACTGACGATGCCGCGTCAAAAGAGACTCAGTACCTCCGTCGGAGGTGTTTCAACTGTCATACGACCGAGCCGCCAAGCTGGCGGCGCTCGACGCTCAACCCCGGCAAGATCGTCTGCAACAAGTGCGGTCTCTACGAGCGCACTCACTTGCGTCCTCGCCCTCTGCGTTTCGACGAGTTGCGAGCGGGAAGCAAGACGAGGAAACAGCCGAAGACAGCTGCCGGGGGAAGCCCGAAAGTGGGCAAGTTGACGCCCGTCGTGAAGAAGGAGTCGCGCGACAGTGCTGAGCCTCTGCAGCGCCGGTCATCGGTGTCGTCGTCGAATGGTTCGGCGCCGTCCGCTGGCGCGTCGAGTGACTGGGACGATTCTGGTGAGTAAATTGCATTCCTCGTTTCAGCTTCGTGCTGATTGGTTAACAGTTTCGCTCGCGTCGTCAGGCTCTGTCCCCAACTCGTCGTTCAACTCCCCAGCAGTCTCGACGTTCCCGATACCCCGCGACTCCGCATCGCAGTCGCCTCCGCGTGACGGCGGCATTCGCTTGCCGAACGCTCCTCTCTCGGACATCGCTTCGCTCACGAATTCCCCGCAGCAGCGTCCTGCTAGTGCTTCGGGTGCGTTTTCATCAAGTTGCACCAATGCTGCGGCTGACGAGTATTAAATTGATAAAGTCGAATCGCAGCCACCGTCAATGCCCGAGGTCACTGGTTGGCAAAGCGTTCCGTTCTCTGATCTGGGTCCTTCCAAGTCGAAGTCCCGGAGCAACAGCTTGCGGAAGACGGTAGCGGCGGCTTGATATGGACGCTTCGACAGGTTCCGGCATACCCCCTTGCATTTTTTCTATTTGCTTTTAGACACTTCAAGTTCCTGTCGCTGCTGCTGCTCGACCATTGGCCCCTCTTGGACCCGCGTTCGCATGGGGCTGTCCGCTCGTTTTTTGCGCCGCGCTAATGTACATGATGCATACTCTACCCCCTCGTCCCCGACTGCTCCCGACTCGCGGCGGTTGTGCCAGCAACGATATCGACCATCTATCTCACGCGTCTCCGGACAAGCCATCGTCGACGAGCCAACGTATTTATTCGTAAAACGCTCTCGATATCGGTCTGCGAAGTGCGCCATCGCGAGGAAACATCACGCAAAATATATCCCCCGACTTGTACTTCACTGTTCACGTTCAATGTATCCTCAGCAACGCAAACATTTACCCCCACATCGTCGTGATTCCCTGTTCATACTTCTTCGGTGCTGTTCATAATTATTTGCCCACAAGGGTCTGGCTTTTGCTTTTTGTCTCATCTGTTTATTGCTTGGGCTTGTTGTTTATATGGCGACTCCACACCATTGTCTTCGGACTCACGCTATCTATTGGGCCTGTTCCTGTCACAGTCTCTTGTTGCACAGTTTTTCGCGTTGACAGAATCTTTCGTAGTTGCATACCAGCCGAACTCTTTTGTAATCGTAGTTTACTATCTCGACGAGGAATGAAAAGAGGAACCAATACAGCTTTGGCACGTGTGAACGGCTGGGGAGTTCGATTGGAAGGCTTCCTGCGGCACATTACAAGGGACGCACGGGGCCTGGGCGATAAGGCGAGTTCGTTGTCAAGAGCCTTGTCATCTGTATGTAAGCCGTTGTCGACGCCCGCCGTCGCCTGCCATAATTGCATGACAGATGCGAGCCTTGTACACGAAGCAATCACCGTGTCCGTGAGTATATTGGGGAAGGTTAACATACAGAGTCCGGACAGCGGTGGAAGGGGGCGGAGGAGACTGGTGCCGCGAAGCTAGAATCCAGGACATAGTGCAAGGAGAAACCTTTTGCGCGCAGGCAGGCCTGGGAACGCGTGCGATGCGAAGGAGTACGTAATGTGTGAAAGGAACAGGGAGGAAATGGTACGAGTCCGCGAACGGAGCTGAACGGGGGACCCCTTGCACAACGGCCTGCAGCTCGCACACGCGTCGCGAGGAGCTGCCTGTCCGATGGGCGCGGGGTTCCTTCCTCCGCCAGCCATCCGCGAACCATGGCTGGGCGAGGTCTCCGGCAGAGCCCACTGCGGCGCGCACGACGAGCACGGAGCGACGAGCGCGCAGCGCCTGCGGGTGCGTCGCCCGTGCAGAAGCCGGGATTCGATTCGCGACGCGAGCAAGGACGGAGCCTGGCTCCAGCTGGCGCGGCCGCGGACGCTTAGAGGAGGCTGGCGATTCTGGGGTGCTCCCGTGCATCGGCAATTGCGGCGGCGAGACGCGTGCCTCAGCTCGATCATTCGTCCCCCGATCGTCTTCGGTGTAGCAGCAGGGATCGTCGCCGCCTGTGCCGGCGAGTGCACGCCTCGTCCGAGAGCCTCAGCGCGGCCTCCCAGGCCAGCCCCAGCCGTCCCTCGCAGTCAAGAACAACAGTCCCCCTCGACCGGGTGCTCTCTCAGGCGTAGCGCCCCTTACGTCCCATGCCATCCCCCTCGTCCTCCACGGCCTGGCAGAGAATTTCGTTTGCGTCGTTTGAGCGGACGCGACGCCGCAACGACGCCTGCTCAGAGCTCCGCGGAGCTCGTCACTCTTCCTCCAAAGCGTTCTATCGACACCGTACCCACGAAATACGGTTTATTCCTATTTTATTAATTCTCTGTCGGTTTCTCGGTCTCGTTGACGCCGTCGCCGACCGCCAGTTTCCCGGGTGCCCCCGCATCGGTGCATATGCATCCGACCACTTAATGGCGCAAAGGGACTCGATCGGGCTTCACGGTCGTCACGACATATACGACTGTCTCTTGCGCTATTTTGTGCCTGGTCGACTCGGGACTGTCCGCTTGCACGTGCGAAACGCACCAGCCCACAGTGCACACTGCACACCCGCGACATACCGATGACGGGTTCTTGTACGACCCCGTGATGGACGGGAATGGAGGGTGGTGGCGCGACAAGTATCCTCGTGCTTGGTGGGCCGTTGACAACACATTTCGTCTCCGGCTTATCGTGGGCCGCGTGGCTGGGCCAAGCCAAAGACCCCAGCAGCGTCCGGTCCGCGCTGAACAAAAGTCTAAAACAGTTTCCTAGTCACCTGCCTGAGGAAACCCGACACGTCTGCGATCGTGCGCAATCCCCCGCTTTTTAGCACCAACTAATGAGGGTGAGACTGAGGTGCAATGAAGTGCAGTGGGCGTAATAAATAACCCCTAATCAGCTAAAACATGTGAATTTCACACGAAAGAGGCAAGGGACGTCCATGGCGTCCATTGCGCAGAGCTCGAGCAAAATATTTCCGCTGTGCAGCGTGCAGGCCTTCTTCAAGCTGTGAATCCCCGCTGCCGCCACAAACGTCGCGGCTGCGAGTGATGCGCCGTGCAAAGGCTTTGTGGCACGCGATCTAGGTCTCAATTGGCGGCCGCAGGTCATCAAGCATCCCCATCATGATTGATGCAGGCAGACATCATCCTCCAGATGATGAGACGCACCCGTCATCGCAGCGGGACTGGGTCGCGGCCGAGGTCAATATTGCCGGCGCCACATGTGTTCAGACGTTTTCCTCACCATGGGGACGGGCCGGCGGGAGGAAAAGAGATCGCGGGACGTCGGCAGAGATGTTCGGGTTTTGTTTCGACCTCACTAGCACTGGTCATTCCATGTGCACGAGCTTCTAGTCTCCTGGACATCGAAGACGGATGTAAAAAAAGTATAAATTCGCCGCGGTCATCCGTCAAGTGCGTGACCGGGCTCGTGGTGACCGGTTGGGACTGAACGGATAGAAGCTGCTGCTGTACGTAGCCTGCTTCTACAGGTCATGGAAGCACCCAAGTCATGTTATCGTATTGTCGCGTCCCGCGGGCGGCGGCCTGCGTCCTCTGCACGTCTGCTCCAAAACGTCGAGTACAGCTGAGAGGCAGACCCTGCCCTGTGCCGATAGCCCTGCAACCGACGCATTTGCAAATGGTGTTATCTACACCGGTCTAGCATCCACCGCGCGCCCAGCGAACGTGCTCGGCCGTGCGTCCATTCTGTCCAGAGCCGGCATATGACGCGACTCAACGGTCATGCAGGTCATGTGTGAGCACATCCACGGCACGCACACACTGAAACACGCCCCTGCGCCCGCCTGCGCGCGATATGATTCGCCTGCCGCGTCCCGGACAGCATGCCCGCAGTTTCTCCATGACGGCGCGTGCCGCCGCGGTGGCGGTGCCGGCGGAACTGTTCTCCCGTGTGCGCGCTTCCCGGTGGGTGCACACACGACGGCATGGCGCAGTGCACTAGCGAAAACAAGTTTGGTGAAGTCGCACTCGCCCTTGTGCTCCTCTCCTCTCGCTCCAAGGCAACCGACGTGACACTCCAAATACCACACGTCGAACGTCGGCCTGTGTGTCGCCGTCGACGTATGGGCGACACGTGGGACTTGTGTAACCGGCAAACTTTGACTCTGAAAGTGACTAGCCAAAATGTCGCTTCACTTGACCCAAGTAAGGTCTAGCACTAGCACTCTCCATGCCCTAGGTCTCCAGCGCTGCGCCATAATTTCCGCCTTCGTTACGCCTCATCCTTGTGCTCCATGCGCCCGTTGAAGGAACCTATTATCCGCCACGCGCAGCTTCTCCCAGAGGGGCAGCGGACAAAGAGACGAGACAATTCGTTCTCCATAACCGTCACGCTCGGTGCGCGCGCTGCGACGGCCGCAGGCGCGCGGCGTGTGAGAATTTGGATATCGCGTCCTCGCCTCATGTTCGCATACGCTATTGTGCAGGCTGGGCTGTACGCGGGTTCGAGTCATGTGTGTGCTGGCGCGGTCCATGGGCCTGGTGTAATAGGTTTCCCAGTAACCAGCCACAGCCGCAGGGCACGGCCTTGCAGTGGGGGCGGGGGGCCCACCCTGCCAGCTAAACTCAGGACCCTTTCGAGGCGCGGCAACGGTATGAGTCAACTACGTACAGGTACAGATTCCGATTACCCCACAGAAGAGGAGCCCGGGCGAAAGAATGGCGCATCGTATCGGAAATTATGTTATGTGGACAGGCAGGCGGTGGCCGCCCTCGGGGGCTGTTTGGGCTCGGGGACGGCCTGGCCGTGTTAGCTTGCAAGGACGAATGGCCAGCTCACGAGCGGATCGGAGACAGAGCGAGAACGCTCTCCACGGCTGCTGCTTCTTCGTGCTTCTCGGGCGCAGGGCCGGCCGCGATAAGACGACGACGTAGGCACACGGACGATGCCGAGTCTGAGCGCAGGGTCCCTGCGGAACTCAGCGCGCGCTCGTCACCTGCGCACGGAGTCTGCGTCATCTCCCTGCCCGAGCGGTGACACCTGGCGCTCCGCCCGGTTTGCGAACCCCCCACTGCGACGGTTTCTCGAACGGCAAATATTTGAATGTGCGTCGACCTGGGAAGCCGTACCTGAACAGGAATGAAAAAGAGATCACCGGTCTCGAGACGGGCCCGGACAGGCCTGCTTAGTATGACGACCACAATGCATTAATATTGTCAGTTCTCCAACGGGCTTAGTGAGATCGTGGCGCCAACGTATACATTCAGAGGTCAGTCTCTGGTCACGAGAGGGCACTGAAAATTTGCCTGGCGAGCCTTTGCACATGCCGTTGAACCGAACGCAAGCGAGCCAGGTTCTCCACTGGCACATAACGTCGTTGTGGCGGCTGACCCGCAATTTTTGCTGGCTACAGCCGCGGCCGCGACCAACTTACGTACCCCGTGTTTTTAGGACGTCGGCGGCCTTAACGGTTAAACTTCCGGTTAAGGGCGAGATACGTGTCGTACACAGGGGCGCGATGGTGGCGGCCCCGCCATTTATTTAGGATCACTGATCATGTCTCGGAACGCACGTACGTACGCTTGAGGATTCAAGCAAGTCGTCATGTTAGGATCGTGACAGTCCCTGCCAGGACAAGTCCAAGTATTATGAGTTCGGCGTATGCAAAACAGGCTCAGGCGAGTGTCAATGAAACGCCGAATGTACCGTAGTTCCCTCTGAGAGCCTCCTTGGTACAGTTAGTAGGCGTGACAATCGGCGTGTCAAGAAGTTGAATGAGGATTTGCAGGGTTGATAGTGTAGAGCACGTACACGACCACCGACGCCCACTTATTGGTACACTCGGGTGCAGATCGCGGTCTGAGAGCGCATAATGATGCTAAGATCAGTACTGTACTTACGCTGGAGTAGGATCGCTGGATCAACCCCGATACTAAGATCAAAAAACGGGTTCCCGAGCCCCTATCATGTCAGATAGTGCAGACTAGGCAGCAAGTCCAACACGGATTTCAAAGGACGCCTCTGAGTAGTGTCATATGTCGCGCTGAGGCGGAAAAGGGCTGGTGTTGGCGCTGTAGTGTCGGCAGGTAGTCACCACTGAGAGCGGAAGAGCACCGGCAATGATGGGAAATAGCGCAGGCAGACAAGTTGATAAAACCCGCGTCATGTTGAGGACGATCTGCCTGCATATCACATAACGGTGAGATGGAGGTTGCAAGCAAAGCGTCGGGCGGCAAAGACTGTTGGCGGATCCACAAAAGGCAATGCGGCGCTTAGCTGCGTCGGGGGGAGTAGACGCCTGCGGCACAAGGGTGAAGCAACACCGATCTATGGTCATAGCTCGAAGCTCATCACCGCGGTAACGACTTCGGGACTGCAAGTGCTCTCGTCTTGACGGTCAATATGACCTCCAATACTGTTGCTTTTCCGACTCCCTCTCGTGCTGTAACGCCCTCTGTCTCGTCAGAAACATCGCTGCAGGCTCGACATCCGGTAGTATCAATGTCTTGCCACACGAGTGCTGTCGAGGTCTGTGACCTTGTTTACAGTGCTTCTATCTCGTCCTGGGATGCCATAGAAAGGTTCTATGAGCCAAACGCGACATATGAGAACCCATTCGTTACCGCCAGTTCGCGCACGCTCATATCCGACATCCATGCTGTTGCTTCTCACCTTTCGCACATCGACGTGCCCAGACCAGTCGCTGTGCTGCACGCTTTGTTTGGCCTGAAGAAGGAGAAGCTGTGGATGAGCCCATGGTTCAGGGCTGTGTCAGTGTGGGGAGAAACAGGCGATGTATGCGAGAGCGAGAGCTTCGGTGAGTGGAGCTGCGTGTCTGGTACGAGCATGCGGACAAGGTGCCAACCCATACGGGTGCTGGTCCAGTATCGAAGGAAGATTCATGGCCTTGGCTAATAAATGCGCTCCAGATGGGCATCGGAAGATTATAGTCGAACACACGCTACACATTTTGCTCCTACCGGGGCTGCACTCTCCTGGAAGACACCACCAGGTGGTGGCAACGACTCAGCCGGAAACACCGTCGACACGTACCCTCTCGCTCCCCTCAGCACATCTTCAACAGGTGGCTCACTATTCGACGCTGGGGATTGACCTATCGTTGCCGTCCCCCTTCCACCTCCGTCTCCCGATTACGTCCAAGCTGTCCTTCAACGATGCGGGAAAGATTACATATCATAGAGATCTCTGGGATGTCAAGGTATGGGATATTCTCGTAACCCTTCTCAGGCCTGTTCTAATCCGAAGACGTAGGACATGCTCGGACTTGTGCCTGGAATGTCACTAGCACAATGGCTATCCGGTAGATTCGCCGCACAGGGCATCCGAGGGGTGGCATGGCTTGGCCGTTCATTGTTGTGGTCTAGGCCGGAAGATGAGGTTCACCCGCGGTCTGTCACCTGCCGCAAGCGGACCGCCGACGAAGAGCAGGGGCTATCGTCCGCCGGGGCTTACGCGAACGCCGTGAGAGAAGAGACGACGTGAGGCTGTCGGGGTTCCAACGGCAGAGGCGCGTCCTTGTGCTGTATATGTCGACAGCATTTAATTGCGAGTACGTCCACGCTCTTGTTTTTTTTTAGCCTTTGCTCCAGATGCTTTTCTCTGAAGCGATACCCCACCTGGTTCATTGGTTCCCCTCTTGACTCCCGGACGCACGGCCATTCTCGGCTGGTCGCTGCTATTCGTTTCCTGTATTATACTCCTTTCGCAAGCCGTGACATCGCTTGTACAATAGCAGCTCAACAATGTATTACAGCATCGTGGATAGCGATTGATTCGTGGTATCCCTGGTCAGCAATATTGCGCGCTTTTGCGCTTTTGTACATTCAATACAAACTGAACATTAATGGCACGCAGCGCGGAGTGCTCCGCTGTGAAACCTGCTTCAGACGGAACAGTGCATGGGTATGAAAGCAGCCGCTGTCTAGGTTTGGACGGCCGACGAGCAGGTCCTTCCGTCGGCTCGCCGTTAGCATGAAGTTTGGCTGAAACACGCCTTGGAAAAGGACTGGCCATCTGATAGAGGCACCAGACGTCGCATGCCGTCAGACGGACTTTGCCGCGTGGTGGGCGCTCCCGACTGTAGCCTGGTAACGTCGTGGCGTCTTCGGGAGCGCGCTGGCCTCCATCAAGAGATCAACGAGCTCCCCCATCGCGAAAGCGATGCTAAGATGATCTCGCATCTGATCATGCATGGGAGCAGATCGCACCACAGAAACAGCCAGTATGTGCCGCATCAACGGCCCAATCGTGGGCCCTTTGATGGGATGACTATGACCTCTCAGGCACGGGCACTACGTCTACAGTCCGGCTTCGTATCTCTCTGCATCATCGCTTCGCGATCCCAACCACGGTTTACAGCTCTGGCCCGGACCGCCCTATACACGGTGGGAGCAATCTGTCACACCTTCGCCGAGGCTGGCCCGTGTGGATGATGATGGTATAGGCGACGAGGGTGGCCCGTCACCGGAGTGCGTCCATGGCGTCTGAGGCACACCCTAGACTGTGAATAGTCGGGATAGTAAAAACTTAACCTTGGCGAAAGCCGACATACCGGGCGCATCCAGTCCTGCGGGAAGAACGGGCGGGCGTGTGCTTGCACATTTGGCGTAGCTTATCCTCTGTCGGGCCGCAGATGTCAACCGGAGGGTTTACACCGACGAGGCTGTATAGCCCAGGCACAGAGACGCTCTGATATGCGTTTCAAGACCACGCTGCAGAGGACGGGAGAAGCGCAAAGGTCCTGCCTCCCTCATCGGTCATCAGCGACGAGCCACATATCTGTTGATGAGATGGTGCTTAGTACCATAATGAAAAGAAGTTGGGCAAAAAGTGCATACCACCTGCCATTACGGCAAAGCATTCCTCCCAAAGTGGCTGAAGGCATGACGTGAAGCTCTCGTACAGGGAGCATTCACATGGTACAGGAGGTGGCACGGTTTGCAAAAGCCTGTGCAGACTTTAAACCTGATACTGATGAAGCGTAAGCGCATTATGCAAAGTACACAGGAGAAGGCCGAATGCGGGAGAAGGGCAGGACAGTACCCTAAATCCCAAAGTTTAGCTCGCGGAGCAGGGTCATGGGAGGAGAGCTGCTATGGTGGCAGTGGTTCATCCAGTGCATGTGAACTGATCGAAGGACGTAGGCGGGCATTTGCGCACAAATGCTGATCTAGTACATTCTCAAATTGAGCTGTGCACCTACATGCATGGCGATGGAAAGTAGGTTCACGAAAGCGCGTCCCCGCCGTAATGCCCAAATGTAGCAGTCACCGACGGGGTTTAGCGGTCCCGATCAATCTGACGCCACGAAGTCGTTCGACTTCTGTTGTCACACGCCGACTACTCTCAGCCGCGTTCTACCGGCACAAACGGCGGCGCAGTGCAGAGCGCGCTGCAGGGCGCGATGTCGTTTGAAAATGCTCACGTTACCAAAGGTACGGTGACGATAAGCTCTGTGCGAGGCTGCCAGCTGACCCCCCAAAGCTCTCATGATTGTTGTCGCAGTGACCTCGATTGTTACTGGGATCTTCGATGTGAAGTACTTGTTTCACCTTCAGTTGGTGCCTCACATATCCAAGCACCATCAAGTAAGTGGAGAACATTCATGCATGTAACAGGCTTCGGGCTCATAAGACAAAATTTAGTATTGGAGGCTATTTGTGCATCACATAGCCTGCTCAAGCTCGATAGACCTACTGTTGACAGAGCTCTTACTCTACAACGCCGCAATTCACATTGAACGCGCTTTTGGAAGTTGCAAATATGCGGTATGTTGACACGCTACATCTCAACGTCGTTTACTCAAGATCGCTTCATGTGTCAGTCATTTCTATCCATCGCACTTTTGCTGAACACGATTTCCACCTTTATTGCCCTAATTTTAGTGTCTCCAGTTCCGAAACTTGGTATGGCAGTGAATCGCCTGCCTTCTGGACCCATCGCCTTGGTGTTCAGTATCGTCTATCAGTATTATCGCCTCGTGCCGCAAGCGTACGACTTCAAGGTTTTTGGTGTCACTTTCAGCGACAAAATATGGGTATATGCTACCGCCACTCAGGTAAGCTCATCAGAAGCCTTCAGCTCTGGGCAAGAAGCCCGTCGTTGGACCACGTGCATATCCGTTAAGACGTGTGAACATAGGCTCACGAAGGACATTCCAGCTCGCACTAAGCTATGCGCCTCCGACACTGCTCCTCGCCGCATGCGGCATTGCCACCGGCTATATCTATCGCGCAGATATATTGCAATTAAAGGGCTGGCGGGTGCCACAGAAGTACGCCCCCGCTTTCTGCATGTTCCCACGGACATGTGCCAATGAACTAATGACGCTTGCGCTGCCAGGGTGGCCAGATTCTCAGAACGTTGGATCAAGCCTTTACTGGGTGAGGAAAGGGGGAGCAGGAGGCTGAACAGGGTCTTCCCCGATAATCGCACCCGCACGTCTCGTGCTCAAGATATCTTGTCCCGTGAGGAAATCACGACCACCGCCCGTCGGACCCGAACAACGAGGACGCCGCCAGAGCAGGCTGCCTCAGCCACCGACCAAAATGGACGAACGGAGCCCTCGCCTATCTCTACGAATACCGGCGGAGTTGTCCGGCAGTGGGCCTCAGAGCTCGCAGGTGCAGCGAGGCTCAGCGCAAGTGGGCCGGGGACCATCCGGGTGCCGAGCGAAGCGGAGGTCGAGACTCTGACGGCGATGTTCCCTGATGTCGGGCGAGACGTCGTGCTCGGAGTATTGCAGAGGAGGTGCGTGATACTTGCAAGAATTTCGCGTGTGCACTGGCGGGCCTGATCGCGACCCTGACAGTGCCAACATCGAGATCGCTGCTGAGACATTGCTGAGTTCAGCGCGCAGCTGACAGCGACGAGCTTTACGATATGCAGGGCCATAGATCCTGAGATGTGACTAGTGGAGAATTTGCGACAACCGGACATTACATGCATTACACCTTAGGTCTCACGATGTTATTGTGCCTCAGGACTGCCGTGTGTTCCATCGTGCCGTCATGCACAAAACCGAGAGCCACTCGACGCTCGGAATGCTCGGCGAATTGAAAACAGGTACATCTTCCGGCCACAGTCGAGCACCATGCGTGCATTTCGCTCATCCAACACGCGGAGGTTGTTGCATATTTGTCACTTTTCCAGTCGTGCAACACCTTTTGCCGGATCTTCAGGCACACACGGTCTGCGCAGCGGAGGCTGACATGCCGCGTTGTGCGGATCCCCAAGCGTGGTAGATGGGTGTGAGATGTCGCCGTCGTTGGTTACTATGGACTTCTGTCGGCGTGAGGCTGAATGTTGTGGCTCTGATGCAACGTGTCTCCGCCACCCGCGAAAGGGAGACTCGCGCCTTATTAAGTCTGCTCAAGTTCGCCGTGCGCAGGCGCACATCAACCATTCCCCATGGAGCTTATTGACTTCCAACAAATTCCGAACCGTGCGGATAGTGTACATGCATGTATACAGCAATGTCTACATCTTCATCGTCATGCGGACGGCCGGCATTCAGGTGCTCACACCTCCTCGGACTCCTCCATTTCAAGGGGGGCTTCCTCATCCTCATCTTCCGCCGTGAAGGCTGTGAGAGGGACAGCGTAGAGACGGATGATGGACTGCAAAAAAATTTCAAGGGTTGTGTCAGCGATTATCCCCGCGGACAGGTAAATACTGCGTCATGTTGACAGGGAGCAAATGGGGTGGCGGTGGCGGGGAGATCCGCAGCGTAATGCCCGTAGCAAGATCCGAGAATGGACATCCGCGCACCTTGTTGGGGTCCTTGACGAGGACGTACTTGCCCTCGGGCTGCTTCATGAGGATGTCCGTGACGGTGCGGACGATGCCCCATCCGTTCGCCAGGGAGACGTTCAGCTGGTTGGCAAAGTCGGTTGGGCGAACAGACTGTGTGCTCAAGATGACGTGACGAGTACTGTCACGGGGGTTAGCACGGGAAATATAGCTGTAGCCCTCAATTAGCGACGCCAATTCCTGTGCAGATGCCTGCAGACCGGTACACACCCAATCTTCATGAGGTCAGCACCGGAAAGAATACTCTGGACCGTCCACTTCGCCAACTTGGCGCTGTTATTTTTCATTTCAGTCGCGACGACGGCTCCACGCTGGGAGTCCAGCTTCGTCCTCCAGTCGGGCGCGCCGCCAGCACCAGGTGCCCGAGGATCGAACTCGTTCAGAGCGCGGATGGTGACCAACCCCTGACCCTCGCGAGGGTTGCCCTGGCCAGCGTTGTACGCATCGACTTCCGTACGCACGCAGATCTTGAGATCCTCGTCTTCAGTGATGCCGAGATCGAAGACACGGTACCGATAACCACAGGAGGCCAGCGGCTCGGTCTCGTCAGGGCCGTAGAAGGGGTTGGGCTTGTTGAAGTCGACTGGCGGCGGCGGCGGCTGCTCCACGACAGCCTGGAAACCGAAATTCTGGTTGATGTATGTTGCTTCGAGCGAGAGAGATGTCGCTGAGTTAATCGACGGAACCTCTGGGGCTTTGTCTGCGGGGTTATTGGGGTTAGGCGGCTGAGGATCTTGTGGTGGGTCCGCGGCGTTTTCGTTGACGGTGACGGTATCAAACGGACCACCATCTCGTTTGTCGAAGAAGAGCTTGTTGCCTTCCCGGACGATGACAATATCCCAGGGATATATAGTCCGCGGAGCACACATAAGTCCACTGAGAATGACATCGGTGGTGTAGACCGTCGCGGTGTCTTTTGAGGCAAGCTATTCAAACAATCAGCCCATGCATCACCCGTAAAAACCGAACCTACCTCCTGCATAACCGGGTCATCAGATGTCGTCGTATTGTATTTAATACGATCGACAAGCTGGAGCGGCTTCTCCGTCTTGGTCGTGACACGGTCGTAAGACTTGTCATAGGGGAGCAGGCGGCCGTAGGTGTCGCTAAATCAAAGTGAGTGCCGTTGAGCTGGGTAGCAGGGAACTGAACGTACAGGTCTTCGGGATCATCAACATCCAGGCGCAATTTTGCTAAGCGGTGGAATTCGATCTCTTCGAGCATAGTCCACTCCGGAGAAATAGCAACCGATGCCTCACGAGTGCGATTGTTCTAAGATATCTATTAGCACCAGTATATGGCATCCCGTAAACTACGTACCTTCTCCCAATCCCTCCAACCTCTCCTTCCGCCACGCTGAGCATTTCCGCCTCGGTTAGAGGTGAACCCGCCACGACCGCCGCGAGCCGCTCCACCCCTAGTAGAAAAGCCAGCACCTCCACGAGCAGCGGAACGTCCCCTCATCATGGCACCGCCTCTGCGAACGGTGGTGGCCTTGCTGTCGACAAGCGAGAAGCTGGATTCATCCTCGGCATGGAAGTAAGCAAAAGCACTGGCGGTGCCGCTGCCGAACGCGGGTTGGCCATCGCGCCTGCCACGGCCGCCTGTGGCGCCACCACGGGTAGTAGCCCCCGAGGTCAGTCCAAGGTTGGCTTGACGTCCATCGCCTGAGATATCGTTCCAGTCGGCGAAGCGTCCCAGCTTGTCGGATTTTGAGTACGGCGCATAAGGAATGTCCTTAAACTTAAACTGGGAGGGGAGATTTGCGAACGAGGGGCCCCACCCACCGTCTGGGTTGTCGTTTATCGTCGGAAGTGAGAAGGAGGACATCTTGTACTCCAGGAGACGAGGAGAGCGTAATTCTAGCCTTCGCTCAAAATTCTGCTCCTTCCAAAAATGGATGTACGCATCACTCTGGCGCCTAGACTTGCAGCTGCTCATTGAACGCAACCATGAAGTGAGTGTGTCGGGTGTGTTGAATATTGGCCTCACTGACAGACACTACCTTTGCAGTGTCGTACATGAAATAAACAAGATTAACCAGCGAGAGCTGGATCTTGGCATTTCCGGCTCCTGGCATGATGACTACAAAGGTGAGTAGCAATAAGGCCTGTTACGCGGGACGGTGTTCACTGACCTTCCCGTTAGATTCTGCGTATATCTTCGTCGGGGGCTTGAATCCTGAGCTGACTGAGGGAGATGTCATTACGATTTTCTCCCAGTGAGTATCACTACTCGGAGTAACCGTTCTGGTTCTGAACGCATAAGCACACAGATATGGTGAGGTCATGGACCTGAACCTCCCAAGAGACAAGATCACCGGCAAGACGAAAGGCTTCGGATTCCTGATGTACGAGGACCAGCGTTCGACTGTCTTGGCAGTCGACAACCTGAACGGTGCCAGAGTGCTGGAAAGAACACTACGGGTCGATCATGTTAAGAACTACAAACAGCCTAGGACCAAGAACGAGGAGGGAGAATGGATTGATAGGGAAGAGCAGAGTCTGAATGCGAAGCCAGAGCTCATAATCGGTATGAGAAAAGTTTCTTCTCCGTCCGTTTCTCACTATAACGTACACTTGTAGGCGAAGGCGCAGAATCCGAGAGCTCAGAATCGGACGGACCAGACATCGACCCTGATGACCCTATGCGCGACTACCTCATCGCGAAGTACAAGGAAGAAAAAGCCAAGAAGAAAGGAAGCTCGAAAGGCAAGCGCAAGCATAAGGCCGAGACGCCTGAAGAACGACGTGCTCGTAAAGAGCGTAAGAGGCAGAAGAAGCTGAAGAAACAGACGGGCAAGTCAGAGGGTATGCGTGACGTTGAGGATCTTCTGAAAGAGCTGGAGAGCCTTAGTCGGAGCCGCCCACAGCGTCGCAGTCCTTCTCCGGACGACAGGAGGCGGTCAGAGAGCCGCGACAGACGTGCTGACCGGTACGATAATCGTCTCAGAGATAGATACCGCACGGCAAACAGGGGTGGTACTCCTCCACGATCTCCTCGAGATGGACCAGCACGGTATAGGTCTCGTTCACGATCACTAGCCAGAGATTCACGCCACAAGGACAGTAGACCTGACAGCCCTCCACACCGTCTAGTCAGGGATGACGACATAGTGTCGTCCCGCAGACGGAACGACGACGACGACAGGACACCGCGAAAACGAGCACCCGATGAGGATACCACACCACCCCGCAGACGAGATCGTGACTAGTCTTCGTATTGCCCATTTATTACTAGCCAGATAAAATGTCTTCTAACATGGACCTCGCTGCCTTCGCGTCCGCGGCGCCCCTGCTCGACTTCATGACATGCCCGACAAGCTTGTTCACAACGTTCTTGTTGCCCTTGCGGACCACTTCGGCCTCTTGGGGCAACGCCTGGATCGCTGCCTCACACCACTTTTTCAGAGAGGTTTCGGTGTTGTCGCCTACTAGCAATAAGAGCTCCGCGGCCAGAGCTGATGGCATAGCACCGCTCGAGTTAGTGATAATGTGTCTGATAATGGTCTTGCCAGCAGGTCCTAGAAACACGTCGGTCAGTAGTACACCTAATAGAACACTAACCTACCGGTTATTTTCCTCGAGTCCACTAAGTCTATCAATTCGCCAAACTGCGCGACACTGACAGGGTTGCTTTGGAATGGATGCGCCGATGACTGCTGATCATGCCGCAGTGTGAGTTGGCCAAGAAGCTCGTTTGTCATCCTGAAAAGACTCAGTAAGGGAACAACAAGAGGGCCGAGTACTATTGACTTGCCAATTGATCACAACTTTCGGGTTGCGTCCTTGGGATACCTCATCGAAGTATGCAACAGCTCCGCATCTTGCTTCGCCGTCGTAATTAATATCTACGTTAGCGTCAATGGTTATCAAAACGTCCACGTCACGTTCGGACAACCCGAGTGACAGTAGTCGAGCTCGCGTGGAAGCTGGAAGCGGTGGTATACCACGTCTGATGCGAGATACAAAAGCCTGCATACAACAGTCAGCAAGAGCGTCAAGAAAACGTCGCAATACGTACCTCGTTGAGGAGGAGCGGAGGCAGATTAGGGTCCGGCATGTAGCGGTAGTCAGGTGCGTCCTCTTTGCTTCGTAAAGAATACGTTTCTGCTTTGTCCTCGTCGAAGCCTCGAGTTTCCTGCGCTACTTCCTTGCCTGCTTCAAGCAGAGCAATTTGCCGGTGAGTTTCGTGTGCTAAGAGGCTATCAGCTCCTGTATCGATACACGAGAGATCCACTGACCAATCGCGATTATCATAAACCTGACACTGTTGAGGTTCTTAATTTCACATCTCGTCCCAAAGGGCCCCCCAAGTCGGCCAACAGATACATTAACGTCGCATCTGAGCGAGCCCTAGGCGATGGTCATGTTGGATCTCTTCCCGCGTAACCTGGAGTAAGGACATACCGCTTCCATGTTACCATCACTAGATCCCATAGCGCGTAAAAGGGTCTGCAACGTTCTGACATAGTCAGCAGCCTCTTCCGGAGACCTGGAAATGGTCAGGATAGGATTCTGACGACCAAAGGAGGCGTTGTACCGTATGTCCGGCTCCGACACGATTTCCATAAGTCCAGCACCGGCTCTGTTCAAGTCGATGGAAGTAACACGCCTTCTTCGATCTGTCATCGATTTTCCAGTGTCCTAAAGTGTTATTAGTTAAAGGGACAGGATGGAGGGCTTCGCGCTACCGCACTTGCTCAAGCTGAAGCTGTTTGATGCGGACAGACAGGTCGCTCTTACTGAGATGTAAGTGTCCACTCGTAGCGAAGGGAGCTGCCCATATTCAGCAAAGTGTGTAAGCGTGTCTCTGGCACGAAGACGCACCGTAGTGCTGTGTGATCTGGTAACCGGAAGGAAGGTCGGCATAGAAGTAGTGTTTTCTGTCGAAAGTGGAACGTGGCTGGACTTCACAGCCTAGGGCCAAGGCCGTTCGGACACCGAGTTCGACGCAAGAAGGATTTAGTCTCTATTCGTAGGTATTTGAACGTCGGACAGCACTTCCTAGTATTAACCAGACTAACCGGTAGTGTTCCCGGGAATGCAGCGTCATACGGAGAGACCAGAGCATTTGGTAGATGGACTGACTCTGCATTGCGCGTATCTACGACAAGAAAGTACCTACGCGTCTCAGTTGCAACCACATTCGAGTAAGACATAAACTGACTAGAGAAGAGCTTCTGCCTGGACTTGATTTGCGCGTGCACCTCGATGCCGATAACGACGCCCCAGCTTGGCCATCTCGAGTCCTCAACCAAGGGTCTGTGCTGATGGACAGCCCTTGCCTGCCGCAGCCTCTCGAAATGAAACCTCCGTCCAACATGGACCAACATCGGGAGGTGGTGGGCGGAAAGTTAGAAACCCAGATCGGCCGGAGTGGCCGTTCGGGCTTTGCCGAGTCCCGGTATTACTGTACTTTCGAGTCGCTCAGGCTTCCGTCTCGCTGTGTCTTCACACTCTGACACCTCCAGCTGCCATCCCATCTCACGAATACGCATAGTTTCCGCTAAGTCAGTGAATACACCGATTGACTTGGGGTACACTCGCTCTATTTTCTCATCATGTCGACCAATGGTGCACCTACGTGAGCACGTCTCCGCTCTGTTGCTCCTTTCGACCTGCTCAGCCCCAGCGACAGATATCTCGGCGTCACACCGCCCATCTCTGTGAACGAATCCAACGAGAGGGAAAAACTAGTCACGGTTAGTCTGATGGAAGAGCTGAGACGTCAGGGTACATTCGAGAGTGAAGAGGAATCCAAGACACGGTGAGCGTCATACTTTCGCGTCTCTCTTATTCTTGAGCTCTACTGGTGCACTCTGCAGAGATCATCAGTGTCCTCTTTAATTGTCAGCACAACCTCTTAATAAGTTTGTGCTGTCTAAAGACCGAGTCCGGGCCTCCGCTTGCCTGCTGAACTCTATCACTCATTCGTTCCACTTGAACTCCGAGCTGACAACCCGTCGTAGCGAAATTGTACTGGGACGTCTGGCGTCGTTGATCAAGAAATTTGTCCACAAGATTTCGCTGCAGCATGGACTTTCCGAAGCTGCAGCGGATGCCGCAGGTGGCAAGATTTTCACCTTCGGTTCCTACAGGCTGGGCGTACATGGACCCGGCACAGATATAGATACGTTGTGTGTCGTGCCAAAGCATGTATCTCGAGAAGATTTTTTCGAGGCATTGGAGCCGATGCTGAGAGAAACAGAGGGGGTGACCGAAGTTACTGTGCGTAGCTTCTGACCAGTTGTTCTATCGTCACTGACTCACCGGTCCGTGTAGGGAGTTCCAGAGGCATACGTACCCATCGTCACAACCAAGATTTCTGGCATCCCAATAGACTTGACAATGGCGCGCCTAGCGCTGTCGTCAATACCAGACGATTTAACACTGCAGGATGATAATCTCCTACGGAATTTGGATGAACGCTGCATTAGAAGTTTGAACGGTTTGTCTGAACCACATGATCACTCGTATGTAGAATTGATTTACATCGATCATAGGTTCAAGAGTCACCGACGAGATTCTCCGACTGGTTCCCAACGTTGAAGTGTTCCGTGACGCACTTCGATGTATTAAATTATGGGCCCAGAGTATGTTTCTGTCTTGCAATATGGGGTTCCATAGTGACATATTTCTCAGAGAAGGCCATCTACTCCAATGTGAACGGCTTCTTGGGTGGTGTCGCATGGGCTATGCTGGTAGCTAGGATATGCCAGCTGTATCCCAGCGCTGTTGCCGGTGCCATTGTTAGCCGATTCTTCATCATCATGTACCAATGGTACGCGCTTTCACCTCAAAAATGGACCGGCATCTGCTTAAGATTATCAGGTCTTGGCCGCAACCAGTGCTCTTGAAGCAAATTGAGGACGGGCCCTTGCCTGTTAGGGTATGGAACCCCAGGGCAAGTAATTGTTTCTGAAATCCTTTAACATACGCCTCAATTGCTTCGACTACAGCTATATCCTGCAGACAGGTCGCATCGAATGCCTATCATCACTCCTGCTTATCCTTCGATGTGCGCCACCCATAACGTCTCGCAGTCGACCCAGATGATAATGACCGAAGAGTTCAAGAAAGGTCAGTGTATAGACTGTGCGAGTTTCTAAGGAGCTGACCGGCTGACGGCGAATACAGGTTCGGAAATTGTCGAGAAGGTAATCATGGGCACAACTCAGTGGTCTGAACTCTTTGTCAAACACGACTTCTTCCACAAATATCGCTATTACCTTCAAGTCATTGCATCGACAGGCGATCCAGACCTGCACATCAAATGGCAAGTTTGTTGGGATTGTCTTGTTGTTCTAATGACTCACAATCACTAGGGCTGGTACTGTCGAGTCACGAATCCGCCAGCTTGTCATGAAGCTTGAGTATGTTGATTCTTTGACATTGGCTCACCCCTTCGTCAAAGGTTTTGAACAAGTCACACACTGCCTTACCGACGACGAGGTTCGCGACGCTGCACAGGGCGAAATTTCCGACGCCATAGCTAAGCGAAAAAAGGAAGACATCGAGGGCAAGGAAGGTGCCAGCGTTGTTTACTCAACGACATTTTACATTGGTTTGGCGATTGAGCCCAAACAAGGTGCGCAGAGTGGCTAAGTGGAAGGATGATGTGTAGAGTAACACTTCTTGCGTGCTCGCCCTTAGCTGGGGCTGTTGGGCCCCGCCGGCTGGACATTTCCTATCCGACCACCGAGTTTACTAAACAAGTTAAGATGTGGGAGAAGTACGACGAGTCGGCGATGGGGATTGTGGTACGACACATCAAGAGGTATCGTCTTTGAGATCTGCACTGTCCCATGAGCTAAACTCGGTACAAAGCACGGCTCTCCCAGACCACGTCTTCGACGAGGGCGAGCGTCAGCCTCGTAGTGCGTTGAAGCGACCGAAGACAGCGAAGGTGAATGCCTATTTTCTTCAGCGATGGTGAACCTTTCTAACCATGCGTCTTTGATACCTACGAACAAGGGCTCTGGCAAGTCGAGCAACACATCCCCTGATGTACCCCACAAGAAGCGACGGTTGGTTACTTAGTCTTGCGCTTGCTTTCCTTACGACTGCTTTACGCTGTATCTTCAGATCGTCACATTCAACATCAACACCGGTTGCACCAGCACTGTCCCAAACCGCCTCTGTCCCTGTTTCCTCTCCCGCCAAGTCTCTTGCGATTGGATCCCAGCACGGATTCGGTAACCCATCTGGTGAAGGACAACAACAGCAGCCTGGCGTGTATGCCTCAAGCATCAAGGATCCTACGCAGCTCAACCCACCATTTGGCGAGAATATGGTCCCCACCAGTGTCAACGCGTCATAGTGATATCTCAACCGGCAACGACCTCCCCCCTCTTCGCTGACGCAAGTGTACATTCTTCCACAGAGTAATATGGCGTTTAGGTACCCTGCAGGACTCTTCGAGCGTCACGCTTCGCCCTTTCGAGGCCGGCCATCTCTTGCTTATCCTCCGCCCATTACCTGACCGGACATTTTGCTAGCGTGCCATGTGTGCTTGATATCCCGGTGGTTTTTATACCGAGCTCTATCGTAGGTTTTCGCGTTTGTGCTTTAGCGACGTTTCCCCTATGGTTGGACTTGGCTCTTCTCGGTTCATACCAATATCGCCCTCCTTCGCTTTCTGTATCCGTACGAATTCTGCCTCTATGTATCGTAATCAAGAAATTCTATGCACGTTGTGATTTTATAGACGGAACTATCGCAGAGCTGGACGCTCTGATCGGGTATTGAGCAGAATGATTCGCCACGCAATGATACCACACAAACAGGCGCGTCGATCAGGACGCGGTACTAGTAGGGTAGACTACAAACATGGCGGTACAGGTAGCTAATGATAGTAGTTAACCATAACCATACATGTAGAAAATATAAATATGCTTGACGGATTGTCCTAAGCGTTGGGCAAGACGTATAGATAGGGTCTAAGGCTGATTGTCGAGCGAGTGAAGAAAGTTCAGGGTCTCGGAGGATAAAGTGCAGTATTACGAAATCTGTCTCATAGATGGCTGGATATATGCCGACTGACGGCGAGTGGCAGCGCGCGCGAGCGCATGCTTACGAATAAACCAGGTCGCTACCGCGAGGCCGAGCGTGCCGAAGATGACACCGAGTGCGATACCCGCCTTAGCACCTCCTGATAGGCCGCCCCCACCGCCGTTCGAAGCTTGCGTGGCTCCACCTGAGGATGTAGACGTAGGCGATGATGTAGACGTAGGCGCCGTGGTGGTCGGACCTCCTCCAAACGGCCAGAAGTCGCCGCCTTCGGGGGGAAGGATGCATGTGAGGCCGTTAGCGTCGCTGATATTCTGGAAGTCGATCTGGAGCGTCGACTGCTGGACGTTGTCGAGCTGGACGACGAACGGTTCGGGCGACGGCATCGTGTCCGTGCTACTACAGTTCGGGCCCCGCGCGCCAATAAAGGACGTATTGCCTTCCAGGCTGTTATTCTCGACCGTGAAGTTCACCGCAGAGGACATTGCGATGCCGTATCCAAATGCACCGGTAAGTACATTGTTCAACACGGTACCCGACATGCTGACGTTGTTGCCGAACTGAGGACCGAACCAGGTACGAGGGCCAATAGCAATGCCAATTCTTCAAGGGTGGTCAGTACATGCGGGCGCCAGGGAGAGACATTACTAAGGCACTCACTTGATAATGACGTCGTCGTCGTTTGTGCCTTTGGTCTCGTTACCTTCAGGCTTCTCGGTGGCAAAACCTCCCATGATCATGTTGTTACGAACGATGGTGTTGGTGTAGTTGCCACTCCATGGCAGATAATCCACCATATTGATACCACCGAGTAAAGTGTGCTATAACTGAGTTAAAATCATCCGAAGTTGTAGCCTTAGGTATACTCACATTTTGGACAAAAATCGTGTTATTTTCTACGAGAGTTCCTGGCGCGCCGAAGAGAACGATGCCACCGTCCTGCAGAACGATTGGATTCAGGCCACGGGTAGCGCAACAAGCAGCTTACTGTCGGATTGTTTATGGTGTTATTCCAGACATGGCAATTTTGGCAGCTGACAGAGATGCCATCCGCCCACTGCTGAAACAAGTCTGTTCCACAAGGCCCAATGTCGTTGTGACGGACAGTGACGTTATTGCAAGTGAGGGTGCCCTCGGTGATGTGCATACACGACCAGCTGCGCGGGTCGAACGAGTGCACGTACTCGATGAGCTGGTCCGAATTTGAGCCGCCCATCTCAATGTTCGCCCCGCCTGTGGTCGGCGAGGCACCTAAACGGGTGCCGTTAATCTACGCTCTCGCGGTCAGTGTTGCCCGATAGCCAGAGCAGAAGCTCGGCGCGTACCTGCACGTTCCGGAGCCGCACGCCATCGCAATCCGAACACGTTCCGTCCACGGCGGTTGTGTGCCCTTGCCCATTCATCACAGGCCCGTTGACGACCAACACAGCACGCTCATCTCCAGTGGGATATCCTGCGGTGCTAATTTCCTGGTTCGGCGCGAAGAATAGGAGGGGTGCCTCTATGAGATACTGCGTGTCGGGGCAGAGGGGTAGGGTGTAACCGGGGCCGGAAGAGTTGAGCAGGGTGTTCAAGCGGTCCGTGAGCGTGTTGGCGGGGTTGGCGGGCTCGCAGTCATCGCGCGAGGAGAGGATGTGGTCATCCCTGCATAGGACAGTCTCGTATGACATCCAACACAGCAATGTGATCCACGTACCTGGCAAAAAGATCGAGATGGTCCACATGCCGCCTGTGAAGAATGGAAGACCTGCTCTGCCTTACCATGATGGGCGGATGCGAGGCTGGTGTGAAGGAAGGGAATGAAAAGGTATAGATTTATAGAGTGGGAGGGTAAAGACCGTGGTGGCCGGCTGGCCGTCAGTGGCGCTGCGAGGCTGACTGCAGGCAAGAAGCTGTCCACTGCGGAAGCTTCAGGCCGTGGTGGTCTAAGACGACACAAGCCGTTATCGTTGCAAATTATGCGGCAAAGGGGCGCAGGACAGCCGCAGACATGGCTGCTCGATTCAGACCAGCGCCCGCTAGTCGCTCACCTCGGGTCCTCGACGTCTCGACCCTCGTCATATCAACGAAAGATGGCGGAGTTTTTTTGACAGCTGCAAGCTAACTCTGAACAGACTCTTCCTTGTTTGAGGAGGGTAAAACATTGAACAAACATTTATGCCAAGTACCAAGGCATCCCATGCTACCCCTAGACCGTCACTTTCTTTCCAAGCCATTCCAGCCACTCCTTCTCCCCCCAGGAGCTTGATATCTCAGGCGCTGCTACCCCGTCAAAGAGCACTGTTGGTGAGACATGAATGCTATTCTGGCGGCTGAAACGAACTACAAAACGAGAGCGACATAAGTATCAGAGGTACGAGACACTGACAGCCACAACTGACCTGTGTACTTGAGATCATTGGTCACTGCGACGCCATAATTGGGTTGCGCCTCGCTGTTCGTTAGGAGGTCGAGGAAGGCCTGACGCTTCCCCTCGCCGATAAATTGTACAGCCAGATCGGCTATCTTGTGGCGTACTTGGCGAGGGGTCATGTCTGCGGCAGGCAAGTCATGATATTCCCTGTGGTGAGCCCATATCTACAACCCGTCCTTGAGTACTTGAGTACCGTCTGGACTTTGAGGATCTTACGGCGAGCGAGAACGGCCAAAGCTGCTCGGGCGCGACGCGCACCATCTGCAGGGACAAGGTTTCCACGTAAGCACAACAACCCTGACAGCAGGCTGCCTTGAACCTACCGCGAGGCCGGCTTCATGCAAAAGGATGGACGTGCCGTGCCACGGCTGCACTTGGTTTCGGAAGATGACCTTTACTTTCCCGGCGTATTTTCCGTTCCCATTCGGATCGAACAGGGGCTTTAGCACGTTCTCTATGGTGTTGCCGAGCTTTGTGCTATAGGAGCAGACATAATCAACTGCAGATAGTGAGCACGACCTGGGCAGAAGTGACACAAGGTTTACAGCGTACGGAAACAGTCCAGCGTATGCGGCGCGTCTGGCGAACCCGCGATAATGAGGGGGCGGAGGTTGGGTTGTAAAGCCATGTTGCGTCAGGTTCCCACTTCTAGGTCCTTGGTCTCACGCACCTTATATACGTGCAAGGGGCTCTGACAATCGTCCTGCTCATGACATATTGAGCACTGAAACTGGACCTGCAAACCGTCCCATGTCCGAAGCGCGACGTGATGCGTCTTGATGAAATTGTCACGAGTCACGTGCCTCACGGCGGGCCTGTCACGTCCGCGGAGCGGTGAACGCCGAAGGTCGCCTGAGTCCTGCACTCAACTTCCTGCATAATGCAGATCAACTACGCAACCTACCTTGCACACTTATCGACTGCACTTACGGAGAGGAAGGGCCTCGAGTTGGCCTACCTCCTGAGCCCCCGTGAGGAGCATGGCAAATCCGTCCTCAAAGAATTCCGCAACCCGACTGTGAGTTGCAACCCACTATTCTAATCAAGAGCTAGTATTCCAATGCGGCAGGTCAGCAACAATCAATGTCATACTACAAGGGCGGCATGGACTCACCATGGGACGAGATTGCTATCCAATACGTCCTGGTGGTGAATCATATAGCGAGGAACAGGCCAATAGAGGCGTTCAAGGAAGAGTGTCTCCTTGTCTCGTGAGCGACTTGTCATACTGTTCGGGAATTGTTTTATTCTCACAGTGACTAGACTATTCTTCCGGTACCTTGTTACCGACACTGGATGGTCCCTCCCTGCTCTCTTCTCCATCCTCCGCGACCTCCGCGACCTAGCCTGTGACGTGAGTAGACATCGTCCTGCCGAAAAGAGCTATAGTCTCAATATCATTCATCAGGCAGATTTGCAAGCGTTGCAAAATGGACAAGGGGGCACTGAGCATATGGAAGAGACTGCGCGAATCATGAGCAAGGCTTTCTCCAACTGTGTGACAGACCGGTATGTCTTCGACGTACTTCCTGTCAGAGTACATGCTTAGCTGGAGATACAAAGAACATCGCCATATGCTGAGTCACGCAAGTGGGGCGTATACTACGTCGTCGGGCAAATTCTGAAGAGCTACTTCCGCGTACGCCCCACTCCATTTCCTTTCTACATGTCTCTTCACAGGGTTAGGTCAACAGATCAAACGCATCTCGCTGGCGAAGAATATTCTACGTGCCATTAATGCCAATCCAGATATCCCCCCATTGTCTGCTTATCCGCGGGCTCACCAAGTAACAATCTTGCCGGATATCCGATTTTCGGCCGGCTCATGCATCCCTCCAGGTCACCTACAGATATTACATTGGCATGCTTGGGTTCTTGAGTGAAGATTTTGCGAAGGTATCGAACCCCCTCCCCCAGTCCGCTTTCCCACTCATTGAATTGGACTATAGTCAGAACAGGAGCTGACGCTAGCATTTTACAACTGCCACACAGAGGCGCGGCGGAATCAAGAGTGAGCTTCTGAACTCTATCTCATGTGCCACGGCTGAAAGCACAGCTCAGACGCATCCTAACGTACCTGTTACCGCTTCGGATTTTACGAGGACACCTGCCATCGCGAGAACTGCTCGACCGCTTCCCTGTCCTCGACGACCTGTACTCACCTTTCATAGTGGCGATTCGCAAAGGTGACATCGCCTCCTACGATGCTTCACTCGATCATATGGAGAATCGACTCATTCAGCTCAATCTGTTACTCACTGTCGAGAAAGCGCGGGAGCTGTGTATCCGAAGTCTCTTCCGGAAAGTGTGCGTGCTCAGGACCTCTGTCATATCTGGCGCTAACCTTATAGCACAGCTGGGCGGTATCCGGCAAGTTGACCCGGATTTCCATCTCCGACTTCCATACAGCGCTGAAGCTATCGGGGCTGGATTCGCCTGTCGAGGAGGCCGAGTGTCTTGTGGCGAACATGATCTACAAAGGTTTTATGCGAGGTTATATCTCGCACGAGAAGCAGACGGTAGTGCTTGCGAACACAAATGCGTTTCCTAGGGTAGCAGATCGCCCATCGCCATACACGATGCTGGTATAACACTGCATTATGCCGTTATACATCGGTGATTATCTGGATTCGTCTGCTTGGAGCTTAGATGCATGTACAGTGAGTGATCAGTGACTGCCTCTCTTCGTGGACCAGCTTTCTGAGTCTTACCTTGGCCAGAGATGGCTGTACACCAACCTTCGTTCCTTATCTTGACAGTGCCACTCTTCTTTAATAGTCATCGTCTTGATCATGAGGCACAAGGTCCAGAAATTCTAGAGATGCTTGCTCAACGCAGACCCTTGCTCCCTGATACCTATTAGAATGTATGTCCGTATAGCGTGCTTGAACCGTCCTAAGGTCTGAGGCTTGTGACATGTTACGAAGCGCTTACATGGGCGGTATGGGCAGCATAGACGCTCCACAGAATTCCCAGAATGCAGGTGGCGATGTTTGTCACTTGCTCCCATATATATATACCAAGGTTCTCTGAATGCCCTAACGTCGTACGCACCAGCCATTCACACCCGCAGCCTTCTAACGTACGGCATGAAATATTCCGCTGATAGCGTGGAATGTGGCAACTTCATGCACAACAGGGACTCCCAAGAGTATTGTGACCGACAGAGCTCACCCATCATCGACGCGCGTTCGAGTGTATCGGGTCAACGCAGCAGTCACGACGCTGTATCAAGTTTGGAGCAGGACCACTCGAAAGAGAGCTATACGGAGGATTATGCGAAGGAAGACTATTTACGTGTCCCTTCGTGTGCGCCACCGGCATACGCTGCGGGTTCCTCGGCACCCGCGTCCGTTCTCACGAGACATCTCACGAGACAGCCAGTGCAGAATGTCGAGGACCCCCTGGAGCTGCTCAGGCAGTTCAACACTGTGATTATATTGGACGACTCGACATCCATGTCCCACTATTCCTATGAAAGGCACATGCCCGACGGCAATTTTGAGAAGGTCACGTGGTGGCAAGAGGTGTGTTTCCCGTAGCTCTTCGTGCGATGCTCTCCCTCATTTACATTACATAGGCCAGAATCGCCCTCGTCAATCTTGCAGTGAAGGCTGCAGAGTATGACGACGACGGGATTGACATCCATTTCCTGAATAGCTCCAGGGTAGGGCGAAACCTGAAGGTAATCATCAGTAGTACTCGTGTGCTTGTACTCTGCTGCAGTCTGACCCGAGGTGCTTTTTGAGACCCGGGAAGCCGTACAGAACGTCTTCAAGGGCATAAACACACGACCTGGTACTCCCATCGGCGCACGATTGGACACTGTTATCAGAGAGTACATGAAGGAATATGCAAGTTGGCGAAAGCCAAGTTTCCTCGACAAAATGAGACGAAAGAAGACACTCAAGAAACTCAACATTCTTGTCATCACAGATGGATATCCCAGTTAGTGTACATTTTTATCGTGCTCTATTCGTCATAAACCGAGATGTGATCACAGCTGACGAGCCCAAGCAAGTCATCTCTGACCTGGTCCGGGAGATGGACAAACTTGAGATGGAGTATAACCGGGTAAGTGTTTTTGCATTGATTTCTGTGTGCCTCAGTCTAAAAGGCTTTGCGCAGGTTGGCGTTCAGTTCGTTCAGATCGGTAACAGCCATGACGCAAAGAAGTATCTCGAAGAGCTTGATGGCGACAAGCAACAGCACGCGGCCCTGCGCGACATTGTCGACACTACGCAGTACATCGCAGGGCCCCTTGATGCCAACCCCGAGACTATGGTCAAGATCCTTTTGGGTGGTATCCACCGCAGAATAGATCATGAAGGCGCCAGTGTGGTGCTCTTCAATGAGGGTGACGAGGAGGAAAAGAGGCACGAGAGTGGTCACTACAACGGAGAGACATTGTTTGGCCGCAAGTGATGTGCAAGTTTGTCAGTCCAGGTTCTACACTAGCCACCTCGCACGGAATATTGTTCGAAGTTTGCTGTTGGTTGTGCACATCACCCAATACCCTTTGTATTTGTACCCTCTACTTCGCGAATCATGAGTACGACTCCCTAGCTCAACGCAAAGAACTCAAAGATCCCAATCTTCCAGTGCGAACGCGAACACATCGAACACCGCCGCAGCCTCGTTTGCCCCGCCAGCAAGGCCTTCGACACCCCTTCTAACAAATCTGACCAAAGCATCAAGCTCCGACGCCATCTTATCCAGCCGCACGACAAACGTTTCCTCCTCGAATGAGATGTTCGACGCGTAAGAGAACTCGGGTTCGTCGTCTCTATCCTCATCGGACGAGTCTGAGTCTGAGTCTGCGACGGGCAGCGAAAAGCCGATGACGTCTCTGCGTTGCCGTCTGAGCCGGCGCGAGCGGTGCGCCTTCATGGGCGCGATGGACGGGCGCGAGACGTCGTGAGTGTTGCTCGAGCCCGCATAGGCGAGGAAGCAGTCGCTGAAGTGGAGAGCCATGTCGAGGATAGAGAGGATCGCACGGTGAAGGGACGCAGTCTGCAAACCTAATGAGCATGTAGCTAAAATGTAGATCGGCGCGACGTACCTTGGTTCGCAGGAAGCACCGTGCTTCGATCTTAGCCAGACTCGGGTAGTTCAATGAGCGAACTGTGGTGCTAGATCCGAAATCGAGATAAACTTACTGCTCATTATGCAGGTCAATCATTTTGTCGAGAGAGACAGCCTTGCGTAATGCGTCATGCAGGGCCAGCACTTGCATGTGCAGCACATTCGTGCAAATAAAGTTGAGAAGTACGCTGTCGATCTCTGTCAGTATAGACTTCGCAGTACTAAGGACACACAGAGACTCACTTCACAAACCACGACAGCTTTCCTCTCATGGCGTAGAACATCTTCATTTCCCCATCTCCTCGGTTGCCTCCCTTATGCCTCACGAGAATCCTCTCTAGCGCATGCTTTGCTCTTCTAATCTGAAGCACAAAGACAAACACGGAGGAATATGCCTGCAGGACACGAGGGCTCCAGAGATACGTCAGAGGGAAGGGAACGGCGTACTCGACGAAAAGACCCTCCACGGCGCGCACGCTACGAGTAGTAGTATGCTCGCGGTTTCCTCGATGCGAGATGCGCACGAGAGAGGGATCGAGCCAGCTGCTTGAGGAGACGACGTCGCTAAAAGCAGTGTTCAAAAAGTGGAAATCATTCCACTGTTTAGGGGAATCCATCTATATTGCAGTATAACCACGGTCAGAGCTTTAAGTGTATCGTGAAAAGACACTTACTCGAGTGAATAGGACGTCGAGGAAACCCGACAAAACGTCACCCCTTCTCATCAAGTACAACTCTTCGATCGCTTTCAGATGGGCCCACAAGTCGCACTCCTCCACGAGCACCTGTGTTAGCGCCTGCTTCGCGAGCGCACACCGGCCGGTCAGCTCCTCGTACACAAGCCTCGCAAAGTCGTCCGCCGACATCCTTGTCGTAGCACGACCGTCCACCGCTCGCTCTTGTCGCGCGGACTCGAGAAGCGCCCCGAGGCTTCGCCACCCACCGAGCCACTTCTGCTCCCCGGGCTGCTCGCCCATCGGCGTCCCGAGACAGTGCAGCAGACCGACTGCCTTGCCCGCAGCGAGGACGTGCAGCGCGGCCTGCTGCAGGAAGAGCGGTACCGCGGACGCGCGCCCTACGTCCTCGTCGGCGTCCCTCAGCATGAACCCGTCCGACCAGAAATCGGGGTCGAGCAGCGCCAACTCGTTGTCCTCCACGAAGAACTCCTCATTGAGTCGATCAAAGTCTTGTTGCCCGGGCGCAGAGGTGGGGGTATCGCGCACAGGTATGCCGTCACGGAGCCAGCGGTGCACCATGCCCCACAGGGGTTCGGCAGTGTCAGCGAAGACAGCAAGGAGCGCGTCCACAGTGACGATGTCTCCCATCGATGCGTGATCCTGCACGTGCTGTAGCAGAGAGTCGAGTAACAGGGTGCTCAGTGCAGCGGGCGGCATGCGCTTTGGCAGGTCTGTGAATGTCCATATTGCAAGCACGGGCTCGGGGGATTGTGTTGCACGCTGGATGATGTCACGAAGCAGCTGCAGCAGGACCTCGAACCTCTCCGAGAATGCGGCGGTGAGAGATTTCTCAACGTCGAGCAGGCTGATGATCCGCGGCAGGCCGAAGCCTGCGTGTGCTACGCAGATCTCTTCCTCCTTTGTCGCGCACCAGATATCAAAGGAGCGAACGAGCTTATCCACAGCCTCGGAAAATGCCTCGAAGCACCGTGTGCTTCGCTGACCATGTGTGAATGAATATCTTGAAGGTGCCACTAAATCAATTTTCGACGCTTGTTTGAACATGGCAGCAACAAAAGATCGGAGATGTTCTACAGTCGTAGCCGTCCTTGAAAATGACGACAGGATGGAGTCTTGAGCAGCAGGTGTTAAATGTCGCAAACTAGGAGAGCTGGGGGCTGACTGATAATACGTCAGTTGATTGGCCAGATGCTTCTAAGTGCATTCCTGGTGTTACGCACCACGAACTGCCACGGGTGTTCTTCACTGTTAGACCATGTTATCAGAAGATTTTGTCTTCCTTGAAGCCCCATGAGGACCTCACGAACGGCGTCGTGTTCGTTGATGTATCTACGCTGTATATGCGCTCAATAGCTTTGTCAACATGGTTTAGATAGACCGACCTTCGGCACAGGAACGCCGTCGCTAATTGCCCGGTTAAAAGCAGAGTCTAATACAGCCGGCAGGCGGTCAGGGCACAGAACAACAAAGAAAGAAAAAATCAAGAAATTTCACTGACTGAGTGTAGATGGGTCGCCGATGTCAAACGGCCTGTCGTCGCGAGTGCCATCTCTCCAATCCGACCGCCAATACTGCAATGAATGAAGGCTCTCAACTTCGTCTCTATGGCTATACAGAGCGATACTTCTTGAAAACTGTTCTGTGGCGTTTTCCAGCGTCGTGTCTTGTGGTGGAGGCGTTGATAGGTGGAGCTCTGAGTCTGAGCCAGTGTCCCATCGCGATGACATGTCTCCCGAGTCTTCTAGTTCGTCTTCGTCCTCTAATGAGGACAACGACGGAGAAGTGTCGCTGTCGGTATGTGTGGACTCGCGTTCCGTGTAGACAGCTCCCGGTGGTAGGCCATATGCCCCTTCCCAATGCTGGCCCTCAAACGGTTCTTCGGCCAGGATATCTGCCCAGGTCAAGCCAGACTTTGTCTTCTCGGGGTTCTGGACGAGATCCATGTAGTACTCTGCATACCGCAAGGTACTGGAGTCTGGTGGCCGGGACAGAGTCAGCTACGGTGCGAAATTAGCAACAGTCTCAACTTTATCGGCCTGTCTTACCAGGAAATGTAGATGGATGGGAAGACGGGATGCCTATATTTGAAACCCTGAGCTAATGAAGCTTGTAAATATTGTGGTGCACTAACAAGAATGTCCGCGTCAAGGTCTGACTCGCGAGAGGCAAGGGTCTTGAATCGCTTGTACGCGTTCTGAAGGGCATCTGCGTAACCATCGTCAGATTTAATCCGTGCTTTCTGGATATATCTGACTTTCGTAAGTACGCTGGTTATATTTGCGCTTTTGCACCCTCACCCTTGTACGTGTTTGTCTACAACGGCAGCATCCATGCTGCCTGTGGGCCTGACTGTCTGATCAAGGCTCTTGGTAACATAGTTCAGAGCCGCCCGGAAGGCGTCCTCGTCGCCCTCTGCGGTTAACCCGGTAAGTTTAGTAACCAAAGCCTGGTATAGAGGGTTCAGTCGAGATGATTGCCTCGTGTTCGACCGCACGGATACGCGAGACTGGGGACGATGTGTAGAACGTGATTCAGTCCGCGCAGATGCTGATTGTCTCACTGGACCAGCACTGGACGAAGGTCGTACGGCCGACCAGGATGCACTGGATGGCGGCCGAGTGGACGCGCTGGACGACGGCCTTGGGAAAGGGCTCGAGCTGCTTGGCGGTACAGAGGCCCTTGAGCCGGGCCTACGATGAGGATCCATGTTTGGCGGCCAAACCAAGCCAATATCTTGGTATAAGTCGTGAACATTGCGGTAGATGACATGAAAGAAACGCGATGTGCTCACGACGCTTGAGACAAGTTACGCGACGCAATTAGCGCGTGAGTTGTCATAAAGCGCCTTGCGTCAGGGGGTGGACGCAGCTCGAGGAGGATGAGCACCAACATCGGATGCCTATATAGCTTCACTGGGCACTATATATCGTCTTGTCTGACCTTCTCCGGAACGTTAACCCAGCCATGGCCCTCCAGCCCAGCCTCCGTCCCCTCATCATTGCGGGCTCGCCCAATGCCCCTCAGACCATCGAGGTCTTCCGTACGTCGTCTCGCTATCTGCCTAGATATACGCTGCTCAAACCTCTCTACAGTCGACTACGTCTGCCCGTTCAGCGCAAAACTTGTGCGCGCCATCGACAGTGTGCTAGTTCCTCTCTTCGCACCCGGCGGACAGTACGAGGGTAAGGTCAAGGTCATCTTCCGCAACCAGGTTCAGCCCTGGCATAGCGCATCTACCTTTGTGCACGAGGCCGGCCTTGCAGTAAGTCAGAAGTGCAAAAATTCCCGTCTGGTGCTAACGCATCACGCCAGGTCGCGCGCGTCGCGCCGGAGAAGTTCTGGCCTTTCTCTCTCGCAGTCAGTGCTCCCCGGCGTTTGTCTCTTCTCAACCTGTCCCTGACATGTCGCAATCACAGCTCTTCGAGCGTCAGGAAGAGTACTACGACATCCCCACCTCGACTTTGACACCCATCCAGATCCGCGAGAAACTCGCCGCGCTTGCCGCGTCGGTCATCGGGGAGAACAACAAGGCGTCCTTCGCAGATGTCCTGACGCTCAAGTCATCGCCGAACGGCGGCGTCGCCGTCACGGACGACTTGAAGTACACTGGTGAGTCGTGATCGCCGACTAGGCAAAGAAACTGGGACGAGACCTGACATCACCCTGCAGTCAAGTTCAGCAGGCAGAATGGCATTCACGTCTCGCCCACCGTGCTGTTCGACGGGCTCATCGCGAGCGAGATCTCAAGCTCCTGGGGGAAGACGGAATGGACTGAGTGGCTTGCCAAGAAAATTGTCTAAGCGGCCGCGAAGAGCGGAACACACTTAAATCTGTATCTTTACCATGGAAAAGCGGAATCTAATGCTTTATTACCACGCTGGAACAGCATGAACAACGTGTGTGTATATTGGAACTATGCACAATACAGTACAAGGTGAGATCATTCAACTGCGCGTGCAGAAATAGCAGATAGCAATGAGAAAGCAGTATACGTATGTTAGTTAGCACATTTGACGAGGATTCCGGACGAATAACTAGCGAAGCACGCAGAACCGATGACCGACTGGGGGGACAGCACGCCTAGAACCATGCCATGAACATGTCGCTCATGGATGCGAGGTTGAGCGGGTTCGACGCGTTCAACACGAGGCTCGTGACCGTCTTGTAGATGGGCACGGTGTTCCCGCCCTGCAGGTTCTGCAAGTTCTGTGCCTGTCACGTAGAGTCAGCCTCGCCACTTTCAAAGTGTGCCCGAAAGACTCGCCTCTTCGCGCTCGCGCTTGCATGCCAGCGTCTCGACGCGGCGGACGAAGTCTTTGCTCAACGCCAGCACATGCCCGCGGAAGGTCACGTCGTTACTTGTCGGCCGCTTAGATTGATGTAGCCACGTGATGACCTCGTCCCTCGCGAACAGGCAGAGCTGCTCTTCCAGCTCGTACTATTCCACAGGTGTCATCAGCAAGCCAAGCCACGCAGGCCAAAGAGGAGGCAGAGAGAACGCACCTCAGGTTCGCTGAGACAGCGTCCCATGGCCATGATACTGGCGACGAGGAGACCCTCCGTACCGATGGGTCCGATGAAGTGTTGCATGTTAGGCGTGAGTCGGAAGGGCACGGCTTCGGGCGATCCGATGAGGGGCGGGCCGACGGCATTTGTGGGGATACCAGGCAGCACTTCACTGAGCGCGACCTGCCCTGAGTTGCGTGAGATGTGGAAGCGTGAAGGGGTACGACTCGACAATGCGAGCACATATGTTATGAAACACGAAGCCGCGATCTGCGTTGAAAACTCCTTGCGGAAGCGCCATAGCTCTGTCGGTCCGTTGATCGTGCGCCGGAAATACTGTGTAAAAAGTTCAGGAGAAATAGAGGGACAAAGGTGAGGGATACAAACCCGAGAGATAATGTCTTCGGGGACAAGCTTCGCTCGGATCTCATCGAGAAGCTCCTTACGCAGCGTCACGCGCTGGTGGTTTGGAGGCTGCAGCTCTGATCAGAAATCTTCTCGTAGGAGTACAACAGGAAGTAAGTACCTGTCCGCCATTCGACTGCTTGTACTGCATTACCGTGGTGCGTACCTTGTCCGGTATGAGGAAGAGCGCATCCTCGCGACCGAGACCTGTCTCGTTGCAGGACTGCTCGTAGATATCGCCCATTGTGACATATGACGAGTCACTCTGGAGCAAGCGCATGCTTGGGTGGCACGGTATCGCTATTGGAACGTGGAAGTGCAAGCGCCGTTTGTGAGTCTCCTTCTTGCGACTCAGTACGCTGTCATGCGGGTTGGTACGTTATCTCGGGATGGAGGAGACAGAGGAAAAATGAGCACACCTGTTGAACATACGCAACACCTGGAAGACGCGCTCTTCACGGCGACAATGCCGGGCCGACGGAATCTGTACAGCGAACGACGTCTTCGAATTGTCGCTCCCGATCATAGTGAAACGACGGAAACAGTAGCTCTGTGTACGACAGTTCTCGTACTTGGGACTAAATTTCTGAAGTTTGACGAATGCTTGATTGTTATCGCGCTCCTATTTTCATTATCAGTGAGCTATAGCCCAAGGAGCGAAGTAGGATCAGTTTACCTCAGTGTACTGTCCCGGAATCTCGATTTCATCGTACTTGCTGTTTGGATACTCGATGAGATAGTGGCTGGCCATGTCGAGGGTCTGTATCCGTGGCCGGCTATCCAGATACCTTTCGTACCGGTCGCGCCAGCGCTGGAGCCTCTGACAATATTCTGGCAATGTCAGCTGGCTCTTGAGGAAGTCGCCTTCATACTCTTCCTGCTCCACAAAACTGCTACGTTAGCTCAGATCATCACAGCTCATGACGCACAACGGACCTTAGCAGACATGTTACCAAAGTTATGCGCAAGACGGTTAAGGTGCCCGGTCGTGTCCTTGTTAAGATGCAGAGGGTCGTCGGGATTGCCAACACGAGCAGCATATTGCTAGAACGGCAATGGTGAGCGTCGGTCTATGACGAGCAATGGAATACACTGACTGTCAGACCGTCCTGCAAGAGCATGCTCACCAAACGATAGATCTCCTCTTCCTGAGTAGATCTGAACCTCTGGCCGATCTGGTCGACAATAGTCTCAAGGCTCATGACCAAGAGCGGGAAGGCGCTCTTTGAGATCTGAGAGACTTCCTCGATACACTCAGCCCCTAGGCGCACAGGCATGGCGGCGGCCTTCGTTTGATCACTGCCGTCTTGTAAACCGTTCGGTCCGGGCGTACCCCGAAGAAGAGCCTGCTGAGCGGATTCGTCTGCAGAGTTTTGCGGCTGCATGGTCTCTCGAACGACCTCCGCTGCACGATCATGTGCATTTGGCTGCTGCTCGCCGTTGAGTGGCCGGGGCGTCGGTGTTTGAGCTTGCGCCTGGGTACCGTTCGCTTGATACGCAGCATAGAGAGCAGCTTGTCTCTTTGCCTGCGTCATCTCCTCTTTTGTGGTGCGTGAATGGAAGAACAAAGCCTACATGCCATGTTAAAACTGCAAACATTATAACATGAAATTACTTACTTGGGGATAGAGCTTAGCAATGTTCAGCAGAATATACCGTGCTTGTTTGACCTCACGGTGTGACAGCGACAAACACAATTGTGGAATGAGGGTAATCCAGTACCACCATGACGCGTCACCTGTGTATTGGTCGAATGCCTTTGAAATGTTCAGAGCCTGATCATCTAGGCTGAGCAGCCACAGTACGCGCATGAGTAGGGGCCGAGCCTTGCGGTTCTTGAAGAGACCCGCTGCCTGCAGGTAACTGTTGACGGCGTTTCCGGCAGCATGCATGTCGTTGCGAGCTGTGAAGATGCGATCCCAGTATTTGCCCCAAGCTGCCCACACCTTCCCCTGGTGGAAATCGAGTTGAACCGCCTGGTTATACCCACTGTCCGCCTCCTGGTAGCGCTCGAGCTTCTCGTAGAACATACCCTTGAGCATGTAGAACTCGGCTTTCTGAGGCGTCGAAAAGTACATGAGATTGGTGTTGTTGATGACCTCAAGTCCCTGAGTTAGCTCGCCGGTCTTCTGGTAGTGGCATCGTGCTTGCTCGCGCAACTTGAGAAAAGCTTCCGAAATCTCGATGTTGGGTAGAGTATAAATCTTGTTGAGCGAGTTGACGCAGACATCAAGGAGACCGTGCTTGCGCGCGACATGGGCAAAGCGGTTGATAATCCAGGCAGTCTCGTGATATCCTCGGTATCCGTAGGTGCTAGTCGTTCCGGCGGCGGCGCTAGCTTGGTTGGTCGCATTGATGAGAGGGATATACGTCTTGTTAATTGCGTTGAATACATTCTGCCTCCAAGCCACGAGGTCACTCCAGATGCTGATATCGTCGCAAATGTTTGGCAGACGTTCCCGCCAAGCTTGTAGAACAAGCTTGAGGTCCGACGACCTCTTCTCGAGATTGCCCGCATTTGTAGCTGAGAGAGAGCCGAAGATTTGGACAGCTTCCTGCAGCTCAACGAACTGCTGGAAGTGCTGGAGCAGCGGGATATGCGCAGGAGCCAGGTGGAACGGCAAGCTGACCCATTTGCGAAGCGATAGCTGCATCGCATTCTCTAGCTTCGACGTGAATTCGACGTTCTTGTCTACAGCGGCCGGATTTTTCAATAACGAGATAAACGCTTCGAAAACAAGCCGACGGGGGGTGGCAACCTCAGGAAGTTCCTTGATCAACTCCTCGATTGACTCCTTCTGTTCGTACCAGTCCTTGATCCGCCAAGCGCACTCGAGTTGCAGCTCCGCATTGTTTTCGCTTCGAGCAAGTTCCTGTAACGTGTCCCACTGTTGGAGTTTTTCCGCCGCTAGAATCCAGTGATCTTCCCAGAGACAGTACTCAGGTTCTGAGAAAGGGACGACACCCGAACGTGACTTCCCTTGCGCTGCTTCGTACATAGTCGATGCTTGCTCCCACAATCCACTCTGCTCGAAGGCCAGAGCCACGTTGGTGTCGGGGTATAAGCTGCGTCTTCGCCATAGACCGTAGAACAGATCGTCTTCAGCCAATTCTGCGTAGACCTCGGTCAAGGCGTCATACACAGTGTCGCGGACGACAACCTCGTCTTCGCGTACATGGTCCAAGGATGCCTCAAGGATGTGCATCGAGACGTGCCAGGCAGCAAATGTCTTTGCAAGGTACTTGACAAGATGGGGCGGAAGCATAATCGGAGGCGAGCAGTGGTAGATCCCGACAAGGAGCGTAAGAACGACGTTCGGCCGCAGCTCAGCTTGAGCAATATGATACTCCTTGCTTAGCAAACTGATGATATGGTGCGTGAGGTCAACTTGCTCTCGTCTTGACAGACAAGCCCAAGCCGAAGGGAACAGTGAGACCCAAGTTTCATGAGCTCGCCAAGGATCTAGAAACATAAGCCTTTGCAATGGGCGAACGACAGATGCAGAGCGGCTGATCGGGAATGAAGAGGGTAAAGGTCCAGCGTCCAGCGTCGCCTTACGGTCCGGGATGATAGGCGAATCGCTTTCAACAGAGCCCAGGAGAAGATGTAGAGCAAGGTAGATCCAATTACGGTCTGCAACGGCTTCCCAGTTCTGAACCCCGAAGATGTATACCAGACGTGCGTAGAGGGAACGGGGAATACTTGCGTCCAGCAAGTCGACGAACTTCTCGCGCGTGACAGAGTCTGTGGCGCGACAGCCAAGGAGAAATTGTTGCTCGAGTCTGGTTGTCAAGTCGCTCCGACGTAAACTCGGTTCGGTGTAAACTTCGAGGAGTAGATCCAGATAGCTTTGCATAAGGGCGTCGCCTCTCTCGCGGTTCTCAAAGCTTGCCATCGCCTGCAACAACGCCGCCTTCTCCTTCATGGATGGAACCGTCTCTCGTGGGTTCAGTGCCCATTCACGTCCGGTATCGAGGATGTAGCGGCACAATGCCATGTTCTTTGACTTCGTGACGAGGTTCCCGAGGCATGTCAACAGAGTGCGCCGATTGTCGCCGAGGAACGTGATTCCTACTTTCGTTATCTCGATCATGAGGATAATCGAGCGGACCGTGCCCTCCTGTGTGTGTGTCGGTGCTGTTGACGGTGTGACGTGGTCCTTGGTCTTGATGGCGAGCAGCTTCGTCAAGGGTCCCGCGTATGGTTGGATCCTGTCTGGGGTCGATGCTACGGCGGCTTTGAGCAGGAGCAGAGCACCTCGCGGATTAGTCACAGCATTCCGGAGATTTTCGCCAACCATCATATGAATCCAACTGTACCACTCCGATAGCTCCGTCAGTGTCTCGTCGTCGTCCTTGAGCAGAGGGAAGAGACGCAAGAGACGCTCAACAATAGGATAAAGGGCATCTTGCATGCTGACCTCGTCATGCATGATACCAGTCCTGACGAGCTTTGCCAGTATGGTAGCATTTTCGCTGAACCATTGATCCGATTTCCCGCTGGCGACAATCTGCAAAACCTTGGAGGTATTGATCACTGTAATGAGAACAGATTCCGGGATATCGCGCTGGTAGTCGCAACGTGAGTTTTGACCAGGCTACAACCAAAAAAGGACATACCTGCTCCAGGATGCGAGAGAAGTAGCCTAGTTTCACGGTGACATCCGACCAACCACCAGACCCCACAAGTAAGCGGAGGAGGTTCATCGCTTTCGGGGCAACTAAAGAAAGCGACTGTTTGTCCGTCAATGTCGTTGCGAGTCGGACCAAGTAGCTGATCATGGACTCCCGGAAGGGTAATGGAGTCGTCCAGGTCTGTTCGGATTTCTCGTCATCAACTTGCATCTCGCTATTGGCCCTTTGCTCCCATTCGAAAATGACGTTGAGAACCTCGATGGACAGAAGTCGAGATTCTACACTGGACGTCTGACTGAGGCCGAGCTTGTGCATGTTGTTCACCACATGTGGGACGAAGAGAGCACGAACGGGGTAGAAGAGATTGGTCTGTCGAGCCATAAACTGATAAATCAAGCCAACTTGTGACCATCCACCTGACTCTTCGGCAAGTAACCTACGGGCTGTTTTTGCCCACTGAGGGTAACCGGGTTCCGTCTGCGGCATCCGCTGAAGAACGGGTGCGAGGATGTCGAGAGCCTGTCGAACAAGAGCCTTGCCTTCGACTTGAGGCCGGCTCAGGAGTCCGGTCCAAACGATCTGGAAGAACTTTTGTGGAACGTCCCAGGCGTCAAAGAACTGTGCCGCAAGAAGGTAGGCCGTATGCTTGACGATAGCATCCTCGCTGGTAATGTGCTTCCATGCGCACTTGATGATGTCCTTCTGCGCATCAAAGAGAAGATCTGAGTAGTGTTGAATCATCATGGTTGTGAAGTGCAGGAGCTCTATTTTGAAGATGTCGTCGGCGCCGGAGAACTTGACGTCATCTTTCAAGGACATTGGAACCCATATGTGAGTGTGAAACCATTGCACGATGTCCGAATCCAAGAGACCTTCTTTGGGCGGCGAGAGAGCATTGGCAACGATGGTCGGAGTGATGATGAAGCGGAATACCCAGGTCTTGTGCGTCCATGAGTACGCAGGATCTTCGAACCAGAGAATAAATCGCATGAGCACATTACGTCGAAAGGTGAGACTGGGGTTAGCGGCGACACGATTGTAGAGGAGCTCCGAGATATGAATGGGGTCCATGGGGAGATTGCGCGTGAATATGGCAGGAATCTCGAAGATGAGATCGATACGGGGTGTTTGCATGACCGCGGCCTTGAAGATATTCAGCAGCTGCGTAGACTTTTGCTGCGACTCAGCCAACGCGATAACAGCCGAGCTGTCCAAGGAGGAGGGCTCCTGACGCCAGATAGATAGAAGTACCTGGAGGACATAGTCATTTTTGCAGAGGAAGTCGGGGATCAACTCCACAATGTCCAAGACGAGCAGAAGGCCGGACATCATCATGCTCAGCGCTTCCTGCTTCGATGTCTCCTGCTCGAGGCAGACAGAGACGATGATCGGCATGCGCGAAAGTAGTTCTCGTAACACACTAGGTGCCAGGCGAGCCTGTAGGATGCTTCGCAAGGTGCGCACATGTCGTGGGAATTGCAGATGACGCATGAAGAAGTCGACGGCCTCGATGGGATATCGATCAAGGTACTTCGCAAGGGGTTCCGAGAAAGGGCTCTGACCAGAGAAATGCATCTGTGCCTCCGTCTGGACAATGCTGTTGACCAGATTCTCCAAAAACTGATTGGCGGTCGAAGGAAGTAGGTGAAAAATGTTCGCAAGACGAATGAGTTTTTGGATACCCTCGTTCTCGGTCAGGGGCAAACGAGATAGCTGTTGGAGCATCTGCGGATCGGCGATTGCACGATAGTGGTCAAGAAGCTTGGACCCGATCTCGACCTTGAAGTAGTGAGTCAATAGCTCGAGTAGACGTGCCAGAGCTTCCAAGCCGGGAGGCGTGAGCCGCTTCGCATCTGCAAGATTCATGAGGATAGGCCGCAGTCCAGTCTGTAATAACTCCTTCGGGAGTCGAGCCTGGTGCATGAGCACCATCCGAAGGCCTTCATGCGCCGCGTCCTTAATCTCGGTGATAGGCGAATACAGCGACTTGAAGTATACAGACGTCACTCTGAAGGAATGTCATGTCAGAAAGTGTGGCAGCTAGATATGATGATCACAGACTTCTGACGAGTAGTTTGCTGCTTGGCAAAGAAATCGGTCAACGGCATGGACGCGGTCAAGAGCTTGATACACGCGACGCGTAGCTTGGTCATCTGAATAACGCTCTGACGTGCTACCACTTCTCCCTGCCGTGGTGGCTGCAGGTGCATATCCTCAGCGTCAGCCAGTGCCAGAGCTTCATGGAGTAGTCGAAGTAGCTCGTCGGTCAGCTCCGCAAGAGGTGGATCCAGCGATAAACAATAACGGATTCCCTCTACCATTCCGACTTGAGCAGGAAAAGGAAGAGCGCGGAGTGGCTTTGTGTAGAAAGCGGTGAGCATGCGACCTCGATGTTCCAACAGCAGTTCAGATATCGGGCTCTGCGTGAGCTCGGAAAGTAGGTCGATGCAACGATGAGCTGTGCCGCGCACGATAGCGTTCTGGCCGGACACTTCCGCGAAGAAAATCCCCGTAAGAGCCTTGACCACGTTGGTTGAAGTTGCCGGAGGCTCGCTGTCCTTCGTCTCGGCGTAGCAAACCCGTACCGACAATTCCAATATCTCGGTCACCTGTTTCACCGACTCGGGCAGCTCGTAAGGCATGTCTTTGAGAACGTGAAGAAGCGTCCGAACGATTTCGACTATACGCTCCGTGACCCAGCGAACGCCGAGCCCAGGTAGCTCAGCCATGAACTTGATGCCACGGCAGCCCGCGCTCTTCGCGCACCACGTATCTTCAAGACAGAGCGCTGTAAACTTGCTAGCGCAGTGGTTCAGGGCCGGCCGCACGTCCAGAACTGCATTTTCATAGCTGTCGGCCAAGCTGATGAGGTCCTTGATGAAGGATTCGACGAGAACCTGGGCCTTCTTCGCTTGTTTGGGCTCGTCCCTCACCAAACCGTAGGCTATTGCATCCAGAAGGCAGGCGTATAGAGGCCCAGGAAGCCTACGAGACGTGATATCTTTTGGGATCGCCCGGCGAATCTCGGCACTAAGGATATGTCGCGCGATCTCACGAAGGCGAGTCTCAGCGGCCTCGCTGGTCTCGTTGAGATGAAGGGCCTCAAAAAAGGCCTCCAGGCACTTCGCAAAGGCCTCTTCACGCTCTCGACCCTTCACACCCTAAAGACAGTACATGTGGATGCGCCAATCACGAAAAATAGAAAGCACATACCTCGTTCAGGAGCAATTTGACAATGGCATCGACGTACGTGAATGCATATGAGCGATAGTATGAAGTGGTTTTACCGCCGCGCAATGACCAATATGCCAGCTGCAGTGCCGGCATAATCTCAACTGTTCCGGGCATCCCGGTCAACGAGAAACGCACAACGGCTGATTCCGGCTGGGGATAGTACCGGATGATAGGATCTTTCTCAAGCAGACGGCGGTTGCGCCCTCCGAGTTTGCCCAAGAGACGAATAGTAGTATGCGCATGATGATGATTTGCGGGAAGAGGTCGAAGGTGAGAATGCAGAGCTTCCATGAGGTCTCGCAATACAAGATTCAGCGTGGGGTCAAGGAACTCCGGAGTGAGGTTGTCAATACACAGTTCCAGCGTTCGCAGGCCTTGGGAAGCAAGCTCGGGATTTCCGCGCAGGGCGAGGGCAAGAGGTTGCATGAGATATTGTAGATGCGGCAATAGATGAGTTAGCCGGAGGGGAACCGTTAAACAGAGCTCGACGATCATGTCGCGGGTGAACCCATCAGAGTTCTGGAGCTGACGCTGTAGACACTCAAGCATCTCCGGTAGCAGGGGCAGAACTTCCTGGTACAGAAGCTCGAACCTGCCACCACCACCACCAATCGCACGGAAAAGGGCACGCAGAAGATGGAAGTAGTGTGTGGGCTTCGACGTCTTGGCCGCGAGTGGGAAGCAGTCCATGATGAGGTCGCCAACGTGCGCAGCGAGGATGGGCTCATTCAGCTTCGGATGCATGGTCACTGCGATGAAGACGGTCTTGAACCACTTGATCGCAATTGCAGCTTGCTGGTCTTCCATCTCCCCAAGCATCTCAAGTCGGGACATACAAAACCTGAGAACGATGGCGACGAGCGTCGGCGAGTGGGTGTCGCGCTGGAAGTATTGATTCGCGACCTGCATGAGATATGGCCGCTTCTCCACCGCGGCGTTGATGAACTCGATCTTGGTTGTCCAGACCTCTTGAAATACATGTAAGTCGACCTCGAGGAATGTGCCACCGAGCTGTTCCATAGCTTCTACAGCATCCCGGTGCTCGTTGTCGAAGAGTGGCATACAATTGATGCAAGATTCAAACAAGCTAGCTATCAGCGCGCCGTCGGGGACGGGCGCGTTGCACTTCTTGAGGCCGCCGAGAGTCGCTCGAACGGCATGCTGCATGTGCCGGTATAACGAGCGATATTCTTTGAAGAATGTTAAGAGGACGTGCTACTCCGTTCCAGCGCATCACTCACCAATAACAAGCTCCTCAGGCTTCTCGACAGCATATGTCGCGCTCGCGATCGGTCGGACTCTCTCCACGGACGTGATGTCGACGATCTCTTTGCCGTCAACTTCTGTCTTGTCCTCGGCCTTGCTCGCGAGTTTGCCCCCCACCTTCTCCTCGGCCTTGTCGTCACCGTTCTCATCAGCCTTGGTATCCTTGGTATCCTTGCCATCCTTAGCCTCCTTGCTTTCTGGCCCCTTCTCCCGACCCTCGGATCTCCTCAGTCGTTCCAGCTTGGAAAACGCTTCTTTGAGTACTAGCGACATGGACTCAAACTTGTGAACGCATCCTTCGAGTAGCAAGCTCAGCAGCTTGGCGGCCCCTTGTGGAGTGTCCTTCTGCACAACAACATCAATCATGTTGTATATCATCCTAGCAGCCACCATGTGGATAGAGTTGCTGAGATAAGGGTTATGCATGTGCCGAGCGAACCCGGTACAGGCTCTTGTTAGTTGCTCCACAGTAAGATCTGCGCGAAGATGGTGCAGCAGGTCGGCAATGCAACCAAGAGCATTTGCACTGGGAAATGTAACTATTAACTACGTCTCTGACAAGGACTTGCGGCGACGTACCGGACAAGCTCCTGGCTCGCGAGAGTAGTGCCCATGAGCACATGTTCCTCGAGAATCTTGTCGATTTCGGGGAGCAGCACACGCCTTTGAGGTTGGCTTATGAGGTAGCGGAAAACAATCATGAGGTCCTATGAATAACCCATGCATAAGCAAGGAAAGCTGATAACGGTTGACATGCACACCTTCCGTGGGGCTATGGCCGTTGTTGGACAATCCTGCAGGAGCCGTAGCGTCGCGAGGATAATCTGTTCCAACTCGTTCTCCATGGGCGGTTGGTCCGGCGAACTGGTGCTCCGCAAAAAGAACATAAGGAATGACACCATCTTCAGCATGGGTCAGTCTGGGATTGCAAGGTATATTTACGATTCTCGCTGACCTTCACTTGCGCGACAATGAGATCGGTGTACGCGGGCAGGTTTTTCACTGTTGGAGCAACACCTGACCAGTAGCCCTCCATGGCTTCATGCTCTTCACGTGCTTTGCGCTGCGCCGGAGACTGGATCATGATAGCTTCGAGATAGAGGTTCAGGCCCTGCTGGATGACGGGTAGGACTATTGGACGGTGACTCTGGGTCAAGATGACCACGGCAGTTGCGAGCTCCGCAAACACCTTGAAGCTACGCGTACTCGGGTACAAAGGCGGATTCTTTTCGTCATAAGCGGGAGACTCCTCAGACAGAGCCTCTTGAACGACCAGCGGGACGTTGCGAAAGACAGTGTGCAGGATGTTGAAGAACTGTGCTGTGAGTTCTTCATTCAATGGCTTGAAGTTGCGGACGACGTCCACAAGGGTCTTGCAGCACGTGATCGCATTGTCTTCGTAGTCTGTAGCTATCACATGGAGCAGCCCTGCGCATAACACCTGAGCTTGGGGGCGCAATGCATCCGGTAGGGGAAGACGATGTAGGATCTCGATGAGGACACGGCGGAAGCCGTACTCCAAGCTGTCCTTTTGATTCGAGGGCTCAGAATTTTTCAGGCGATCCACGACTACGGTTATGACCCCAGAGACAGCTCCCGTGGTCCCCGAATCCCTAACCGCGTCAACCATGTCTCTAAGCTCACACGCGAGTGCATGCTTAGTTTTGAGGTCTAAATTACCGCTGAGTCCGCGAAGATAGTAGGTAAATGAGGAGAGAATCTACACACCAATTCCAGGATGGGCGATTTTGGAAGCCAGTATCTCTAGGTCTGAACTAGTTGGCGAGGACATGTTGTATGTGTCACTTGAGATTTCTTTTGTGTTGTCCTACGCTTAAATCGCCGCCGACGTAGCGGGATAGCAATGCTACGGCGCGCACACCTAAGGCTCCGTAAATTATGTGGTATTTCCGCAAGAAGGAAGGAGACAGGAAGACAGGCGGTGGAGGTCTGCGCGTGGAAAGGTACGGGGCGCGCATTACATGCATTGCTCTGTTTATTGGTGGCTGCTTATCACGTGAAATTCACGTGGTGAACATGGTGCTCTAGCCAATGGTAACCCAGACGAGCACGGGGCCACTTTGCACAAATAGCGCACACAAATATGCGGGGAGAAAGCAAGTCATATTTTCTGTGACCATTCTTACAGGTGAGTTATTTCTACTCCCGCTAACGATAACAAATGCGAAGCCTAGTAATTGGCCTACATACGAGGGTATGCATCTGTGTTGCGGAGCTGCTCAATCTGTACTTGCGTGCGGCGGAATTGTTGAATTTGAGCCTCGCTCTCGAGCATCATCTATAGGATGTGGCATCAGAGGATAACTTATCAGACTACATCCGAGAACTCACCTCCTCAGCCATTGCATGGATTTCCGAGCCAGGACGATTGTAGATCATCGCGTTGGCGAACATCAAATATATATCCCGTTGGAACTCGAGTGCGTTAGAGATTGTGCCGTCTTTCACGCGGGCCTTGATCGTTTTCAGGTCTGTAGGTCGTTTAACGATATCATGGTAATCTGCAGCGTCCTGTTTCTTGATGGGATTGTGAAATATGTTACCGTACCGGTGCTGAGAGATGCTGCTGTGAAGCATGTTAATAACGTTTTGGAATTTTTTGTCAGCCGCGCCTTGGTTCTTGCGACGACCTTTGATGGTGGAGGGCCCTAGGATATCGTCAGACGGGAGCTTACCGCCACTAGAACGACTAGTACTGACCTGGCTCCTCTTCCTCGACAGCCTCAGAGTCTTCGCGTTGACGCTTGCGGTCGCGCGCAGCCTCAGAGGGTACCTCAGAAGCTTTCCGTTTGCCTACCGCTGCTTCCAATCAGATGGCTTGGTCTATGTGCGTTGAAATAAAGCAACCTTCTCGAAGCGAGATCTCCGCCTCTGGGGATTCCGCTGTGTCCACATCCTCTTGCACCTGAAAGTCAACGTGCGCTGCTACGGGAGATTCTTCTCGCACAGGCGAACGCTCTTCTCCGAATGCCTCTGGTGTCTCGACGGCTTCGACGGCTTCTGGCTCTTCCGGCTCTTGAGGCTGTATCTCCTCGTCCGTGGGTTGAACATCCATATCTTCAGCCTTCTCAACAACGGCGTCAGCTTCCGCCTCCATATCTGGCACCTCCTACGCGAGTTAGCTTTCGTACATAGACGCAGACTAGGATACCTGCTTCTGACGCCGGTCGTTCCATACTGACTTCTGGAGGAGCTTCCTCAGGCTCTTCCTGCTGCCCATGTTGCTCAGGCTGTCCAGGCTGCTCAGGCTCCGCTGTGACACTCCGGCTCTCCCGTTGGGGCTGATTAACGTCAGTGCCATATTTTGAGCATGATAGGTTCACCAACTTACGCTTGGTAGCCTCGATCTACTGGTAGAGGGGGTATGAGCTTCTGGAGCATCTACTGCAGCAGTTGTAGGTGATACATCATCCGTGCAGATATTCTCCTAGTAACGTCTCAGTAAACCAGAGAAGCGTCCAAAGCCCACACTACTCACTTCAGCAGTCTTCTCTTCACGAGGGGATTCCAGGGCGTTTACAGAGTCGGGAGCTATTCCCAAGCTCTGTCGTATACGGTCGTCCCACTGGCCCGCGCGAATTTCGTCTATCTCCTTTACGATCCGCCTGTGGAGCACTTTAAATTGTCGGCACGTAGAACCATGGCAGGCCAACGTACTTGAACTTGTTTTCGTCCTCTTCAATCGCGTTCTTCAGCTCACCCGTGCGTTTTTGATAATATATGGTTGCCAGCTGCTTCAGCTCAGGAGCTACCAACGCGCATGTTCAGCGCAAACGGAGACAGAGACTCTAGGTGGCCTCATACCGCGCGCATAAGCCGTGTCCGGTCTGAAGTAAGTCAGGGCGATAGTCAACAGCTCTTGTAATGTCCTACTCACCGAGGGATGTTCGACTCCTCCATGAGTTTCTCGTACACGGTAGAACACGTCTAGACAGTGACACTGCTTCAATGGGCACACTCTGACGAGCCACGGATTAGGACCACTGACTTCAACGGTGAAGAAGTTGTGTGGTCTAGATATCATGGCGTGACTTTCCAGCAGGGTAGCCACCTGGGGCATGTTGTCGGTACCAAACTCGTAAATCGCCTGAGAGAGGATGAGGCGCTCGACGGTGCTCCAGCTGTCCGCGTTCATAGCTATTTCGCGCACACGCTTTGCAGTAGCCATCCGTACCACCAGTACACCCTGTGGTGCGAGAGTGCCGGCCTGAGGACACCAGAAACGGAGCGTCGAGGCGACAGAGCACAAGCGAAGTTCGAAGCGCGTCTCAGGCGCAACGGAACCGCCGCATTCGGTGATTGGAACACCGGTACCCCACACTAACGATGTTGGCATGTCGCCGCAAGGTTCTCCGCAGTCCGGCCGAAGCGCCAGCCGTCATAAAGGGCTGCCCCCCCATCCGAACTGCCAACGCGTCGTCTCCCCTCCCTTCTGACCACCATGTTCCTCTCCAGACTTGCGCCGCTCGTCATCCTACCCTTTGCTGCTGCAGCGGCTGGTGTGCACAAGTTCAAGCTTCATAAGCTTCCGCCTGTTTCCCAGGACTTCGCTTTCGAGTCCGCGCACCTCGCTGAGAAGTATGGTGGCCAGGTGCCGATGCTCGGTGCCGGTGGTGCCGGACGCAATGTCCGCCTCTCACGTCCGACACCAGACGACGGTCTGTTTCGGACTCAGGAGGAGTTCACTAGTGGACATACACTCCCACTGCAGAGTATGGCCTCGTGCTCTCCGACGCCCATTGTCACTAACTGCGCATGACAGACTTTATGAATGCGCAGTATTTCACTACGATCGAGATTGGAACGCCGCCCCAGAGCGTATGTCCTTTAGTGCTCTGCAGAACGCGGGGTTAGCTGACTGCATGTATCTTACAGTTCAACGTCATCCTTGACACTGGGTCTGCGTCATTTTAACTAGCGCACACGACTTGAGCTCATTTGACACTTGCAGATCGAGCAACCTCTGGGTACCCAGTACTCAATGTACCTCCATCGCTTGCTTCCTCCACAAGAAGTACGATTCTGGTTCCTCGTCTACGTACAAGCCGAACGGCTCCGAATTCTCTATCCAGTATGGCAGTGGATCTATGGAGGGCTTTGTCTCCCGGGATGTCCTTACCATGGGCGATATAACCATCGGACAGCAGGACTTCGCCGAGGCTACGAAGGAGCCCGGTCTTGCCTTCGCCTTTGGCAAGTGAGTGGAGCTTACCGGGCGCTACGCGTTGCATGACGACTGACTATCTTCAGGTTCGATGGTATCCTTGGTCTTGCGTACGATACCATTGCCGTCAACCACATTACGCCCCCGCACTATAATATGTTTGAGAAGGGTCTCATCGAAAAGCCTGTTTTCGCATTCCGCCTTGGGTCTACTGAGGAAGATGCTGGAGAGGCGACTTTCGGTGGTATTGACGAGAGTGCGTTTGAAGGAAAGCTCCATCGCGTTCCTGTTCGCCGCAAAGCCTACTGGGAAGTCGAGCTCGAGAAGGTGCGGCTCGGTGATGACGAGCTCGAGCTCGAGGACACTGGCGCTGCCATTGATACCGGTGAGTGGTATTCAGATTTGGCGGTAGTGTCTTCGGCTGACATCTCTGCAGGGACTTCGCTCATTGCTCTTCCGACCGACATGGCCGAGATGATCAACGCGCAGATTGGCGCCAAGAGGGGCTGGAACGGCCAGTATACTGTTGAATGCAGCACCGTCCCCGACCTTCCCGCTCTCACTCTCTACTTCGACAGTAAACCGTACGTTCTCCAGGGTACCGATTACATCCTTGAGGTCCAAGGGACTTGCATGTCCTCCTTCACTCCTCTCGATATGCCTAACGGTATGAACCTCTGGATCATCGGCGACGTTTTCCTTCGCAAGTTCTACACCGTCTATGATTTCGGTGACGATACTGTCGGTTTTGCTAAGGCCAAGTAGTCGTCCTTGTATGGTTCCTATAGTTCCAATTAGTACTGCGTCCGTACTGCGTCCATGTGGTGATAGCTGTTTTGTGGATGATGCGGACATTCGCGCATAGTCATCAGCGGTTTTATCTCTGCTTTGTACCAACATTACGTCATCTCAAGATTCACTGTCGCTCCGGATATCTTGCAATTTGTCGTTTTATTTCATCAATTCAGTGATTTAATTTGCAGAATCGAGACGGATACGAATGATTACCTGCCCTAACTCGAGTTGCAATTGACAACTCGATTTACAGTATGACCATTTGTACTCCCACTACTCAATGGCCAAATATGCCAGACGTATTTAGATCATCAGAGAACCGACTTTCATACAATCATTTCTCGCGGAGGAAGAGATGGCTACTATCTGCGTCAATAACACAGCCATTGGATAGGGTTAATATGCTAGGAGATGAGAATATTGGACACACAGGGTGCGCTTTACTATCTCGCGACCTGCCCAGACCATGAATGCGTATTTTAGATGCGTGAATGCCCTTAACTGGGCCAAGGATGGCGAAGTGTTGCTCAGCGGGGGAGATGACACTACGTAGGTCAGCTTTGACTTCTGATTATGTTGAAAATATTCACCCTCAGTTTAGTGTGCGTGTTTGGAGAGTGGATCCTTCTAATGAGACCCAAGAATACCCCTTCGTCTGCGACGCTGTCATTCGGACAGGACATCGCGGAAACATCTTCAATAACCAGCTTCTTCCTCATTCCTCACGCATGTAAGCGATCGACCTTTCTTTTGTTCTTGGACACCCCGGCATCTGTAAACTCATTCTTTTCAGTGCTAGCGTCGCCCGAGATGGGCAAGTGCGGGTATCCGACGTCGCCGGCGTCATGGACCACTCTGTCGGCGGGCGTGAAGTTGTGTACACTCCTCGGCAGACAAACGTCCGAGTACTGAGGTGCCACGACGACCCGGTGAAAAGGATCATCACGGAGGACAGTCCCGATTTATTCTTGACGGTTTCTGAAGTGAGTGTGAGGCCGTGATGCGCACATATGCTGAGCCTGATGTCGGGCGGATGCCAGGACGGGAGCGTGAGGCAACACGACCTGCGGACACATCATGTCTGCTCGGAAGGCCAGTGCCCAGCCCCACTTGTGCAGTTGAAACATCCACTCTCGACCATCTCCCTGTCGCCTCTGACTCCTTATCAGTTCGTCGTCGCTGGAGAGTCTCCTTACGTGAGTGCTCTGTGCGTGAATTGTACTGTGGCTGATGAGTTCACAGGGCTATCTTTTCGACAGACGTCACTCAGTGCGGCATTTGCAGTACGACTGGGGCATGTCTGCGGAGAAAGATAGTGCAACGACTTGCGTGCGACGCTTCGGTCGAGAGCCTTCACAGTCTCATCAGAGACGAGGATCGGACCATATCACTGGCTGCAGAATGGCCAACAGCAATGGACATGAGGTTCGTCACTTTCATCGTGTACGACTGGAAGATACGGACCGCTCCCAGGTATTACTATCGTATAGTTCAGACGCAGTATATCTCTATTCAACCCAAGACGATCCTCAATCAAAGTGCAAAGAAAAGGCCATGCTGCGTCCTGAAAAGCGTGTGCGACTATCTACTTCACCGCAGGAACCAACAGCATCCCAAGCAAATGCCCCAGGGTCGTCAACACCCGATATCTTGATGGAACAAGACATTGATCGCTTCCTGGATGAGGACCACGCGGACTACGAGCAAGACGGAGCGATAGAGGTGGAAGACCGGTCTCTAACCTTGGATTCAGATGCGGAAGATGACGACGACGTTAGCGAGAGCGGGACTACTCGAGACCTCATGTTCTATCCAGACGTCCCTGTGGTGATGCCCCGGAGTCGGTTCGCTGGGCATTGCAATGTTGAAACAGTGAAAGATGGCACGTGCGTGTGCAACTCGCGCTCGCCACGATGCTAACAATGCGTTTAATAGTCAATTTCCTTGGGCCAGATGACCAATTCGTTGTATCTGGTTCCGACGACGGTCACTGGTTCATGTGGCAAAAGTCGACGGGGCGCCTTCATGACGTTCTCGAGGGCGATGGCTCCGTCGTGAATGTGATTGAAGGACATCCTTATTTACCTCTGGTTGCTGTCAGTGGTATTGATACGACTGTCAAGGTGAGTGCTTTACGTAGCTTATTTGTCGGGTGCACCACTGAGCTATCCTATTGGTTCTCAGCTGTTCGCTCCAGCGCATGGTCCGAGATCATTCTCAAGGCTAGATGACGCTGACAATATCATCAATCGCAACACAGAGGCTGCCTCGTCATACGTAGGCCTGACAAGATTGGTCGTGTACACGGAGCTGGCCCGTAGGATGGGTTTGGACGCCGGTGATCAATGTGTCAACCAGTGAAACGGACATCTCTATGTATTTTGGCTGTACTTACTGGTGCTGTAATATAAAGCTGGAGTGTTGAGGCATGTCTGGCTTGTAGATGTGGCCTAGTAGCGAGCAAAAGTGGGCGCCTTATACACGCGTCTTGATGCCGTCTCGACTCTTTCGCAACTCCTTTCGCTCCTTCACCCAGTTTGCTTCCGTTGCCGTTTGAACAGCTCGCAGACGCATGCGATTACGGATGGGGCTATTGTAGGAGGTGCTTGACGAGTCAAAGACGATCTTTATTTGCGAGAAAATGGGAAATGGTCGAATTTATGGCAGACGCCCCTCTTGCTCTTGGACCACAGTGCCCTGGGCTGTGATCGCTTCTGCCGAGGTCGACAGACTCAATGTCGTCTGTCCCTGCGGCATTTCATCGTTGAAAGTATCTTCTTTCTCAAAGCAACAAGGCGCTACGCACAGGCCATACCTTTCGTCAAGCCCGCATCCTACGTAAGTATACTATTTTTCTGCGTTCAGGCCTGATATCCACCCAAAGCGGTCTGCCGACAGTGCTCGACCCCTTTGGCGATTTGAAGTACTTTCCTACAACGCCCGGATACCCCGTCAACATTTGTCTGAGTCATTTGAAGACTGGCCGGCGCGGTCAACGTTGTCGAGCGAGCAACCAAGCACGGGGAAGCCTTGATCCTGCCACTTTTCGCTCGCGCAACACGTAACACGGGCGTCCTGCTTGGCTACTCCCACCATCGTCTTTGGGCACTCCATCCTTATTCTCACTTCACGGCTCGACGACGAATCACACCGAGCCCGAAAGTTTTTGGCACGACCTTGAAGTCCCATCATCGTCGGTGTTATTGGGGGAGAATAGCAAGTTGAACTATTCACACATTCTTGTCTCTTGTGCCCTTGTTCTCGACAGCTATCCACGCTTCCTAACCTCCCAGAGCCGAAATGAGGAACGACGGTGCCTCGTCATCACACAGAGGCCGGGGTGTGGATGAATGGCGGCCTGAGAACAATCGGTATGACCAGTCCCCGTCCAAAGACAGCTACCGGCGTGGCGGGAGAGATGACTACGGTCCTCGCGACACGGACCCGTATGGAAGGGACTATCCTTCCAACAGACAGTACCCAGATCCATACGACGACGACGCTCGTCCGACCACCTCATATATGGACCCCTCAGGCAGGTCACCGCCGGGTTATGACGACAGGGACCTGGGTTGGAGCCGTTGGACACCCAAGGACAATCGCCAAAACCATCGCGGCAGAGGAAACTTGGATTTCAACGACCGCCACAAGGATGGTGGACGGAAAGAAGAAAACAGTCAGTTCAAGGAGCGGCGGCGAGACAATGGCTGGGCCTCGAGGCGCCGCAACAATGCGGAGACAACAACAAATGCGAACGCTATTCCTCTTGGAGGCGGGGAGTTGCCATCCAACGACGACCGTAACGCAGAGCCCAGTAGCTCGTGGCAGCCCACCCACAATGGACGCGGCGAGGGTCAACGTAAAAAACACAAGAAGAAAAAGAAAAACCAAAACGACAAGCGCAATAACCGAGATTGGCGCAATGACGACGGTCATCTGAACAAGTGCGTTCTCTTTCCTTATTTCTGTAGCTCTTTTGTAGACCTCCCGCAGCTGGCAGAAACGGGAAGGAGGTGGGGTGCCCAACAAGAACCCGCGACAGATGCGCAAGCCCCAGCGACGCTCGCCATCAAAGTCAAGGTCAAGATCTCCAGCAGATTCATATTATTCGAGAAGGTCCTCTCGCGGACGTTCTCGTTCCAAGTCTGTTGACAGCTTGCGATACAGGAGAGGAGACAGTCGACCACCCCGTAGCCGCAGTCCTGTAGACCGGTGGTCAGATCGCGATAAGGGTGGACGCCCGTCCAGACGGTACACACCCTCTCCGTCTCCGTCTCCACCAAGGCGCTACAGGAATTCGCGGAGTCCGCCACCACGGCGAGGTCGATCGTGGGGCAGGACCCCTTCTACAAGAACAGACTATAGCCGCAGCCACAGTCGCAGTCGGACTCGAAGTCGTAGTCGAAGCGTTACTCCCGAACGTGATCGCCCTAGGGCGGTGCATCGACTACCCGCGGCTACGTCGTTGGAGGATGTTCGTCGATGGGTTAACGTGCAATCCAAATCACCGTCTCGTCGCTTCCAGCAACGCAATAGTGATGGACATCCAAAGCTGACCAAGGCCGAGGTACATAATTCAACATGGTTCACTTCTAATGCTTATATATTCTCGCAGCGTAAGGCCCAGCGGAAAGTGGAGAAAGAGAGAGAGAAGGAAAAGGAGCGGGAGAGGGATAAAGAGAAGGCGGCTGAGCTACTGAATATCTCTAAATCGATGCCGCCGCCACTTCTTCCCACCTCTGCTGGTGGACCTGGGTCCCGAGAGCCAGCGTCAGCCCTTCCTAGACCTGAATCACCTGTCTCAACGCGTTGCGCGGGCAAGCCCAAGAATGCTGGATTTAAACCGATCGGGCAGCCCAACGCGGCGCTCAAGCGATTCTTCCCTGGTGACGACGATGACGACGACGACGAGCCAGACCTGGTGCCACAACGGTCGTTGACGTCTACGGCGCAAGTCACTCAGACCTCGACCGTGACGACTACCCAGAACCACTTCGTCTCTTCTTCTGCGACTCAAGAAGTTAGGAAAACTGAGACTAGCACTTATTCTCAGCAGAACGGCAAGCACGTTCATGTCTCTCGAACCGAAATTCATTCCACCCAGAGGCCAGGATCTCTGTCAGATACCCAGAGTCAGAGTCACATACCAACCCCTGCTACGCCTTCACCTGCGTCGCAGCACCCTCGACACTTCTCTGCGGACAATCAGAGAGCCCACCATAATATCAGCTCACCGCAACCTTCCCACATAAAGCCTGCCCCGCTGGATATCCCACTCCATGTTAAACCCATGATGGTGCAACAGCCACATACTCCCGCTGTGACGCGGCCACCAACGCCTGAGAGAGAGAGCGAGGAGTTATACTCGATCGTCAGCCAGGTTGGTGAAGGCACATTTGGCAAAGTGTATAAGGCTCGAAATACGGCTACCGGCAAATTCGTTGCGTTGAAGCGGATACGCATGGAGGCCGAGCGGGATGGTTTCCCCGTCACGGCGATGCGAGAAATCAAGCTGCTGCAGTCTCTGCGGCATGAGAACGTGGTCCGGTTGTACGAGATGATGGTTTCGAATGGTAAGTCGCCTGACGCGCATGTAGCCGCGTATACTAACCCACTACCTCTAAAGGCTCTGTCTTTATGGTCTTCGAGTACATGGACCACGACCTCACCGGCGTCTTGTCGCAGACGCAATTCACTTTCAGCAGCGCTCACCTAAAGTCACTGTGCCAACAGATGCTGGCTGGCTTGGCGTACCTGCACCACAAGGGCGTTATTCACCGCGACATTAAGGGGTCTAACATCTTGGTGAATAATCGGGGAGAACTCAAGCTTGCGGACTTTGGATTGGCGCGTTTCTACCAGAAGCGACGCAGGAGCGATTACACCAACCGTGTCATCACTCTGTGGTATCGGCCTCCTGAGCTGCTCTTTGGTACTACGGTCTACGGACCGGAGGTCGACATGTGGAGTGCGGGGTTAGTCTCTCAGCTAGCTGTCTTCCGTATTCACTGCTGATGGATTTTTTCTAGCTGCATTATGCTGGAACTGTTTACGAAGAAGCCAATCTTCCAGGGCAACGATGAGATTCATCAATTGGACGTCATGTACAAGATACTTGGTACCCCGACAGCTGAGCGATGGCCCGGAGTGAACAGCTTGCCATGGTACGAGCTGGTGAAGCCGAAGGATGTCATCCCGAATCACTTCAGGGAGCTATTCCAGAAGTGAGTGTGAGAGTACGGATTCAACTGCCTCTTCTGACAAGGCACCCAGATGGCTATCGCCAGCTGCGCTTGATATAGCTGAGCAGCTGCTTGCGTACGATCCTGCCCAGCGGGCAACAGCTGCGCAAGCCTTGGAAGCCCCGTATTTCAACCAGGAGCAGCCAGCCGCTGAGCGGCCTGTCGGGTTCGTTCTCATCGTATTATCTTGTTTGCTGCACGCTGAGCCGTACATCCAGACTGGCAACCTTGGAAGGCGAGTGGCACGAACTAGAGACGAAGCGCGAACGAGCCAAGAAGCGACGCAAGACAGAAGGCAGCAGTACCACACAATGAGTCGCCCAAAAGAGTCATGACCTTCTGTTAGCTATTCCATACTCCTGCTATCCGGCTGCACTGCACTGTATTACTGTTTTAAATCATCGCCGTTATCGTCCTCTTCCAACTTGTTTTGCCTTTGCTCATTATTGTTGTCGTTCAGATAGCACCGCTCATCGTCGTATCGCTGGAGCTCTAATATATACCTACACTTGCGCCGTGGCGAATTGTACGAGACCCTTCTCCTTAAGGTGCTGAACGATTGACTCGACCTGTGTGGCGACGTGAGATAACAGGTCAGTCAAGGTGAACTGAGCAACATACACTCGCGGCGGTCATGCGGATCTGCATATCCCACCGCTTTGTGAACGGTGCACCCGTGTCCTCGGTTTCCTGTTCGACATCGCCCAATCCGCCTGCCTTGCCCTGTGCATCGTCTTCGTCGCCTCCGGCGTCGAACCAGATGAGCCTCTCGACTTGGTCGATCGAACCTTTGAGGCGTCCCTGCTCGATCATCCTGCGCGCCATTGTCTCTGCCGCGCCAGGCGCGAGGTCCAGGAGGGCGCCGAGCCCGCGGAAGGTGATGTTGTTGTAGATCTTGGAGCTCGCGAGCAGGTTATGCTCCATGACGGCGCGGTCGAGGACCGTCGCGGGGCCGGTGCGCCTGCTCACAGCGGGATCGCCTGCGTCCTCGTTCGCCGCGGCGACGACGCGGTCGCTGCTCGAGAGCGAGATCTTGGCGAGCTGGTGCGTCTTGAGCGTGCCCTCGAACTCCTTGATCTCGTGCGCACGCAGGATGCGATCGAGGAACATCTTGGAGAGGATGTTGAACGTCGGGAGCTCGGCCGTGCGCTCGTCGCGGCACAGCGAGGCGAGGATGCGCGAGCGGTTCGGGCCCGCTGGGGCGAGGACGGCGCAGGTCACGGCGGCTTTGCTGGAGGGGACATGTCAGCGCTGCACCCGGAGCTCTGGATAGTCTGTTACCGACAGCATCTGTTTCCGCTCTTCTTCGTCGATCTCTGCAACGTAGCTGAGTTCGTGGTATCGTGATGCAGCTTCGAGGAAACGACGGGAGTAGTCGTGGATGCGGGCCTGGCAAAGCTTGAAGCCCAAGAGAAGCTCCCTGTCCTGTGTGGAGTGGACCAGGATAGCAGCGCGGTTGTAATATGTCTCTGCTTGCACAGAGTCTTCTTCTTCGAGTAGCAATCGGACTATTCGTACATATACGCGCAGCCTGTCCTCGTCTGTTCTGTGGGGAAAGGCGTCGTAAGCGGTGGCGCGCGGTGAAGCGTGAGGCAGACACACCTTTGACCAGCGTCGAGGGAGATGCCAGTGAGCACACGAGCAGCTCCGCTCCAGTCCTCCTCTTTCTCCAGTATGTCTGCAAGGATTAACCTGAGGGGGTTTACCTGTGCAGAGGCCATGAGTGATGGTTTAGATGCGGCACTGGGTGCGCACTGACTTGCTCCTCATAACTGACAAGTCTCGGCTGGACGATGGACAAGGTTTCCTCTACTATCTGCTTCCTCAGATCAGCTGGCAAGGTGCTCTGACCACCAAGAGCGCGTGCGAGCTCCAGAAGGACTTGTCTGCCCACAACGACATTGTCCTGGAGGACGGTGTCGAGGACGGTGCGGGTATCGTTTGCGATGCTGCTGTGATCTGGTCTGGAGAGGACCTCGTTCACAACGGCGAGATATGCAGGGCCTCTGTCCTTTTGCGCGAGCGAGGAGATCTGGGCCAGCTTGGATTCCATTTGGCAGGGCAAGGCAGAGAGCACACAAGTATCGGTAGGCGCGCTGGAATTGCAAGGCGCGTCGGGCACGTGGTACTGCAGCGATTGTGCTACACGCTTCACCGGGAACCGCGGGCGGCGTCGCTCGCATCACCAGCTCATGAGCCTGTTCTCTCCATTCCAGCATGGCAGACAAAGCCCAGCACGGTCACGACGACCTGGAGGCTAGGAAACGCCATGTCGCCCGCCAGAAGCTGATCACCTACTTCCTCCGCACTCCCTACTGGGCTTTCCGCGCATTTCCCAGGGCAAATCGCCCACACCCAGAATGGTCCTTGTACCGTGTCGTTAAGCGCAAGATCATGGTCACCAGCGATCGCATCGCTGCCCTGTAAGCCTCTTGAACTTTCCATCACCCGGGATTTTGCTGACCACTCCCGTAGTGCCGGTTTGGGGCCTGACACGCCAGACTACCGTGTTCTCGTTACCGGAACCGGTGTCAAAGGCCTGTGGGTCAAGCCCACCCCTCATCTCATTGTAGGGGAAGTCGAGAAATGGGCCAAAGACGCTAAAGTAGGCTGCGTTCCCATCCCCGCATACTGGCAAGAAAAAAAGGGAGTCGATCGGCTCATCGGAGCACCGCCGAAGCCTGGAGAGAAGGTCATCTACCACCTTCACGGCGGAGGCTACGTTGAGCTCTCAGCTCACCCTAGCGACAGGACAGCCAACATCCCGCGGGGCATCATGCAGCATACACCCATTGAGCGATCGTTCAACCTCGAATACCGCCTGACCAAAGAGCCCGGCATAAACCCAATCCCTGCCGCCTTACTCGATGCCATCGCAGGCTACCATTACCTGACTCATAATGTTGGCTTTGCGCCAGAGGACATCATTCTTGAAGGAGATTCAGCGGGAGCCAATCTCGCGCTGGCTCTCCTGCGTTACCTGCTGGAGAATGCAGACAACGAGGCCGTCAAGCTCCCAGGAAAGCCCGGAACGCTAATCTTGTGCTCACCCTGGGTCGACCTGAGCCCTCTGAGCATCCCCAAAGGGTCCGAGCTACGGGAGGTACTCTCTGTGTACAAAAACCGCCATACCGATTTCATAAGCATCTCCGGCAGAACCAACGCTCGCGGCACTGAGCTCATCCTTGGACCGCTGGGAATGGAAGCGGGCGAGGCTAACAGATACATATCTCCTGCTTCAACTTCGCCAAAGCTTGGGAAGGTGTCCTTCAAGGGCTTTCCCCGTACGTTCATCCTGTCGGGAGGCGCCGAGGTGATGATCGACCAGATTCGTGTCCTCGGGGCGAGGATGAGGGAGGACATGGGCATGGATATGGTGGAGTATGTCGAGCAGCCAAACGCAATGCATGACTTTTTGATCCTTCCGTGGCATGAGCCGGAAAGGACTGAGTCGTTGCGGCTCATCGGGAAGTGGCTGTTCCCGAACTATGTCGATACCGGCCGCAAGTCCTGGATTCCCAGAGCGAGACTGTGATTGTAACAGATGATATGTGCAAATGAACGTATGTATATACCCTGGTACGCACCTTCCAGAATAACATGTGTTTTGCTGAGCACGTAGTACAGTCAACGCTTGTGGCCTCTCGGCGCGCCTGCCCGACGCTCTGATACAAGCCATGGAGCGAGACGTCCAAAAGGATGAGAATTATTCGTAGTATGGATGGCCTGTCAGAGGCAATATGTCGCAGCATCTACCACTCTTGACGACGCCCGATCTGTCGGTCGGTTGTCCGCTGCTCGTACTCCGTCCGAGTCGTGGATGCGTGTGCTGTCAGTATGCATTTCTTATCTCGGGCGTACCTGTTCCGCTGCTGCATGAGCAGGACTCAGCAGTACGAACTGTAGGTACCCATGGGACATTTGTCGCCAAACTCAAATTGATGTCCGACAATGATCTCTCTATTTTTTTCGTTGGCTACAATAACCACAACAGTTGCCTAAACGAGCAGCGATCAACGAATCTCGACTCGGTCATGGTTACGGGTCGCAAGCAGATTTTGTGCTTGCTCTCCCGTCTCTTTCGTGCTCTTCATCAGGCAGATTTGGACGAGCTTTTGGACGCTTGATGTGTGCAAAGCTGACGCGGTTGTCCTGGAGATACTGAAAGGTACGACTGATGCGCATCGCATCCCTGATTTATCACTGTTAACCGCCTGAAATTCTCTCCGTCTCCGTCTTTCTCCTTCAGGCCTTCACCGCTTGCCCTTACGAAGCCGAAGTCTGTTCTTTCCAGCGTGGTGTCTCGCATTTTGTGGGCAAGAACACGACGCGACATTCAAATCCAGACCAGGCGATACTCATTCGGAACCGTAACTTATTCGTCTAGCTCCTTCGGACGCGCTGCCAGTCGGCCAGGAACCTGCTCTCCACATCCCTAATACCTCCTCTGCACAACCATGTCACATCTTACAGCCAATCCGTTCCAAAAACACTACGAGTTCCCTCGCCCGGGCCCGCTCCTTACCCCACCAGACACCGAGCCGGAATATACAAGTCAACTCCCCTCTACACTACCATCTTCCTTCCCTTCAAGCCTACCTTCAGGGCTCCCGTCTTCAAGTTATGCCCCGCCTATCGGACTAGGAATCGAGTTGGACCCATCTCAGACCCCGCGCGGCCGCTCTTCGCCTGTACCCGACCCACTGTCGGTTCGCAAGGTCCCGTCGCTGCAGTACATCCACACTGGTCCTCGCGAGGCTCGGGAGCGTGCCGAAAAGCGTGGAACGCGTTGGCTTGTAGTGGTGGTTCCCCCACCGTCATTCGCTCAAGAACATGGGCACCTCGGCCATACGCTTACTGTGGGATCTCCGGACAGGTTGTCCCAGGGTATCCTCATGCCTCTGTACTCAACGGTGCGTTACCATATACCGTTGCGCTGGTGCACATCCTCATTATGATGTTAACGGCCCTAGATGAGTACACAACTTGTAGCGATTGCCCGCGAGTTTGCCTTCCCTAGTACAAGAGGCCTTTGCCTGTACCTCAACACGACGTTCGATGGGACTTCCGTGACGCCACGTATCTCGGACGAGTCATGGCAGCTCCTGTGGGGGCATCTATTCGATCCAAGGAGTCCCGTTCTGCAGCATTCACAACTGCCCATTGGTGGGAAGATTGAATTCGACATCGACCTGAGCAAAGCGCGGTGGTATGAAGCCTGGATCGGCATGGGACGGAGGGACAACGTTGATGTACCGGTTTCTGTGACGCCGTCAAGGGCAGAGTCTTTCGCACACTCACACTGGCGTGCGGACAGCAAGACGTCATTCCTGGACGACCAGACGGAGACACCAGACGAGTCCCTCGACCTCCTTAATCTCGGGAGACATTCGCGCGGCCCCAGTCTGAGGCAGACACCGAAGAAGCTCTCCCTCTTGGACCGATTCGAGAACGCATCCACTCGTTCTGGCTCGAAACTCGTTCCGCGGAATGGCTCTCCTCCGAGTCCTCAACCCGAGACACAGTTCCGGCATGTTTTGTCGCCAATTGCTCAAGGCGGTTCAGAACCATCGAGTGCGAAGAAGGACATTGACAAGTTAGTCAACACATGGCGTGCAAGCGCGACGCTATCTGCGATCCCTATGCGCGCGACAGGACAGACGAGTCTCGACCCGGTCAACATGCCCAATGACATACCCATTGACAGCCCATCGACCCCCGGTGAGCACGTGGCGTCCGAGTTGGACCTCGAGGACTTCCAGTGGTCCGTGACCTCGCTCGGCCCGCCGGACTACGACGACGAAGACCTTGACTCGCTAGAATCGTGGCGGCTCCCGTCGGTGCACCTCGATCGTCGTCTCGAGGGCTCAGTCTGCCTCACACCGACGACGTGCACGTCTTTCGGCCCTCCTGATTGGGACGACGACTATCAGTCGTACGTCTCCGTGATCTCACGCCTGCCCTCGCCCGACCTCGCGACACGCGTGATCGAGGACTGCCCGCCCACGCCGTCGACCGCGACCTCGTGGGGTGCACCTCTCTCCTACCCACGCTCACCTTCCGAGCTCTCCTTCGCTCCATCCGTCGATATCGGCCAGCGCTGTGTGTCCGCCGTCCCAATGACACCCTCAACCGCAACGTCCTGGGGCCCGCCGCTGTCGTGGCCTCCGTCACCCACGACGCCTTATCACGTGCACACGCCCGACGTCGGCCAGCGCACGTTCGACGACGTCGTGCCGCCCCGGCGGTACCAGCGCGCTCCTCCGGAAGAAGGCGAGGAACAGCCTTGGAGGAGTGTCTGGCCGTACAACAGCGTCGCCACTGAGGATGCGGAAGGCGAGGGTGCTGCGGCGAGCCCGTACAGCTTCACTTTCCCTCGGCGGCCGTCGCCGCCCCCAAGAGAGGCCGATGAGGTCGTTGCACGGGATGTTGATGAAGAGGCCTCTGGTTCAGCGCGTCCGTTCCCGCTGGTCTGGCCGTACTACAACACTGCGAGGGAGGAGACCGAGCCTGCACCCACCGCGCAACATGCGGGTCAGACTGCGCAATCTTTCCCTCTCGTTTGGCCCTACTATAACGCTCTCCCTGCCGAGCCTGCACCTGCACCCGAACAGGTGGCAGGAGTCTCTGAGGCTGGGCCGTCCTCGCTCGTCTGGCCGTACTACGTCGCGCATACGGAAGCTGATGCGCCCGCGCCCGTACAGGAGACTCGTCACGTCGTTGATGACGTCCCGCCCGCACCACCTGTCCGGGCGCCCAAACAGAGTCCGTTCAAGTTCGTGTTCGCAGCGGAGGAACCGGTCGCATCGACGTCTTCCCTGGAGAGCGAAATGCCCGAAGAGGTGACGCCCGCCGAAGAAGAGTTCGCCGCGGTCTCGACGTCACGGAGGCAGCTGTCTGCACAGGAAATCATGGACGGTGAGGAGCTTTCTGAGCCGGAGAGCGAATACTCGGACGAGGACGAGGAAGAGCCCATCATTCGGCCAGCGCCTGCGGTCACCCAGTCTTGGTCGCTCTTCGGCATGAGCATGGATGTCAGCGTGTCGGTCGATGTGGTGGTGGAGGACGATGTCCATCGGGAAGAGGAGCGTGTCTACGTTGACAACAACTACGCATGGGACGAGGAGGATCACCGGGTTCATGTAGACAATGCGCATGTGCGGGATTACGAGGAGAAGCAGCCCGGGCTGGACATCGAGGCTAGTGTGCGCTATCCTTACTTCGACATTTGTGAGTGGGCCATCTGTGGGCTACGGAGTTTCACTGACAAAGAACTAGACCCGGCTGTGTATCCGCACTTGGAGCTGTACCCCGAGATGCCTGGTGCTCTCGAGGCTAAAGCTTTCGCATTCTTTTCACCCATTCCCAGCTTGCCCTATCCTGCTATGTCCATTTGTAAGTTGCTGTTTCTAACATTGTTGCAGGGCCTGAACCATCTGCCGCAGACTCGCCAGTATATCCGAGCAATGTTCAGCAGATCTACCCTTCTATCCGCCTCGGAGAAACTGTCGAGGCGCAGCACGAGCCGAGGATCATTCCCAAGGAGCCATTGAAAGAAATCTCGGTGCGCCTTGCTGCAGAGTACCCGCACTTAAGCTTGTGTACGTTCTCGAGCTGGTAGGGGCACACTTTGCGATGCTGATCGTCGAACTACAGATTCTCCCATCTACCCCTACAGATTGAATTTCATCTATCCTGCGGACGTGGATGGGGTGGAATCTATCACTGTTCGTCTGCCTGCGAAGTACCCTGCTCTCGATCTCTGTGAGTCGCTTGAGGCAAACTTTGGTAGAGTTATCTGACAAGCATTCACACAGACCCGCCTGTTTACCCGTACAACGTCGAGCAGATCTATCCGCCCGCAGCGGCTACGAGTGCGGCAAACAATTGTGATGTCGATCTTACGGCATACCCCTGGAGTATGTACAACATCTATACCGGGTTGTTCAACGTACAAAAAGCTAGCGTGAATCTGGAGCTTCAAATAGGCTACCCATACTTCCAGCTCTGTGAGTAGTTTCCGGCAAGCTGGCATATCGACGTGACTTATTATCGATTAGACAAACCCGTCTACCCGCACAACGTGCAAGATCTCTACCCGGCGCCCGCTGCCATCCTCTTGACTGTACAACACAGTCGACGGCCGTCTGCCTTGCGCATGAAGACACTGTCCTCTCGAAGCTCCATGAAAACTCTCCAGCATGAGCATGGTCATGTGAAGCGGGGATCAGCGTCTGCGCGACAAGCCTCGCCACCGCCTGTCCCGCCACTTCCGCAGAACGTCGCATCACTGGCACCTATAAACCCGACGTCACACCTGCCGCTTACTGGTAGGATGTCCCTCAGCTTACCTGTGAGGCTGTCGACAGCCTACCCTAGGATCTGTCCTTGTAAGTATCCTTGGTTACTTCTTCGTAACTCATATTTTGACTATCATGATCAGATCCATCGGCATACCCATACTTCGATCTCTACCCCGAAGTTGTGAACGCTGTGCGCTCGGAGGAGCCGTTTGTTGTTAGAGCTGAGTCTAGGTACCCTATGCTTGACATCTGTAAGCTCAAGTCCTTTCCACTGGTGACGGGATCGAGCTAAAGCACTTTACGTAGACCCTCCAGTGTATCCTCACTTCGAAATTTACCCTCAGCCAAGCGCATCACAAATGGGAGACGTATGTGGTCCTGCTCGCTCACCTGCTGTGAAGCCAGCTATCCGCGAGATGAGGCATAGACCTACACACAGCCACGCAGAATTGCATGAGAGTGTCTTTGGAACAACATTTGCTCCTCGCCGCAAGCCGCGGTACACTCACGCTGACCTTCACCAAATGGCCATAGACTCCGTCCCTCTTCATGCGGAAGAGTCAGTTCCTGTACGGAAGAGCAACGTGCCATCGATACTCGAGGAGGATGAACCTATCGATATTGCTCCAGCGACGCAAGAAGAATTTATTTCTGTCAAGCCGTTTAGCACACCGACAATCTTGGAGGAGGACGAGGAAGAGGAAGAAGAGGAGGACTCACAGGCCACGAGGACCCGGGCACCTTCAGTTTCCGGAGAAGTAGAAATCCCTGCCTCGATCAGTACACTAAGTCCGTCTGCGTCGCTCCGTAGGCTCCCCACTCCCCCGATACAATCGCAGGTCGGTGCACCCACACCTTCTCCCCCACCGTCTATTCGCAGTCGTGGCAGGTCCGGCACAGTCAGCACAAGACCACCACTCCCTACCCCTCCTTCCTTCCTGCCACCCACACCTTTAACTTCACCGTTATCGTCCAGCAGTGACTCACCATCCCGTGCTATCAGAAAGCTTCCGGCCATTCCTGGCGAGGCTCCTAATAAAGAGCTTCCCCCGCCACCGGCACGGCCTGTGTCCATGCGTCCGACGGCCATAGGCCTTCCCTCTGATCCCGCTGCAGGCCGTAGGGCGTCTGCTCTGGGATTCAACCGGCCGCCACCTTTTGCCCCTCTACCTCCAGTACCTGAACCAAGTGCTGTCGACGCACCCGCTTTCAGAGCACCGCCACCAAGGCTCACGCCTCTGTCGAGCGTTCCCGAAATCGTGCTGTCTGGCTCTCAGTCCGCGACATTACCCCGCACGCAACCACTAGACGGTGTTCCTGAGCTGTCTCGCAGCCACAGCGTGCCGTCCAGGCCACTGCCCCGCGTCAGAAGGGGGAGCGTCGTTGGCTCCCCGGGCACAGTCGCCGGCCTCGCCAAGAACTGGAATACAGGTACCCCCGTCGACCCCGCACTCTCGCAATTCCCATCGCCACCACGTGCACCACTCCCTCCTGCACCAAACAGCCGGCCTGTTTCGAAGCTAGATCGCTCCAGGTATCCTTTGCTTGATCGCTAATCCTTCAGTCAAGCTCTCGCTTATGTCGGAATTATTTATGCTGCCAGTGTTAGTCCGTCGCCTCTACCCGTATGCCCTCTTTTTTTGCGGAGAAGTGTTACTTTACCATTCGAACGTTCGGCCTTGTCTTTCGTTTTTTGCTGTACACATACATGCCCGGCAGCTAGACCGTTTCTCGCTGTACACATACACCTGCCCGGCCTCTAGATCATCATCTCTCATGGAGAGTTAATACATACAATCGGCTTAGCAATACAATGGGATATGCGAACAAATATTGTGTACGCCGCGAGTTATGCGACTATTGATGAAATTCCGTCCTCTACGTTTGTATCTCGTATTAGGATGGCTTAGTCGTCGTAGTCTTCTTGAATGGAGACGACGTTTTCACTGAGAATACGACCATCGCCAGAAGGCATAGTACCTGGAGGTGATGTAGGCGACATGGGCGGCTGCCTCGCTGCGACAGCGGCTTGGGCTTGACGCTGCTCTTCCTCTCGACGAGTTCGCAGGGCCTGTGATTTGCGGTCGTCGAGGAACTGCTGCTTAATCTGGGTGTGCATAGACTTGTCAGTAGGCTGCGCTAATAGAAATGTAACACTCATACGTTGGCAATCTGGGCTGCGGCGACAGCCTTCTCTTGCTGCTTAGCACGTTCTGCGCGCTCCTCCTTGGTCATTTCGCGATCCAGAGCTTCCTTGAGAATCTCTGCGCCGATGCGCAAGTCTCCGATGCGCCTCGGCTTGAATACATAAAGCGGTTGATAGTCTTCGACTTGTGGATCAAAGCCCATCTGCGTTATATCCCGTCAGGGTAGCTTCGCCTATCGGTCTGCATGCCACATACTTCTCTGGCATACTCGAGAGTGCCCTTGGGATCGATGATGAGACGCTTTATATTGCCGTTCGTAGTCTTGAACTTCTGGTACTTCAGCTCGTTCGGGTTTTGTATAATGTTCTCAGCGAGCTTGAGGAGTGTCTACAAATCGTGGTGTTCAGTCTCCCACTATGCAGTACTAGAAGACACGGGCGTACTTGGAGAGACTCCAAGGCCAATGGCCTTGCATTCGGCCTGAGGATCCCTGGATCTACCATGCGGCGAAATTCTTGCCGCTTCTCGTGGTCCTCGTCAAACGCCGCATAGCTCTTGCCCTTGTCTTGCTGAGGTTGCTTACGCTGTTCTCGCAGCCTCCGCTCGATAGCGTTGGCGACAGCATCCGAGCTGGGAGCTGGCATGGGGGTAGAGTTTTCACTCAGAGTATGTGCTTGAGCGGGCGCGAGATCAAGATGCTCCTGATCTATATCCATGCTGACTGCCTCGTGTTCTGCTGCTGCTTCGCAGTTCGTGGCCAAGTGGTTTCTAGTTAAGCCCGCTTGATTAAAGGCGCCAAGGACAGTAATGCGGATCAGGACCCGAGCGCCCGGCTCACCCCTCTGAGATGACGCATGAGCACGAGCGCCCGTTACAGGAGTCCCGCGTCGAGCTGCTGCTCGACATCTCGCTCCTTACTCCGGATTCCTTTCCTCGCCGTCCAGCGCGATGGTGAAAGACAACGGCCATCCCATTGCGGCTCTCTCGATTCCCGGCGATGCTGCCCATACTGACGCAGACAGTGCTCCCTCCTCACCGTCAGTCCAGGTCTTCGCCACACCGCAGACATCCCCCACTATTCCCCCTCGTACCCCTCTAGTCGAATCCCCAATTTCTGACTCTCCAACTATGCTATCAGAACATGGAAATAATGTCAAGGACGATGTCTCTGCATCTTCCGACAGCTCCGAGTCCGCGGAGCTCACACCCTTGCGAGCTCATTATCTGAAGAAGGAACTAATCACCTTGCAGTTCCGCCGCGAGCTGAAGGGTCTTACCACCGTCCCAAGGAATAATATATCCACATTTTCTTACTTGGGACCCCCTTTCACTCCGCCACCCAAGGATGGGCCTCGACTTGACCTTCCGCTCTTACGGTACATGTTCCGCAACTTCGTGCTCTCCTTTCCCTTCCTTGCTGCTGCTCCAAAAGATTTCTTTCCCGACAAGCTTCAGCCATTCATGGCCAACCTGCTGTCGCGCAATCTCTCATCCGCATCGCCCCTTGATAACGATCCGGAGCAGTCGGAAGAGGCTACGAGGGCCAAACTGTTAATCAAGCTCGAGAAGAACTTTTCCGTGCTTATCACCAGCGGAACAAAGCTTGTGGAGAAAGAGGACGTGGTGCGCTTGACTCAGAAGGACCTTGATAGACTCGAGATGCTGGCCAAGAAACGCGCGGCCAGGGAGAGGAAACTCAAAGACAAGTTTGAGATCAACGTCGTCTGCGTACGGACCGTAGTCGAGAAGAAGCGTGTTAGGAGTAAGGCACACGAGGTATGAAGCCGGCACTGTATGTTATAGCTACTTTGTCTAGAGTATTAACATTTCCTGTTCGTAGGAATTTATCATCCGAACACGTCGACACAATCAGCCGGATGTCTTCGTCTCCAGGCGGTATGGTGATTTCAGGACCCTTTGTGATGAAGTGAGTCTAAAGGTGGAATAGTTTATCTCACTCCTGATTCATTCTGCAGCTCCGTAAAGCCCATCCGACGGAGTTAGTACCGCCCCCACCCGCGAAAGACCGCACCTACGTCAATGTGACACTCTCAAATCCCCCGTCCCATGCGGCATCGCCACTACCAAATCATCAAGGCTTTGGCAGCCAGGTTAATCGCGCCATGAGCTCTGCTCCGACTAGTCCGACATACATACCCCGGCAGTCGAGAGCAATGCCTGGCATGTATAGCAGCGAGCGCAATTCTAGCGCCGACTCGCTCCAAAGCCAGTCCTCCGGAAGCCCAGGCTCACCAGGACCAAACTTTGGTGGTACCATTGCGCATCCGTCGCGGTTAGCCAGAGAGAAGAACAGGTTGACGCTAAGATCATATCTGCACATCCTCCTGTCTTCTTCGGCCTTTGTTTCTTCTCCGGTCTTAAAATCATTCCTTCTTTCCGGTCCAACTCATCTCAGGTGCGTTCGAGATAAAGCATCAACAATGAAACATCGGTTTCACATTTGCATTGTAGCGAAGAGGAACTAGAAGACGCCCGCCGGCGTGAAGAAGCGGATCATATGCGCGAGGACGGAAGGATTAGATTCGCTAAAGAAATTACGCAAAGAGTGGATGGTCTTCGCGACGCTGTCCGTAGCGTCAAGGGCGAGCTGCTAGGAAAAGGTATTCTCCCTATCTCTTGATTAATCACGCGTTAAAGCTCTGCCCAGATGGTCTCACTCGTGTGTTCGCTACCATCAAACATACGCCCGACATTCGCGACCTTCCTCCCAACTATAAGGCCGTCATCGAGTGGGCTCGTATCTCGTGAGTATATGTACTCACTTGGGTTTATTGACTCCTTGACTTGGTTGCCACAGAATGGCCTCAACAGTCTTTCAGAAATTCGTCGCAGCGGACAATGCTTCCGAAGCTTTCGCCGGCCTAAAGCGCATTCATGGTATGATGCCTTACTTCATGCTCAAAGCTGCCTTGAAGATCAGTAATCCCATGGCAATGATCAGAGGCAAGAAGCTCCGTGTCTTGTGTTTAGTGACGATCCTCTAATCTATCAACCAAGGTGTCCTGGACCTGTTCCTGGCCCAACCTTTCGGTGGACGCAGCTTACTGCAAAGGTATGTGGCGAGTTATTCCGTGCCACTCAGCTGTTTGCTTGATCTTTTGAACGCCCAGGATGTTCACTGGTTCTCTGATGGAAGAGGTGAAAGCCCTGGAAGAAGACATCGATTCTGTCCGTAGCAAGGTCGAAGATCCCCAAATTTGCGAGAAAGTTAAACTTTTCGTCTACGCACCTCCCGAAATACAGGCGATCTACAAGGCCGATGCAGGTATGTTGTGTTCTGAAAGGTCGCGATTCAGTCACACGCTCATGCGCTGACCTCCATGCAACTAGCTGGGGAAGGCATGAACATCTTGACCGCAGTCTTGCGTTCCGGGGAGCAGCCACGTTTGTCTCGGGTTCAGATGCAGCGCGTACACCGAGCCAGCATCGCGCACAAGGTTTACAAGGACGCCCACCCCGACTCGGAAGACGATGATGGTCCAGAGGATGAAGACGCCTGGCTATACGAAGACCTCATGCTTCTCGCGAAGCTATACGCCCGGCTGAGAGATCGAGAACAGCTGATGGCACTGATCTTCGAGGTGGGCTGGACAAGTTTAACTCTGGCGTGGAATGACATGGACGCCTGACCATGCCTCGTTGTACAGGGCACCACCGCTGACCTCCTCAAGGACATTATCACGATCTTCTACTCGCCGCTCGCACAGGTTTACCGTGCCGCGAGTATCGCGGACTCGTTGGGGGACCTCCAGAACTTTATCAATGACCTCATTCGAACTGTCGAACAAACGGAAGAGCGTATGTACCTTGCCCCCCAGAACCTTTTGGCGGACAAGCTGACACGCTTCCATGGGTCGCTTCCTCAGTTAGCCAGCAGGATCCGGCAAAGACGGTGCAGGTGTTTATTGACCTCATCCAGCGACACGAACAAGCGTTCTACACGTTCGTCCATAAGGTCCACTCCAAAGGAGAGGGGCTTTTCGACAGCTTGATGCGCTGGATAGAGCGGTTCCTCGCCCTGATGCGGGAAGGAATTGGGGAGCCCATCAGCCTCGAGTTCCTACTCCCACACACGGGTCAAGAACGCTCGGATATCATGAAGGAAATTGACGCGATAGCGAGATATCACTATCTCCTGAAGGTGGCACATGAAGCCAAAGTTAGGCGCCGATTTGGACGGACGCAGGGCCAGAGCGAGGCAGACGCAGAGGACGAAGCTGCCGCAGAGCTTGTTAACGGCGTTGTGCGGGACCTTAGCTTTGGAGACCTCGTGGCAGGCGACGCGGATGAACTCGCTGCGGAAGTTTCGTCATCCGAAGATGATGAGGACTCGAGTGAAGAGGACGATTCAAGCAGCAGCGACGATAGTGGCTCAGGTGATAATAGCTCTAGCGATACTGAAGAGAGCGAAGAGGGCAGCTCGACCGAGGGAGGCAAGCGCGAGGGCACCCCGACTCCCACCCGTACCGTGTCGCGGTCCCACACGATCGGCCACTCACCGGCCTCTGCTCGCTCTCAGCATCAACATACTCCTAAACGTTCACTTGACGTGGCGTCTCCATCACGTTCGAGGCCCTCAGGGCGGCCGCTGCGCAACTCGCGATCGATGTCGTGGGCTCGAACAGCGAAGGACAAGACCCTTTCCGCGTTGCCGGGCGCGCGCCGCACCGATGAAGGCCGCGAGCAACCCGCGCAGAGATCGTCCCCAGTCGGTGCGAAGAAGAAGAAGGCTGATGGCCCCAGGCCTCCAGAACTTCATCACATTCCGAAGCTACTTCCGCTCTTCGTGGAGATGGTGCGTGCACAACCCGTTTGTATTGCGTCGGCGACTAGATTGTTGACGCGAACCCTTGCGCTTACGACAGATGCGGCCGCTTCTGCAGACACAGAGATAAGCTCCCAGTGGGGTTGGGATGTGGGACGAGAACACACACGAGGCGAGTCTAATAAATGACGACAATATTAGATGGTCTACGTTTCCGTTATCTGAACGCTGTATCTCTATCGCTGGCTGTCTAGTGTAAGTTGATGAACTTGTGTAATGTGGAGAAATATCGTCTTGTAACATGGAGTAGGTTGAGCCCTGCGGGTTCAGCCGTGCGTGGGCTGGACATGGTCTATGAGATTTGCATCTGGGAGTGGGTCATGGTTGATCATAAATTGGATTTTGTGACTGGGATGGGGCAGGTCGAGACTCGACGGCTAGCGATGTTTGTTACGTCCTCTGGCATATCTCCGCTCCTCATGAGAAGCGACGGTTTCTCCTCGATCTGTCGAGGCCTATGAATGCGACTGCCGCCCTCGCAGGCCGTCACTTCCGCGATCAGGCCCAGTGCCAGCTCGGCGACCGTTGACATCACATCCGGCGAGCGCCGCGACTGCGCCGCCTTATCGATGGTCACCACGGCGAGCCGCGGGCGCCAGTTGTCGTCGGCGTCGGGGCGCTCGGTCCGCTAACCAATGGCCGTCGGCGAACCCAACCCGGCCTCTCCGTGGTCTCGGAGCATTGGGCGAATCACGTCACCACGGGGCACAATTGGGCTTCACGTGTTTCTGTGCTAGTTTCAGGACAGTATTTCCTTTTCCAGGATTATATCGTCAAGCGCGTCTCGAAAAATTGGTGCCCGGTATATATCCCCAACGCTCCTCCTACCGTGTGCCACCATTTGCCTGTCTGCACTGCCATCTCCCTCTCACTCTCTCCAGCCGCGACCACTACGTCGCGCCCAGTGAACTATGCCAGGCCTCGTCAGCGACGCTACCCGCATATGGGAGCTCAACATATACTGGCCAGTCGGCTCGCAATGTGCGGTCTGGGACCCAAAGAGTAAAGGCGTCGACGTCTGGGAATGCCTCAGAGCTCGTAAGTCGCCAGTCAATATACTGCCCCTCCTCGTCGTCACCCATGTTGCTGACTGTACTCCTTCGCAGACACCGCCTACCAGGGCTCGGGACCGCCGAACCCGCGCTACTGGCGTTACGTGACCCGTCGATGACCACCCGCGTGCCGAGGCTGAGTCGCAAGGCCCGAATGGCCGTTGCTCGCCTCAGACGCTCTCGACTATAATCATGATGCATGACCCTGAAGGCGATACACACTCATTCGTCTCTCATCACCACCAAACGCGCTCACATCGCCGTCGATACGCGCTCGTTCGCCGTGCCAGGCCCGCTCGCTCGCTCTCCTCTGCTCTTCGCATCAGCCCCCAAGCCCGTACCGTTTGAGAACACGCCCGCAGAACGGTGAGGGGAGGAATTAGGAATAGTAGTTTGGGATAATTCGGTGAATTGGCGGGGTTACTGCTCTTGCTTCACAGGACTCTGGATCGGAGTGATGCCATGCGGGGGGGCTGGGGTCAGTCGCGCGCGCAGCTGTCAGTAACACTCTTCTCATCTCTTCTCATCTCTTCTCCCGACGCTTTACGCCTATCGCTTACACATTTAATATGTTGTATGGATTATGCTCTGTTCCATGTAGCCTTCGTACTCGCTCTCGCCCTTCGATACCCTGCATTTGCTGTGCTAGAGTACCGTTTCTCCTGCAATAAGTTATCTTGTCCCATCCTCACCGCACTTTGTCATCTGCCGGAATTTCTCCAGCGGCGGACAGCTTCTAGTGTTTTCCTCGGGTCATGAGGGTTTGCAGGGTGATCTCCACGAACGGGGTCGGTGGGGAATGCAACGCATCTGCGCCCGTAAGGACCCTTGGCTGTCCCACACCGCGAAGGCGCGTGCCACGCTCTGGGCCCTCTCGTAACGCTGCGCATCTCACGCGCGGCACCCGGGGACATTGAATCAGCCCTCGCTCTTCTCGCTCGCACGGAAACGCAGCCTGGAAGGCATGACATCAGACCTTCCCGTCAGGTCCAGGAGACAACAGATGGTGGGGCCACTTCCAGCCCAGCGAGGATGGTCCCCTCGGACGACCGGCCATCGCTCACACAGACTCTCATGCCGTACATCACAAGAGAGGATGAATGACTTGGATCGGGGAACGCCTGACTGACATGTTGCATGGCGCCGACATATGGCGGGAACAGTTCAGTCTCGCGACCCCCTCAGCAGTCCCCACCCTCGTCTGTCCAATTAACGCATATGTGGGAGGGCCCCTCAGTTTCCAGGCATGATTCGCCGCATTGGGCTGATGGCCCATCCCCGCGTCCCCACTTTCGCGGGACCATGGGACGCGATGCCAAGCGGTTCGGCGTCGAGAAATCGCGCGCAACGTGGCTTACAGCCAGGTGGCCGGCGATGGAGCAGGGGGATAATCGGCCTTCTGTGGCACGATGCAAAGTGAACAAGGTGTATTAGACCGAGTGTATTCCAGGAGTATGACGTGATGCAGGCCCGCTGAACATACAAAACTAAGGTTAGGACGCTACAAGCAGTGGAGTGAGCGAGCGAAAAGGAAGAGAAACGTGATGCAGGAGCTTGGAGTGTACGATGCCAGTGTCAAGTGGAAAACCCGAAGGATGTTGTGTGTAAAGAGATTGAAGCCGCTTGTATGTCGACGCTCGTAGGTCCAGATCTCGATCAGAACGCTTGAGATGAGATTGTGAATCGCTTGAATGTGTACCTGTGAAGACGACAATCCCCGTTAGCACCGTTCATACGCCCAGATGATCGTCGAGCAGAGAGAAGCAGAAAGAGGGATACACACCCGAGGAATGCCAGATCCTTGTTTGCACCAGACGCATCGCCGCCGACAGGTTCCTCGGGCACATGCTCGAGCTCGTCAGTCGGGAAGTACGACGTGTCTGTCATTGAACGGAGTCGTGGCACGAACGGAGCTTCAATCTGGCGGATCGAGGTCCAGTTAACACCATAGAAGAACGGGTGGTGCTTCATCTGCTCCACATTCATTCGGCGGTCTTGTGATGTGATTAATCTGCGGTTGTAAAGTCATTCAGTACGAGCACCATGGCCGAAGGCGCATGTGACTGACCGTCGGATGAGATCCTCAGCCTCCCTGCTGAGATGCACGTCGTCGGGGAACATCAGGTAATCAGGCCATCGGATGATCTTCTGGTACGTGTCGTGCGTCGATTCAGAGCAGAACGGCGGGTAGCCGACAAGACACTCAAACATGATTGCACCCAACGACCACCAGTCACATTCGTTACCATAGCCCTTTTGCAGGAAGATTTCGGGAGCAATGTAATCCGGTGTACCGACGGTGGAGTAAGCCTGAGAAAGGAAACAGTCAGGTTACTTAGGTCGGAGGGATGAGAATGACAGACATACCAGTTTTCGACGGTTCGCCTTCCATGTCGCGATCTGGTCTTTGTTTGACATCGTGAGATGAATAGCGTTGACCATGACACTATTCCGCGCGGCCGAGGTTGGCGAGGTGACACCATTGGCAGAGTCCAGCAGACGTTGGTAGTATGTAGAATCGTGCTGCTTGTGGAATCCAGTCGAAAGTCCGAAGTCTGACAGCTTGATATGGCCTTCTTTGTCAATGAGGATGTTGTCCGGCTTAATGTCACTGCAATCCACGAAACAAATTTAGAACACCTGAAATCGTCGGTGGAACAGCATACATACCGATGGATGAATCCGAGTTTGTGAACGGCCTCTATTGCCAGTACACACTCCGCGATATAGAATCGTGTAACATCCTCGGAGAACGTGTCGTACTTGATAAGCATCGTCATCAAATCGCCTCCGGGTAGAAACTCCATGACAAGGTAAAGATACGTGGGATCCTGGAAGGAGTAATAAAGTTGCACCACCCATGGTGAATTTGACTCTGCAAGGACGTCCCGCTCCGCGCGGACGTGTGCCAGCTAGCCAAAAATTAGACTTTCCCAGGCACTGAGACGTAGAGGAAACGCACCTGGTCCTTCTTCAGCATCTCTTCCTTCTTCAGCGTTTTCATAGCGTAAATCTTGGCAGTGTCTGTCTTTTGTACTACTCGAACCTGGAAGAAACGTGTAAAATCAGATGCCACCAAAGCACACACGGGACGACGCACCTCACCGAACGCACCCTTTCCAATAACCTTGACTGTGCGGAAGTCATCTAGTCCGAGCTTCGTCCTTCTGAGTCGCAGAAAAGCGGATTCGCGCTTGCCAAGCTGCTGCAGCTGGCGCTGCTTGCGCTCATCTGACATGGTCGGATCGGCAGCCAGCTTCCTCTCCAGCTCGACACGCCTGACATCGGGACGGTCAGCAGTCCCCTTCGTCCGTGTTGACAGATCGGCACGCACCGGGTGTTGCGTTCGATCGCAGATTCCACTGCAACCCCGTAGTAGTGCTCGAGCCTGAGCTGGGCCGCCTTGGCACGCGGCACGGCGTCATCTGAAAAGCCAGCCGTCGTGCGGTCGAAGTAGACATAGTCTGCGGACTTAGGAGACGAGGACTGGCCGCCGTTTACGGTCGACGAGGACTGAGAGGGCTCCATGGTGAGGTGGAAGTGGGAGTAAAAGATGAGTTGATATTGTTGGCCTGCAACCGAGTATTTGATGCTGCATAGAAACGCTTGTTTTACAGAAGCCGATCATTTCCTACTTTGCTTACGCGATCCTCAGCCCATCAGCGCATCTGATGCGCCCTTAGAAATCAGACGCCCACGACTAGATATGCTCGAGAATGCTTCCGTCGAATCCGTCGGTGATTTCACTAAGGGATTCTTCTTGTCATTGAACAGCGCAAACAAGAAGTGCGAGAAAAGGCTAACACAAAAAGGACCTACAAACGATGGACTCGATAAAACCATACTGACGGTAACTAAGCAAGAGAAGTAGTTCCTGAGACATAATTTAACAACTTCGAAGTTCGTTGTAGAGCACAACATCCGCAGCCCACATCACTTTCTCACGATCCCTCAGTACGATGTTGGTTGATATGTGTCTTGATATGTTGTTGATCGATACGCCGACGCAGTAACTGGGTGGGTAGTAGGACGTTGATGTGATGGTGCGGCCTGGTACGACGTAGGTGGATATGCTGCACCGGGCCTGTGGGCAGTTAGCGCTGGCTGGTATACTCGCTGGTACTCGTGGCGTCCCATGGTTTGGTGCGGAGAATAATGTGAGGAAGAGGAGTGATGGGATGCTATGGAAGGTGCAGGTGAGCTCATATTCTCCCTGCTGGGGGCATAGAAGTTGCCGAGGCTACGCGACGGTGCTGGTTGGGTCTGTGGCAGGTGGTACGATGACTGCGGATGAGACGCCAAGTTGTTGGAGTATATGCTGCCGGAGATGTTAGAACCGAGAGGTAAACTAGAGCATATTCGTGAACGGGAGTTTACAGCATAAACGTCAAGAAGAGACATACGAATTGGCACTTGGCGCCGTTCGAGCCACCGGAGTCGGGGCGTAAAGAGAGGAAACAGCAGAGCTGCACACAGACAATTGATTTTCATGCATAACATAATAAAGCTAGAAACTTGCCTATAGAGAGCGGCTGCATCAACCTTTGCTGGTAACGGGTCATGCTGGATATGAAAAGGCGACGACTTCGCACTCGCATATGCCATCCTCGGGTCAAAGGCTACACGAGGGCCAGAATGTGGTGACTGTGAGTGATAGGAAGAGTTCGGTCGAGGACTGCCTGAAGAAAGCATAGGCCTTCGAGGTGGAGGAAGAGATTCATGAGTAGTTCGCGGTTGAATCGCTTGCGGCGAGAAAGACCGCGGCGGCTGCGGCAATGTCCTGCGGCCAGCACTACCAGATTGCGGATGCGCAAAAGGCATCCCCGTAAAGGACGCCTGCGTCGGCAGTGGTGAGTGCAGCGGCGAGGCGGGTCTCGAATCCCCGGGGACGTATGTCAAAATCACGCTAGGGCCCTCATAGGGTGGCCCATCGAGTGACGGACCTATTGCTGTGAAGACCGGTGGTGGCGTATCGGAGCGACTGATGATGCTGTCGCTCCTGTGCACCTCAGCTCGAAAGCTCGCGGTAGGCTGAGGCGCCGGCGCATTCTGAGGCGGGCCCGGGTCGAGCTGTGCCTCTTCGAACCAGCTCGGCCGTTCCTTCTCCTTGGTCGATCCGGATTGCGTAGTCGAGGCGGCCTTTTTCACAATTCGAAGCGGCTGCACGCTCCCCCTCGCGGGACCGAAAGCATCCTCCGCGCAGGCCCCCACATCATCCTCTCGCCCATCCGACTTGGCCTTCCCGTTCCCCGGGCTCGGGATCTGTGTCTGCCCCTGTCTTAGTGCCGTGTTCGAAGAGGACACGGAAGCATCGGCCGGGGGCGATCGCGGATGGGAAGAGCTGCTGCCCGCCCCAGGAGACGAGTCCGAAAGCGCGAGTCGCGCGACTGCCGCCGCAAAAGCAGCCTCATCCCAGACCTCCCAGTCACTTTCTTCCTCTGTGCTCTCACGGCGCAGCTCAGCCTCACTAGCTTCAAGCGCGTGGGAGACCTTCTGATCGAACTCTTGCTGGCAGAATTCGTATGCGGGTGGCGGTGGCGAGGCTGGAGTATCGAGTTCTTCGTGGTCAGCCATGCAGATCGCAACTTGTGTTCGCTGCGGGGGGTTGGACGGAAGGAGGGTGTCACCCCCAGGCACGGCGACCATCCTTTGATTTTACGCAAACCAGCGCACAGCCAACCAAGCAGGCGCTTGAGGTTGATCGCCTGCCAGCCCAACTTTGCCAGGACCGACTTATCCTCTTTTGATATCACCCCGCAGGGCCGTAATGCGTTCTTCAATCCGAACCGCATCCAGATGTGGTCTATAGTAGCTATCTGGAATTGCAAGGATATCCAGACTACATACAAGATATACAACGCCAGCCTGAGGAGCATACAGCTTCAGCAGAGGCTCTAGCGAAGGCACGGGCCGTAGGCGCTGCCGCCAAGGGGAACCATATTGCGGGCGTGTCCGTAGTCTGCGGAGATAACCATGCAATGCATCACGACGGCCCCACTGCGAGCAGCTCTGCGAGTGCGCACAAAAGGGCAGTCTACAACTCGATACCTTCCAGGTTCGTCCCCTGGACCGCAACCAGTAAGCATTTCGTCCCAGTTACGCGATAGACTGTGCTGCTCACCAATCTCGGTAGACGCAAGTAAACGTCGGTGCCTGGAGAGGACATTAATTTACGTCAGGGAAACACGTGTAAGGACCAGGCACCTACCGAAGCCATCCATACTGACTAGCTCCAGCGAGCCTCCAAAATATCTGCATGTCCGGAAGGTCGATGTCAGGAACCCATCAATAAGTACAATCGAGACGTACGTCGCATAGATATTACTCATTGGTAGTCCGATCCCAATGCGCGGATGCGGTGTGCTCCGGTCGGGAGCGTCTACACGATTGACAGCATATAGCTGTTCATGTACAGTCGCCGTCATCCCTTTGGTACTAGAGCTGACAGTGCGCAGTGCGCCCAGCCTGGAGTGTTCCATACGTGTTGCATTCCGTACATGAGAAAAGGAGAAAAGGTCGGACGGTGACTTGATCTGCGGTGTCAGCAGACCACCACCTGTAGGTGTGTAAGCATGGGGTGTGAAGTAGACGAGATTGGCGTGCAACATGCCTTGGTCAGATATCCTTATAGTGACAAAGTTTTCTCCAGAGACGATAGTCGCCCGTATCGGCGGCAGCGTCTCCGCATGCGGGTGTTTTATGCGTGTCGCTCGGAAAGACTAACTAAATCTCAGTCGTGTATCTCATTCTCGAAGTCGAGACGCTTACGTTCTTCAACAGCTCAAAAATGATATAGCTGCACACTCAACGTCAACGCTAGCCATACGGTCAGACGGAACCCACTTACTCTAGATGTTCCTTGATATAAGGGAACTGTGTATCCGTATGTCCATCCACGACAACTTCTGACCAGTCTGCACGTATGTTACTATGTTCGGGCATATCATGGTCGACATCGAATGCGCGATCCCGAAGGTAGTTTGTGCACCGCTCGATACTTTCGCGTACGTTCAGCCCCGTGTAAATCACACCTACATGGTCCGAATGCGGGTTGCCATCACGCCGAGACTCGTAGTCTTTAGAAAGTGCTATGTGGTGCTCGGCAAGCACGCGCCGCGATATTCGTGAAACGAGCATTCGGCGCATAAAGGAATCGAGCCGGTCAGGTGCGAGGTAGGGTGACGAAAGGGAAAGGCCGAGGGAAAGGTTGGGTATGACCGTAGAGCTTCAAGAGATTGAGTTGTGAACGATGCAGTCGAGTTTGCAAAGCTTACTGTTCGTCTAGGAGGCTGCGGAGGAATTTGCAGAATGCTTCGTTCTCGGTGCGAGTAGCAACCTGAGGATACCGGCGGAATCTGAATGCTTGAGCGTAACCACAGAGAGGAAGGCAAGGTAACCAGCCTGCTTACTTGTCGAAAGCGGACCAGTATAACTGTAGGAGGAGAAGCTATTGGCATAGACACAAAATGTATCGGCCGAAACATACCTCATACACCTTAGCAAGTCCCTCTTGTGTCACCACGACATATGGCAATGCCTGCATATCCCGCAACCGGTGCGCTATCCGTACTGGAAGTTCTGTCCTCACATAGTTTGCACTCTATGGGATATGGCTGTACATAAAGGCTATCATCGAGGATTGACATGCTGACATACGGTTATGAGACGCTCCTCGTTCATTGACCGGCCAAAGAAAACCTACGGAGTCTAGTTTTAGGATAAGTAAAAGAGCTTTTGATCGAACACGCACAAGTTGCCTAAGAGTGAGCCGCTTTGCCTCCTTGGAAGCATATAGCTCGAGTTGTTTGTTCGAGTAAAAATGGAGGGCATTGGACACACCGCGGCGGGTCGGCCCTAGTCGCCTGCATATCGCACGGGCTGTCGAGGGTAGGGCACACCTGGAAAGCATGCGTAGTGCTGGCGTGAACGTGGACCATGTCATGCTACGAGCAGTAGTCGCTCGGTGTAGGAGAAGAGTGGCTACCGAGTCATGAGCGGAGATGCCATGTAATCGTCGAACGCAGTGAGTCGAAGGCTTAGGCATATAGGCGCGCGTCTCGAAGCGTCCCCAGATTCATCGAATATTCATTCAGTGAACACAAGCAGCGTGGCTGCCTCCATTCTGAAAATTTACGTACAGTATGTTCAGTGTAGTACTACAGAAGTCCTTCGGACTTGAGCGCACCCATAATGAGGTACGCGGACCGCTGGTCGCGGTCAGTGCCTATCCAGTCTCCCTTGCGGAACGCGGGCAGACCCTCGTCCCCAGAGACAAATATGTCGTCTGACTCTTCCTGTTCAGGTGGCTTGCCGTCTGCTGCCTGCTGTTGCTGCTCTTCTTCCCGTTCGCGGTCCCACAGCAGTTCTTGCCAGATGGCATCGCTGATCGTCACTGCCGTAAGGTTTGCGCCTGGTATTTCGGGCAGGCAAGACACTAGAAGGTTGTTTAGGAGCTCAAGCGTGCCATCTGCACCGGCGTGCATGGTGGGGAGGGGCAGATATTCAGCCTGGATGCCATACCAAATCAGTGTGCCGCCATAACCCCGCGGATGGGCAGAGTTTACCTCAATTAGCATACCTTTCACGGCACCTCCTGCCAAGATGACATTTCCGGCTCGTACAATGAAGTCGGTCCCTATACTATATACGAGGCCTTCAACAGAGAGTTGCTGTCCGCTTAGGTGGCTGGCCTGCGAGGGTCCAGCAGGGCCAGACTGCCGGACGGATGCCCAACGTGCGCGTAGTTGCGATAGAAGCTGCTCAAGCGCACCAGGGGGACTGAGTGTCAGGAATGTGGTCCGATAATGTGTAGGGGCTCCGGGGCCTGTGAGAGGGATGGGTGCCTGGCCTTCTGGGGGCTGCAAGAGGTCGGATCGTTGGGGCGCGGCGGGGTCTTCAAGCAATACAAAGACATTATCTGTGAGGGAATTAAATGCCCGTGAGGACAAATCAGGGTTGTACACACACCGTTCATGGTTAATGCGCACATGGTACGCTCTGAGTGAACTTGAAAGCCTGGTATTGATCCGAGGGCAGAGCGGAAGGACTTAACGCTGATATTCCATTTACCACGGACAACACCCTGAGATGGAATGTTCAACAAGAGCTGTGAATAACCCCAGTGTAGAATGTACTTGGTGATTCCGTGTTATGTTCATGGATATGAGGTCAACACCAGTAGTAGGAGCGTTGACATATCGTGCAAGCCTAAATCAACAGCATTGAGGAGTGCACAAAGAAAACTGAGCCATAGAACACACCCAGTGACACCCATTGTTGGGGCAGGTAATTGGTTTGAGATGCCTTTCTGCGGCCCGTCGCGACCGTCGTTCGCGGAATGAGTGACGTGACTAAGTGTTACGGTAATCTCGTGACCGTGTGCCAATGGATCGCGATGTGGCCGCGGTCGCCCGTTCATCTTCCTGCGTCGTCCTGTGCTGACATATCCTGCTTGACTCTCAATGGCTCCCAAGCGAAAGGCTGCGACTGCCACGGAGGAGCCTCCAGCTAAACGCGTAACGAGGAACAGTCGACGCGTTGGCAGTGTAGAACCACAGCCAGTTGCTCCCCCGAAGCCCGCTCGCGGTACGCAACGAAGCAAAGCCGTTGAGGTTGAACAGGCAGAAGAAAACGGATCGAACGATGAGTTGTCTCTACGCGTTACAAGGGCTACTGCCCGCCGCGGACGTAGTGGGAAGACCCAGCCTGCGAGAGCGAGAAAGGCGGACGACTCGCCTGAGAAGGCAGAACCTACGGCTCCCCGGAGGCGAGGCAAAGCACCGCTGAAGAAGAAGTTCGAAGCGGAGAAGAGCCCACCTCTCGTAATTGCTCTCGCAAGTACCTCCAAGGTGACCATCGAGACCATACAAGAGGCAGCGGAAGAAGAGTCGGAGGATGAGATTCTTCTCTCCCCGCGAAAGAAGACTCCACCACCCCATCCGCGCACACCACCAAGGACTGTACGTGCTAACTCTGCCTATGGCACCCCGCGTATGATTCTGGATGCTGTTGAAGTTCCCACTCCAAGTAGGATGCGGGACATTGTCAACATCGCAAACTCTCCTAGAGTCACCTCTCCTGGCAAAACTATTGTCTCTCCAGAAACACTACATGCTCCTCGCGACAGTACTCCGACTCGAGTATTACTCTCTTCAATCGCGCGGCCTTCATCAAAGCGTATAGTTCGCCCGTATTCTCCTCTTCCCCAGGTAGAATCAGACAACGGTGCTTCATCCAACTATATTCGCACAGTGCCTCCTATGGAGGTTACGTCAATAGAGTCTCCGCACAGAGGGAAACACTTCACGGCGTCGCCAAGCCGGGACCTCTCTGCTGATCTTGGGTCCTGTCTCGAAGCACAAAAGAAGGCTACCCTCAAAGCCCTCCACGAGATATCAGTGTTATCCCAGATACCAGATGATGGAGACGAAGCCCAGCAGTCGACCAATGCAGTTGCTTATGAGCAACTACGGAATCTACTCAAAGGCACTGTGGAGCGTGGCGAAGGTAACAGCTGTCTCGTCGTCGGACCGAAGGGTAGTGGCAAAACACAGGTGAGTATATGTTGTCTCTTCGGACCAAACATGACTACTAAATATCTCGCAGCTAGTTGAACGAGCGATATCTTCACTATCCCAGCCGCCTGTTGTTATTCGCCTCTCCGGCCATGCTCAGACAACTGACAAGCTCGCCATTCGCGAGATTGCATGGCAGCTCGCGGTACAAACAGGACACTCACTACTTCCTTCAGATGGCGACGATGTTGCGGCGGACGACGAGAATCCCTTCGTCGAAAGCAAACTAGATAGTGACACCGCCGTGGCTCTCCCGCCGCCTTCGCATCTGCTTGCTCTCATTGCAATGCTTCCTACCCTCGCGCGCCCGACGGTCATTGTCCTCGACGCCTTCGACCTCTTCGCGCTGCATGCACGCCAGTCGCTCCTCTACTGCCTGCTCGATACCGTCCAGAGCTGCCGCGCTGTCGCAGGCAACAAAGGCATCGCCGTTATCGGCGTCACAACACGCGTCGAGACCGTCAACATGCTTGAAAAACGTGTCAAGAGCCGCTTCTCTGGCCGCATCCTACGCACGGCAGCGCACACTAAGTTTGACGGTTGGGTCCAAGCCGCGAAGGAGGCGCTTTGTGCGCACGCGCACGTTGAAAATGAAGAGTGGAGTGGGAGGTGGAAGGAGGCGGTAGCGAACTTCTTGCAAGAAGAGCAGGTGCTTGGACTATTGAGGGAGACGTACTCGTTGACGAAGGATGTGCGCGTCCTAAGCCGTTTGCTGGCAAGTCACCTAGGTACCTTGCATGCAAGCCCTGCCACTGAGCTCTCCCCTAGGTCTCGACGATACCCACACTCAAACCCTCCTCACCATACCCAAGCGCCTCTGCATTTGCCTCTGCAGTCGCAAAACAGCGCGCCCCGCCGCGATTTTCCTTCCTCACCTGTGAGTGCTCTTCTTTCCCTCTGTTTCGGGGTTTGCCAACGCATCAGCCGTGTCTTGCAGCGTTAACATACCCCTCAATCTGCCTGCTCATCGGTGCGATGCACGCGAGGACGTCTGGACACGAGACATTCACCTTCGAGATGCTGCACGAGGCATTCCGCGATCAGGTGCGCGTGTCGCTCTCTGCGCCAGTCACCGTCGATGGCGGTGGCATTGGTATGGTACGCTGCAGTCGAGAGGTGCTCTTCGGGGTGCGTAACGTCTTAATTCCCGTCCAAACGTAGCGTTGACAGCAAGAGACGTATTTACAGGCGTTCGAGAAGCTCGTCGCACTCAAGGTCTTTGTTGCGACTGCCCCAACGGCGGTCGGCACTGGACGTGAATTTGCCAAGTACCGGTGCGATATTGATCGCACGGAAGTAAAGAACGCTGTCGAGACGCTAGGGCAGCTGAACCTGAAGAAGTGGTTGAACAAGGCCAATTAAGCGTGCTGATAGGATGGTACATATGCGCGTATCCTGAGTAGCCTGCCGATAAATTGAGACATGATATAAACACTATTGTTATCTTCCAAAGGCTCCGGCGTTGAACATTTGAACGTTGAACGTTGAACCGGCACCCCGCGCCGGCACAATTGCTTGGTTGCGACCAACGTGAAACCCGTTCGGGGCTGAGACAGCAGGGCAAATCACAACAAGGGTTTCGTGTTTACGCATGGTCTGCTCGCTGGGACTTCTCATGATTGAATGTGTTACATCGATACTGTACACCGTTCCTTTTCTGATATAATGATACGACTGTGATGTACAGATGGCGCGAATACTTGATCACCTGCCTTCGGTAGCATCGTATGCACCAACGTTGCGCTCGTGAGCTGGGGAGAAAGCACGCGTCAGCATTGCAGACCGCAAGCTTAGCAGAGCACGATACGTACCATGGTGCTTAGCCTTCTGCTTGTCAACCATGTCAAGACCCTTGGTCTCGACGATACGGTCGATGAAGGCACCAGATAGAGCAGCACTGTCACGGTATTTATGAGTAAAACATGCCAAACGACGGACACCGGGGTTAACCCACAGGACCTCCTTGGCCTGCTGGTGGCTCTGGGGTTTGCCGTTGCGCTCGCAGTGTTGCTCATACGCCTTGGCGGCTTCGTAGGAAGCGGCGGCTGCGATAAGCTCGTGGGACAGGTGCGCTTTGTGTTCACTGTTCTGGACCTATAGCACTTGCCGTCAGCTTCGAACTGGACACTAGAAACAACAGACTGACGACGTACCTGGTTCCAGGCCTGAGCTTCGTCGGATTCGTGACTGAACCAAGCCATAATGTCTAGTGCGTGCGAGAATACGTTGTTGTGATGGCGAGTCTGAGAGCTGGGGGAATATCGATACGGATTCGAGGGGTCTTATATAGTCCAGAAGCCCGTTGATGCATCGATCAGCGAAGGCCCCCTGAGTGTCGCGCGCTTGTGTCACAGCCAAGCCATACGCAGGGAGCAGCCGTGGCAACGGGAGCGCAGCCGGTGATGTCTCCACCGCACTGCCCCGCAGCAAAGCGCAGAGGCGGGTGTGCTATCGATCTTATTGAGCGGTGCTGGGCGACATGCAGAGCGAGATGCCATTGATTGACATGGGAAATGTCATCTGATACTTTACCAGACATCACGGAGCTTCATGACGGCGGTGCGCTGAGGGAAGTAGTGTACCAAGTTGCACAATAGGTCTCGTCATCTATCTTGATGCATGATGACTCGTCGGCGAATGATACTGCGCTAGACTTATGTATGTAGCATCTTTCGTTCATATGTACAGGGCTCATCAAGATAACCATTGTGGGTCGACTCGTAAATTGAAAGTGAAAATGGGTTGATCTAGGAACAATGCTAACAGGGAGACTCAACAACACACGCATGTCCAGACACTGATTACGCTGAGAGTCTTCGTTTCCCTTCTGACACACACGGTCCGATGCGCGATGTTCCCCGCCCAGTGATTCGCCAGAAGATGAGTCTATGGTTCTACAGGAAGCAAGTGTCGGATAGGTGCAAATGCGCAAGCCTGCAGAAGGTAGGTGCTTGGAGCTCGGACCACCCAACCGCGAGGACGCGTCTGTGACGCCTTGTGACGTATGAGTGACCGAGGTGAACCCGGGCGCTGGGCCTACAAGGTGGCTCTCGCGGGCACCGAGCTCACGTTTGCCGTGTCCCCAGTTCCATGTTGTCTCTGAATCGTCATCACAGCTGCCTTCAATGAGCTCTTACTATGCGCATGCTTCTTCGTCCTCTGGACAAAATGGCGTTCTCCCTAATCTCTACACAGATTATGTCGATGAAGTGTATGTCGGCCCGCCTACAAATTCAGCGTGACTGATATTGACCATACGTACCCTTTGTGAAGGCATATGCGAGCCTTCGAACAGGCCCTGAACACGGATGAAAATGCCGGGCTGCCAGACGAAATACCTAGCCCTCAGATTGTTGCCTCTCCCCAGATTGGAGTCTATGGCGCGCCCGGTCAACGCGTGCGGAAGGTCTCCGCGCTTTCGGACTTCGCCCCCGTGAATCAAAGAGTGAGAAGGTATGACACTCTTGACAGCGTTCAGCGCCATAGTACTTGTTATAAACCGCGTTCACTCAGGCAGCGCAAAAAGACAGCCAACGGGAAGTTAAACACCAAGGGGCAAGAGTGGATGTTTCTCATCTTGCGGTGGCCACTGCTCGTATGTTCCTAGACACACTCTGACCTAGCACGCATACTCATCGACTGTTTGTAGACCATAATCTTCTTGCTCATAACCTTCGAGTTCGGCATGTATGTGCTGATTCGCCAGCTTGTCAACACGAAAGAGTGGCTGATAGCATGTAAGTAGTGCAACAGTCGCGTCGATGATAGATCGCTCACTCCACCGTAGGGCGCGGTCGTAAAGGAGTGCTGAGGAAGCGATTGCGCAATGCTCATACTTACCAGGTTCGCAAAACGCGTGTATCACTGCACACAGCTACTCATCAACATGCCCTTAGGAATGGAAAGACGCAGCGCTGGCTCTGGACGAATATTTGCGTTTCGACGAGTGGAAGACAATAGACGATGATCCTTACTATGACTGGAAGCTTGTACGGAAGGTGAGGATGATCTGGTACGGAGAGCGATTCTTGGAATCGCTTCAGACCAGTACTGATAGTATGGTATGTGATCTAGGTTCTCCGCACTCTCAAGAATCTCAGGACGAAGAAAGATGCACGCGGCGTTCTGGGAGTCCTGGAGACATCTGTACGAACCAACTTTGCTGGAGTGGAGTCACCCAGGTTGTATAGCGAGGTGTGTACCATTTGAACCTGTACTCTGAACAGTCACTGACGAGCTCATCGTAGACTTTTTATGGTACGAAGGATTTAATTGAAGGTGCGATTGGAAGATGGGGATACCATAGACATGCTCACCTCGGCTGGGCAGCCTACGTGACCGAGCAGGAACAAGCTTTGCAGTTTATCTGCGAAACCCCGGACCTTACGAACGAAGAGAAGAAGCGTTTCTTTAAGAATGCGAACACCAACCTCGGGATAACCGCACTGTGTCTGTCCGGTGGAGCAACCTTTGGCTACTGGGAGTATATGTCAATTTTGCATTGTACGACCCTCCTAACAAGCATTTTGCGCTACAGACCACTTCGGCGTTGTCAAGGCGTTTTTAGATGCAAATCTCCTCCCTCGTGTCATCTCTGGGACGTCTGCCGGAGGCCTTGTGGCTGCACTTGCCTGCACCCGAACAGACGACGAGCTGCGTGAGCTGCTTGTGCCAGAACTGGCAGACCGTATTACAGCGTGCGAGGAGCCTTTCAAAGTATGGTTCAAGCGGTTCTGGGCGACCGGAGCGCGATTTGATAGCGTCGCATGGGCGCGGAAGGTACGTTTCACCACATGCTATATGGAAAATAGTGTTGATACATATCATATCTGCAGGCGACCTTCTTCACGAGAGGCTCTATGACATTCCGTGAAGCTTATATGCGCACCGGAAGAATATTGAACGTCTCAGTCATTCCAGCAGACCGTCACTCGTAAGTCCGTCCTTTAATCGTCATTTCGTGTTAGCTGACATTGTACCAGACCTACGAAGTTGCTCAATTATTTAACGGCTCCAGACACAGTCATCTGGAGTGCTTTATTAGCCTCAGCTGCCGTTCCTGGGATTCTGAACCCTGTGGTGCTTATGCAAAAATTGAAGGACGGGTCCCTAGTGCCATGGAACTGGGGTAGCAAATTCAAAGATGGTTCACTGAGGTCAGTGGCATGAATACACAATGGCTGAGGTGTGGCTGATTTGAATGTAGAGTTGATATTCCTGTGCAATCTCTCAATCTGTACTTCAATGGTAGGCTGCAGCTTCGCGTAATAAGCTTGCTTAGGCTCATGGTTTCCATATCAGCCACGCATCCTGTTGTTTCACAAGCGAACCCACATGTGCATCTCTTCTTCTTCGCCCCTCGAGGTTCCGCGGGTAAACCTGTGGCAACACGCAAGGGCAAAGGCGAGTCGTCCAGCCAATATTACAATCAGTTGAACTAACGCGTTGTCTAGGCTGGCGGGGCAACTTTTTACTAGCTGCAGCAGAACAGTGGCTTAAGCTTGAATTGACCAAGAATTTCAAGGTGATACGGGACCTAGACCTGCTACCGCCGATATTGGGCCAGGACTGGTCGAGTGTGTTTCTCCAACGTTTCGACGGGGCCGTCACGTAAGTTCTTTCCCGTCTTCCGCAGACCGGCCCTCGAGTCTCACTTATCCTTCTAGTATCTGGCCGAGGACTCGTTTCAGGGACTGGGTCAATATTTTAAGCGACCCTGGTCCTTCAGAACTTGAGCGTATGATGCGCGTTGGTCAACTTGTGACATGGCCAAAGGTGAGAACAAACGTGCAAACTACGTCGTCAGTAATGTGACTGACTCGTTACCGACTAGTTACATATTATCGAGAACAGATATCGTCTAGAGAAGCAGATCTTCCTCAGTCGTCAAGCGGTTCGGAGAGCAATGCGCACTCGGGCACAGGAGCGGGCGGAGCAGAAACTCGAGTCGCAGCCTCAAGAACAGCTTCCCCCGCCTATTATACCAGGCTTGTCTCAGAGCCAGAGCCAGGATTCACCCATGGCTATCGACTCTGATACTGAAGCGGACTTCCGGAATGGCAACACCAGGCCTCAGAGTCGTCGCAGCCGGCGGTCAGCACACATCAATGGCTCAGCCGCAATATCCACAGGCATCTCTGCCCAGGACATTCGCCGTGCCTTTGCAGCCCGGCGCCCGTGGATAACATCGTATCAGAACGCGGAAGGCGACAGTGGAGATGACATTCCTCAAATCGACTATGGCGCCGCGACGCCAGACCCTCCACCTGACCGCGAGCCTATCGAGCAGCCTGAGCCGCCAGTCTCGCAGTCACCTCTCGCCAATAGCACGTCTATGCCCGCGAGCCCATCCGCACTTTTCAAACGGCTGCGTACTGCGTCTTTCTCCCCCTTTTCGTCCATCAGAAACCGCGGCCGAATATTCGGCGCCAAGGAGAGCGAACAGCCGGTCGCAATGGCGAGCAGTGAGAGCTCGTCAGACGACGACGATCTGTCAATTCTCTCGGGGCGGCGAACCCAGCTGCGGAATGTGCGCGACAGCTATAGCGACGAGGACGAGGAGTACGACGCACACGGGTCGCAGGACCTCTAAACGTGCAGTAGCCCTATTTTCTAACATATCTCACACGTAATTCCAACCCCGAGCTGTAGTCTACGATCGAGCCTGTATCTCCTACGTCTACCCGTTGCATGAGTCTGGATATTCGCGTCCTCTAATTTGTTCCTCCACACGTTTCGCACTACTATATCAAGTCGTACATCGGGTGTCGTTAAGTATTTCAGAATCTAGGAGCAATTAGAATTACATATCATACACGAACGCAAAGGCGGTATCTGACGGTTCAGGGGACCTTGTCTAATCGTCAAAAAGCTATGCGCGAAAGAAGCTCGTAGAACTGCTGTCCTTGGATAGCTGCGGTTTCGAGCTCAAGAGCGGAGGGTTGCCGTGAACCGTCGGCACCGGCCAACACGCCGGCGCCCCATGGTGATCCTAATATCGCGCGTATGTTAACACATCCGGGAAAGAACGAGAGGAGAATTGATACGGACCTCCGTGCACCTCAGTCATGTTTGTGAGCTGGGAGAAGACCTTTGAGTATCCCAGAGGAACGTAGAGCATACCGTGGTGTACTAGCGTAGAGAGGGCATTCGCAACCGTTGCCTCCTGCCCACCGCCCTGTCCGTTTGAGGAGACGAAGACCGAGGCGTACTTGCCCGCTAGTGCACCCTGCATCCAAAGCTGGCCAGTCGTATCCCAGAATGTCTGTGCGGAGTCTCTGTCAGAAGTGCATCATGAAATTGAACATGGGGGTGCGAACCTTCCACTGGGCAGGGAAGTTCCCAAACCGTGTCGGGATACCAAAGATGAAGCCGTCAAACTGCGGTAGGTCCGCAGGAGAGATGATGGGGTAATTTGGTTTCGCCGGTGCGTGCATCTTCGCGAGTACTTCCGTTGAAAGCGTCTCAGGGATTCTGACAGTGTATAACATTAGAATACAGACAAAACGAGTATAAGAAAGAACACATGCTGGTAAATTATGGCACGTCCGCCAGCTTTCTCAACGCCACTCTTCGCTGCTTCTGCCACTGCCGTTAAAGTCAGTGAGGAACCGGACGACATCACCAACGAGACCCACTCTTTGTGATGTGGCCATACATGCTATAAATAACGATAGCAATGTTTGGATGATGTGCATTGGCCGTCTTGTCGTGGATGGTGCTTGTGGCGGCAGGGGTAGGACGCGTCTGAATCTTGGTGAGAGAGGTCTTTGACGACGAGACGTCGTTATCATCGAAGTGCTTGAATAGCCTCTTGAGAGGGAAGCAGAAAACCATTTCTGTTCTCAGGAGAAGGTGAACCAGTGAAAAGAATTAGATGTTGGAGGAGACGGTCGCAAGGCCGCCCGCATTTTATACAGCTTTTGTGAGTTCAGACATTGGATAACGATCTCTCTCCAATCATCTCAGTCAGCAATAATGCTCTCGCGATGAGCTCTACGCGATGGTACGGAATCTTACTTACGAATGAAGGGCCACGCTTACAGCGGCCAGCGGCATGCATGGGAATCTTCAACACATAACGAGAGGCACTGAACGCCCATGACACATCGTAATGACGCTGCAGCGATGTATCAGCGACTAATGAGCGCGAGCGCTGATGATCTGAAGGTATCACTCAGAGCAAGCGGCGTGAAGGAGGCAGCGCACCGTTAAAGCTGATGGTATAATAGAATTCCAAAGGCGTGTACTACAGCGACAGTTACTGGTTCTTCTTTTCCGCAGCATTGAAGCCCTTCAGCGCGTCTAGTCTGACTGGAGACTGGATGCTCGCAAGAGACGTGATGCCGAGAAATACAACAGGGATGAGGACGAACAAAGCAACAAAAAGTGAAATAATAAGGCCAGGAGTCAGGAGCTGATATTTCTTCAGAATGCCGCCGTCGTTGGCAGCGGCTTTGCTTGGCGATGCGGGGTTTACTGGAGCAACGAACTCGAGAGCAGGTACGCCCTCCGGATCCTGACGAGACTGAAGTAAGGGGCTCCACCCAGCATAGATGACCATGTGCTTGGAGAAAGTGTCCGCGATCTTTTCCAACTCTGATACGAGCGAGGACTCTACAGCGACATGAGTACCCGCAGCCACATGAATCGGACTCGCTTACGTACCAAGCTCAGCCATAAGTCCCTTGCGGTACTCCGAGGTTCCCTGAATAGAGGGCATGCTCATACACACAACATGTTTCTCCTTGGGAGACGTCTCCAGATGAGGTGCTACCTCTCCGGCAGGCACACTGAGCACGCGCGAGCCGCAGCGCTTTGCAATCGCTTTCGAAATGTCTGCAAAGGGATTCTCTCCATAGTGGCGCGTGTAGGGTAATTCTAACGAGGAAGGGGAGGAGTCGAGTGTTTGTGCCAGTCTGGATGACGATGGAAGAGAACGGAGGTCGGAGGCATGTAGCTGGACGTCGCGTTCAGTACGGAGACCGTTCGTTGTATATAATGCATACATACACCCATCTGGTCTATCAGGACGACAGCATCGTGATCGCACATAGAGTCGTCAGAAAGGAAGTTCTCAATGAAGTGCTCTGTATCGCTCGACTTGCTTGCAGAAGTTAGCGCATCCGAGCTGTTCGAGTGTTCAATCACAACTTATATAACAAGGTGAATCACAAACCTGTGGGAGGTCCAGGCAATGACAGGATGAGTGCCCGAGAACGCAAGGACTGTTGGCACTAGAGCCGCAACAAGAATCGCCCGCCGAACCATGGTGAATGCGAATGTGTACCGTGTAGCCGCGTACGGTATGTCGGCCAGAGGCTAGATTGTTTATTGAATATTTATTAAAGGGCACCTTTTTGGAGCTTATCAATAGCAAATAATGATAGGCCATTCATCCAACATTTGCACTATCGCTTGTCTGTGCTCTACATACACACTCATGTCCTCGTCAGGACCTCAGGCCTTGATTCCTCCCCAACCTCGCGCGAAAGCGCTTCGAGCATGTCTGTTGTGCTCTCTCATCCAAACCCCAGCTGACTTTCGTCGAAACGGCTGCCCGAACTGTGAAGAGATCATGCAGGTGCGCATTTCAATTCTTAGTCGCAATATCTCAATTCTTACACGCAAACCTATGTACACAGCTGAGGGGGGCACCAGATAGAATACAGTCATGTACGACCACGCATTTTGATGGTGTAATTGCCGTCATAAATCCGGAAGAAAGCTGGGTTGCCCGGTGGCAAAGAACGTGTACATCGCTTTGCTTCTATACCTTACCTACTCGTTTTGACGCAGTATCTTTTAGCAAAATATGTTCGCGGGATGTATGCCGTCCGCGTGAAGGGCCGCGTCCCAGAAGACGTCGAGGCAGAGCTCGAAAGTCGAGGTATCAAATACCGACCAAGAGATCAGACGGAAATGGATTGATCATTCTCCCTACCACTCTCGTCTTCTTCATATTCCTAATCAATGTACAGTACTCTTCATCATTATTGTATACGGTTCAATATATAGGCTATAACTATTCGGTCAAGCTCTTATGCGTAACTGTTTGAACAGACAATCTGCCCGCTCAAATGATTCGTAATTAGGGTACTACACTACAGTAGGTATGCGATGAGTAGTATCTATGGGGGAGTATTGAGCAGTGTTGGATGCGACTTGTGAGTGTGGGTGAGGTATCGGATGATGTTGGTCAAATGCGAAAAGAGCTGTCGAGGTGTACAATCAAGATAATGACCACAGCTAGGGAACCCAAGCGAGAAAGATTACGAGAAAAATATCAGTCAGTGAGATATTCATCGCATGCCAGCGCGGTACTTATCACTTCCAGAGCGGCAAGATGGAAAGGAAGAACAGGATTCGCCCTGAACTTCCACCTGTGTCTAGCCAGGACAGAAAGGTCGTGATAGTTTCGCGCGATATCCTTGAGGGCTGCGTGTTCCGTTGGCAATGACAAGAGTTGCGGTAGATGAGTCTTATGCAAGAGATGAATGTGTAGCATGGAAACAGACGTGTGATCTATTCCAGTAGGGACGCGTAGCACTGTAGCGGAAGCGAGCGGCCGGACAATATAGCAGGGGGGAGCACACTCTTCCTCAACGTCAGGAACGAATGGATGGGAAGGGGAAAGTGGGTATGGGGCATCGAGTAAGAGGGATGAAGGCGCGCCAGAGTAGACGAAGAACGACGTCGAGGAGATTTCGTGCAGCACGGTCCCTGGTGACTGCTTGTGAACACGGTAGGGCGATTTCGGGGGCTTCTGATACTCTGCGTGCTCGGGTAGCAAGAAGGTCCAAGGGCGACCATGGTCAGCAACCAAGACTAGCACCTCAGAGGGCGGTGAGGCGTGCTCTGCAGTTGACAGCTGGCTTCTCCAAGCTGGACGACGAAGTTAGAATGACCATTGATATGCCAGGGCCAAGAGACTTACTGCATAGCTCAAGTTCGTTCATAGCCCCGTGTTTCGTGATGGCAATGCGCCACTCGACATTGACTCTCCCCGCAATGTTAAGTGCCATTGCCCACACGCTCTTGACGACAAATGCCTCCAGATTATCACCGGGTACCAACCAAGCCTTCAGCTCGTGCATCTCGCCCCTCTGGTCTACGCATGCGACCAACAGCCATTTCCCGCAAGGCGAGACACGATATCCGACATGCAGGATTGAGAAACGTTCCATGACGTCCAAAGTACTTGTGCGGGCCTCAAGATGGAAGGTAGGCCTCCTAGACAATGGCCTCGCCAACACAAATGAAGGCTCTTGAAACAAAGCTTGCATGTGATCTCCTTGCATGCGATCTCCTTGCACGCGATCCCCTTGCACGCGATCTCCTTGTGCAACGAGTGCTCCTCGAGTGAGGACGGGTATGCGGTCGTACACCGCTTCCACTATGGTCTCGAAGCTAAGATAGCGCATGGCCGGGTTGTCTAGGCTGCCACTAGCGAAGGGCTCGGGGACCAGGTGGAAAAGAAGAGACCTGTCACGCTGTGCCCTTTCCTTTTTTATCTTCCTTATGGCAGAGAATATTTGTCGTAAGGATGCGGAGGCGAGAGTGATCATGTGTGTGGGGATGACGATATAGATGACTACGGAGGTTCCAAAGTCCGGAAGACCTGGCATAAACGATACTGAAAATGTGTAAGTGAAGCGTACACGTGATATAGCGAGACCTTCGCACCAAGAGTTTTCCGAAAACTATCAAACTGTACGGGCACGAGGCCGTCTCTGGTGCATCCTGCAGCGCGTCCTGCGATATGACTACCGAAATTCTTCGTCTTAACTATTGTCAGCTGCATACTCACTTGGAGCCAGACATGAGTTACCAACCATGTAGGTTTGCCCCAACGACTCGAGCCAATCACTCAGCTCCACTTCCCCAGCTTCGTTCCTGGCTTCGAAAAACACGAAGGCAGTCACATCCTTGTTACCGCTCCGAGGTTTTAAGCCTAGTTTCTCCCAGAATCGCAAAGCTGTCGGGAGAACTTGCATGAGCGCATCCGATTTGCCGACAGCGAACATCGGGGGATCGAGCTCTCGGAAACTGAGATCGGTGTCTAGAGTGAACAGCGTTAAGCGATGACATACTGGATCGTTATTGCAAGAGACTTACCCGAATTGTATGCGTTTCCAAGCTCGATAGGTGAGTGCATACCAGAGACGGTATGTAGCATCGTCATCACACAACGAATATCGCCTAACCAGATATAGGAGCTGGGAAAAAATGAGGAGTGTACGCTGAGGTTTGCGTGCCACGCGTCTGCCCACATGGGATTCTCCACAAGCTCTTTTACCAGAAATTGAACAGTACTCTCGAGAGACCTGGTGCGCTCCGATGCAGTGCCTAGTGTAGCGGCTGGAGACACTGGAGTGGGTACAGACATAGGCCCTGCACCGATGTCGACGTTACCGTGTACGGTGACCGCACCAGGAGGACGCAGGGGGGTGCTTAGTGGAAGCAAGTAGCTATGATGGAAAGCTGTTGCGACTAGGCTTGGGCCGAGTGGAAGGTGGGAGAGTGGTGGTGTGAAAGAGCGTGAAGAGGTCAATGCGCTTCGATCTTCGTACGCCGCGTCCTCGTCAACATCGAGATCTGAGTCTGTCCTCGAGTCGCCCTCGAGGCCTTCCTGGCTCAATGGTGAGTGCGCCCACTCCTCATGCTCGTGCATCCAAGCGGGAGACATCCGCCCATCTCGGCCGTTCTCATCTTCGCCCAGACGTTTGCGCTTTGCGCCGACTAAGCGACGCACGACGGCAATGCGCGGATCAGTAGCAGAACCGTAGCTAAATCTCCAGCCCATGGGTGGTAGAGACGGCTCTTGCGACCTTCTGGAGTGCGGCCATATACGCTCCACATCGTCTGGTGGTGGTGTAGGGAGTGCGAATTTGCCGACCGTATATTTGCCATCTTTTGCCTTGTGGGCAGGGGAGAACGGTATGGGATCGAAATTGATAGATCCTTGACTACTGGTAGAGCTGCGTCTAATGTGGATGTGATGATCCAGCATGACTGTCGGAGTAGCTGGTCCCGACTGAACAGATGGAGTTTGTAATGGGGTTGAAGGAACGAGCTCAGGAGCAGGCAGAAGTCCAGGGGTAGAAGCGGGAAGCGAACGAGGTGTCAAGCCTTCAAGCCCGAAGTGAGCCGTCCACGGAGCTGGGTGCTCGCCATTGAGCGTGACTGGAGGTCCGGGTCCTGACGTCTGAAGTCCTCTAAGTGCGGCTGACATTGGCGCATCGGGATTTGCTGCTGCAGACAGTGGCAGTGCGGATCTCGAAGTATGGCTACTGCTCGGCTGAGGGCGATCGAAGAAGTCGAAGTCATCATCCGTGAACATCCCAAAGCCGTCGTCGACGTTGATGTTGGTAGACTCATTGTTGTTGGTACCGGACATGTCCATAGCAAAATTGTAGTGGTCCAAGGGCATATCCATGTTCATGAGGTCAGTCGAAGATTGAGGCCATGATGCGTCAAGCCCATTGAATGTGTCGAACTCCTTCGCCACGTCGTCGTCGACAACCATTTCCACCTCACCACTGGGTAATCCAACAGTCCCCGGTAGCTTATCGGCAATGTCTGTGGACAGCATCCCAGCAGAAATACCCGCAGGAGATGCTACACCGATCGGTGGTAGAGGTTCACCTGTGTCGCCTGTGCTTGCGTTCGTTATTGCGTCCCATGAGACAAATGCGATCGGTGATTCCTCGCGTTTGAGTGGAACTCGGTCTTCGGTTGCGTACAAAGAGGCCTGCTGAACGCCTGCCGGTGTAAGTCCATGCTCGTGCCCAGCTGCAACGATTGGCGACTGAGCAAATTCCTGTTTCTGCGGGCTTGTCGGGACCCTCGATGAGCTCCCTTCGCGTTCACGCTTCAACCGTTCTCTCTCCCTTTCCCGCTCTTTCGCGATGGAATCCACATAAGTGCTCACATCGCGCGCAACAGCATGTATGTTCCTCTCGCCAATCGTCAAAGAGCGGAACGCTCTCAGCGAATCCGATGTTGGGGAATGATTCGAGAGAGGACAACTAAACTCCCGTCGGGTGGCGATGGGTCGCTCTCTGGTGGTCATCCAAGGCGACGGAGAGACATCACTGGCAGAAGGCAGAGGGGAAACCGACGAGTTGAGAGCGCTGAGTGGAAAGGTGATTGGCGGTGCTTGTGCAGGCACCGCAGGCGGTGAAGCTAGCAACTGTGCGGGCAAGTCAGGCAGGTAAGCCAATTTGTGTCGAGCTTGAGGGCATGTACCATCCGGAAGAACCGACAGCGTCGTTGGCCAGATTACCGGAAGACCTTTCTCCTCGCCTTGTTTATTCTGGACTGAGACCCACGCAATGAGATAGCATGGGGAGTTTGTCGATTCATTGACTGGTGCGCTCTTCCAGTTTCCTACGCCAAGGCCAAACAGAGCATCTTCGAATTGATGCGTCAGATTCCCCAGAGCACCTGAGTATGTGTTGAGATAGAAGGCAGGGGTCCCGTGAGGTAGAAGCACGATTGGAGTGCCCGTAGGCAAGCTGAGGGATGTGGTAAGCGGCAAATACTGAGTGGTTCGCAGTATGGGAAGGATAACGAGGCGTGTCTGAGATAGGCTAATTTGCAGTTCGCAGTGCACAAACGGCCGGGAACGGCCGTAATGCTCCCATTCAGCACCCCATTCGCCATCGTCTGCAGGAGAGAGCGGGCTTAACAAAAAACCTCCTTGAAGTCGGCCAGTCCATCTCTCGGATGTCTCAGAAGATGAACGTACAATGTCGTCAATAATCCTATCTCTGACCGCTTGAATGAATTGAACCAATGGCAGTCGGAGAGGCTTTCGAGGAAGGCTACAGGTCGGAGACGCCTGTGAAGACGGCGTAGCGAAGGAGGATGCCTCTCTCTGCTGTATGCAGACAGCGCAGGGAACCCGTTGAGTCGCACAGGATAGCGAACATGGATATATGCCATCGGGTGTGAACGAGTACGTGTCGAATTCTGAAACATGCAAAATACATATGAGTATCGTGTACACACTCTGAATGCAGCGCTTAGCGTGGGCAAGCAAACCCGGCCCCCCCATTGTGCAAGGTCCGTTCCGCTCAGCCACACGAACACAGGAAATATAAGTGAAGGATTGACGATATAAAACGGCGCCACTCTCGCATAACAGCATTTTCAGCTGCAGGAGGTGTCTCGTCTTTCTCGTCCCGAGCTGCCCGCGTGATAGTATACAGTAAGGCTCAAGGAAACGAAGTGATCCTACTCACGCTCAAGGGCATCTAATTGCAAGCAAGATAAAGCCACCTGCGCCGCCGATGCATCCATAGTAGAACCAAAAGCGAAGAGGTATAAGCTGACACGGTCCTTAGTGACATGTACACTGGGCAGGAGAGACTGAGCCATCGGGAGTGGTGTGTAGTCTGCAACTATACGCCTCCTAGCATTCTCGATAGCCGTCAGTTGTTCCGTCGGAGTAGGAGCGCGTGTGGCGATGAAGACCGAACAGGATATCAACGGGTTCGGTGGGAGGTCGATAGCTGAAGCCAATATCGGAGAGGAGAGCGAGATTCGTTGGGGGTGCTGGGACAGAGCCGACAGTCCAGTGCTATCTGGAGGCTGCAAGGCCGGCTTCATCGTTGCGTATCAGAGTCTAAGCACGAAGATCTGGTGTGCTCTGGGATCAGGTCAGCGGAATCAAGGGCCCGCCGTAGAGCCACACGCACGCAAAGCTTGGGGCGGGGTGAGAAGGAGGTCGTCGCTATCGTGCAAGCATTTTTCGGATGACAGTTTGGGTGCGAGAGCGGCGGGAATGTAAGTAGCACACGCTGAGCAGACTCCAGAGACGCCCAGTACACATATGCGTGACGGATGTTTCATGCGGGTCACGGACCCAGTCACGCATCATCTGGTCTTGCTGAGGGCTGTTGTCCGTGATCTAAGCTCACAGGCCTCTTGCCTTCTTTCTTTCTGCGACCTCAAAAAATGCAGCCATCCCGCCCAGCAAGTGCCTCGACTCGGCAGGCGGCCTCTCCACACCCCAGCGCACTCCAGCAGATCAACACGCAGACCAAGGTCTTCGATACTGCTCAGGGACGCTTGCTATGCATTGCAGACATCCGTGGCCGTCTCTCCGCGTTGAATGATCTCGCTCGCGAGGCTAACGCATGCGCGATCATACATACTGGAGACTTTGGCTTCTTTGGTGCGTCGTATACATCTCCTCGCCAATACTTGCCACATCGTTCATCTGCTTGTCTCCTGCGTAGAGGCATCAAGTCTCGACCGCATCAACGACAGAACACTCCGTCACCTTACGATGTACTCGCCACTTATACCCTCAGCGCAACGTACACACCTCCTTGCACCGGAGAATCCGCCAGCTATCATACGATCGACTGTGACCATCTCACTTCTTTCCGAGTTCCCTCTGCTCCTCTCAGGGCAGATCAAGCTCCAAATACCGGTTTACACGGTCTGGGGTGCATGCGAAGACGTGTCTATTCTCGAGAAGTTTCGCTCTGGGGCATACGCAGTCGACAACCTCCACGTGATTGATGAGGCTACCACGCGTGTCCTCGATCTTGGCGGCGTAAAGCTACGCTTGCTGGGACTTGGGGGTGCTCTCGTGCCACACAAGATGTTTGACAATGGCGACGGTCAGGCGACCATTGCCGGCGGCCAAGGCACCATGTGGACGACCGCCCTTCAGATCGGAGAGCTCGTTGATACTGCGCAACGAATCTACGATCCGACTGAGACGCGCCTCCTTGTCACGCATGCCAGCCCAGGTCGGGAGGGGATTATGGCTCAACTTGCGCTTGTTTTGAAGGCCGACCTGACTATTTCTGCTGGGCTTCACTTCCGATACGCTTGCTCATATAACGATTTCAGTGCGCAAGGTGATTTCGAAGGCTTCCGCCGTAAGCTCCTCGTCGGAAAGGAAGGCTTCGAGAAGGTCTGGGAGAGTGTCAAGGCGCAAGTCGACAATGTCATTGACGACAACCAGCGCGTACTGCTTGACAAAGCATTGTCTGTCGTTGACCGTATACCCCCGCCTCCGAACCAGCCTCTGGCCAACGGGCATATACCAGGAGAAGAGCCCGCTTGGAAGAACTGCTGGAACTGGAATCTGTGTGATGCGGCGTATGGATCGCTAGTTCTCGATATCCGTGATGGTCGTGTCTCTGCAGAGCTCAAGAGTCAGGGTTTCAACTACGCATATCGCAAAACTGTCACCCCGTCGACAATAGAGCCCACACCAAACACCACTTCGACGTCCTTCCCGAATGTTAATGCGACTGGCACGCCAAAGGGCTCAAGCACTGGCGCCGGCGCGACCCCCACGACTTCGGAGAAGCCTTTGCCGCCTCATCTCGCACCCGCTGGAGCGAAGTCGAAACCGACAACACCGCCTCCCACCTCTGGCCGGGAAACGCCGAACAAGGCTAACGGCTCGTCAGACAAGTCGGCAGAGAAGATGGAGAAGGAGCGTGCGAAACGCGAGCGGAAGAAGGAGCGAAAGCAGCAGGAGCGTGCGGACAAGGATGGAGCGGCGCAGGGCAAGGAGGACGAGGGCAGCGGGCAGGCAAGCCCCGTGCCGGATATTGATGTCAGTAGTCCGAGAGAGGGGGTGAAATCTGGGAAGAACACGCCAGACGTTGGTGAGGTCAAGAGGGACGACGGAGTGCTGTCCCCTGGGACCGAGAGTACCGGTGGCGCTCGTACTCCGACAAGCAGAAGACCACAGAGAAATCCGTGGACAATCTTCATGCGTCTTCAAACACCCGCACAGGAAAACGAGATCCGCGAATTCTTTGGCGAAGCGAAAGAAGGAGTACGTTCACTCTTTGCACAATGTTCGAGCTCAAGGTTGACAAACAATAACAGATCGTCCGCGTAACATATCCTAACAACTTCGCGGGCAAGGCTTTGAAGATGGCATATATCGAGTTCGGAGATGAGGAAGCTATGAAGGCTGGTCTTGAGAAACATGCCGAGGTCCGCGCGCACAGCTCGCAGTTCAATGACAGTGCACTGACTCGTTCATACTTTCCCAGAAACTGAATGATTCAGTGCCCGAGGTCAAGCAGGCAACAGACAGGGAGACGAGGAATGCAGAGAATGCCGCTTTCCGTGGTGGACCCTTCCCGGGACGTGGTCGAGGTGGTCGAGGTGGTTTCGCCGCACGCGGTTTTGCAGCGGCTGGCCTAACACGAGGCCACCCCAGGGCGAATGGTGATGTGGCACCCGCCCCTGCTCCGGCTGAGAGCTCGTGAGCAAAAGACGTTAGAATATTCTAGCCCTGATGCCCTTTAATGATGCACGTTGGTCTATGCTTCTCTGTTTGTGCTTGGCTCCTTCCGTACTCCTGTCTCTAAGTGGTTTGCGCTGCGCATGGCATGCTGAGGTTGTAAATTCGACTCTTCCTGTGTTAGTAGCATTCCTCTTCTCGCAGTGCATGCATAGATATATTACATTGCTTCTCTGGCCAGGTAATGTTGACACTACCGTGCATGTGACACTACAACCGATTGAATTCCTGAATCCGGTAACTTAGAAAAGGTGGTGTACGCCAAAAAGGCAGAAGAAGATCAAAGTATCTGTCAGAGCAGTTCGTGCAGGACTCGATCGTACTGGTGCGGCATGTGAGAGCTAATCCGTGAAATAGTTAGCCGTAATGATGAGCGTTCGCACTGGCGCAAGACGCACCTAAGCATGTCCTTCGCGAATACGATTTGGTTGAAGACCTGCTCGACGTCTTGTACTTCAAACAGTCTGACTTTCTCGCTTCCCCGCTCCTTCGACACGCCGGCGAGACGATGCGAAGACTCGAGGTCTCCGTCGCGTATAGCCCATAATACCCGACCTGGAGGAAACAAGTTTGCCATACGCATATTGGCCTCGAGTGTCTTGCGGATAGCCAAAAACTGAAATGAAGGGGAAAAGGGTCGCACGTAGCTATCACTGATAGACACACGGTACGTACCCACTCGGGATCGTCGTCTTTACCAAATCCCGTCTTCGCCCTCAGGGCTCGTCCAGCAACGCCACCATACCCTTCTCCCCGTCCCTCGCTTTCTGCGTGGGACAACCATGCGGCTGCCCTGCGCAGATCGCGCACAGAACCGAGCGACAGCCTGGATACGACATCGTGCGAGTATACGAAAGACGTGATGAGGCCTGAAGACGCTGCAAGCTTGGATAGACTCGCGGATACTAGACACGGTGGTGCATAACAATATGCCGAGACTCGGCGGTTTACGGGCAACCCCGAGGCGCGATGTGTTAGACAAGTGCGCGGATCGCACCACATCTGATAGTTCTTCATCAGCCAACCCACGAGGTCGCTCACGAAGAGTACATACCAAGGCAAGAAGTGCGGCTACTCCTGCACCAAGGCTGTGTCCGCATATAACCAAATCTGTGATCACAATTAGTCCAATTCACGATTCGTGAATATCGTCTTACTTACCGTAATTCTCATTCTGCTTCAAGGCGTACCTGACTGCCGTGTGCACAGGTTTGCCTTTGCCACCCATAGCCCGAGCCATCTTGAGTATGCCCCCGTGCACCTCAAATATATCGTCGTCGTCAGACGATTGATAACGTGTCGCAGTCTTCCTACTCGGTGGATTAGGAGGTGTCGACAAGTCTATTGGAAAGGAGCCTGGTATGGTTTCTAGCTCCTCGTCAAAATTGTCAAGCACCTCCTGCTCGTCCATAGACTCCTTCATTTTTCTCACGGGACTATAGATTGTGAATTCGGCTGGATCGCACGTGAGGTCGACCGCCAACTCGTTCAAGCTCATTGTGCCCCGTAGGACGAGGACAATTTCCTGACGAGAATGGTCGGTGAGAACCCAAAATCGAGGCATCAGGCTTGTATTGCTATCGAGCATGGGGGTTATCTCGGGCGGTGGTCTTGCAGTAGGTTGCGTCTGTTGGTCAAAGTGAGGTACATAACAAGAGCTGTATGTAACGGAGACTCACCTGTGCTGAACTGTTGGATGAGTGGTGTGCGTCTTGTGCGTAGTGAAGAAGAATATCCTTGTCATGCTTCCCGAGAAGCACGTTCCACCACGAGTACTGGGAGCCTCCAGGTTTCGATTCCAGCTCTTGTCTCTCCGCCGAGGTTAGCTGGATCGAGCCGCCAGAAGCCTCGATCTCGGAGGAGCCCACCGCCATCGCCAGCTTCTTTACTTCATCTGCCTGTGCGGTTTTTCCTGACGTAGGGACTGGAGGGACTCCGAAGAAGATAAGACTTGCTCCGCCATACCCCGCCAAGACTAGCTTGGAAAAGCGTCGTAAGCTTGACTTGAGAGACGTTATCGAGTTTAGATCCATCGTTACCGCAGCGCTAGGCTTGTTAGAGGGCGCAGATGAGACCTCACCAATATCAGCCGTGATAATTTGCCCTGAGTGGCTGGGATAAACAACGTCCGTCGTAATATGCACTTGCGACGTATGTGGGGGTGGAGAGAGAGAAGGCAGACTGTCATAGACATCGTCTTGAACCGGCAGCTCCCGAAGGAATTTGAACCACTTCCTCTCTTGCCATTCGCTCGTGATGCCTTGCAGAGCAGCCCATGCCACTAAAGCCTTCATAATCTCGCTAAAGCTGTAACGTGCCTCTGGAGCGTCGTAATCGTGCATATCTTCCTTCCACTCTCTCCTGACGAGGGTGACAAAACTGGTGAGCGAGAAGCTGGCCTCGTCGCTGCCCGGGAAGACTGCTTGCAGAACAGTCAGAGACGACTGTGCAGCAACGAGAGTTGTTGAAGTGATTGACTCTCCAATGAGTATGGGGGTCAATGCGAGGGCCTCGAGTGCCGATATGGCCGTTGACACGACGCTGCCTGCTGCTGGCCCCGCCCCAATGCTGCCCCCGAATACGGCATGATCAAGGGCAGTTCCGGTGAGACTGGCTATGGACGAGGCAATCCCACGAGTGATACCAAACTAAATGAGCAAGACAGTGAGTTATAAGTACGCAGAGGGAGCTGGTGAGACACACACTCCGAGCTTTGTTCCATTCTTCGCAGCAGAGAATCCTATGCTGGTCGCGGTCGATGCGGCGTCGAGACTAAGGCGACTGATCCTATCCCATCTTTTTAGCATCTGCTCGTCCTGCATGCGAGTTGTGAAGGATCGTGGTGGTCAGAACACGGGTGCATTGCGCAGGCTCTGCGTAGGCAGCACCAGAGCCTGAAGAACGTGGAGAGAACGTTAACGGAACAACGCGACGCTTTCAGCCTGATCGGACCGGCAGGTTCAGGCGCTTGCGCTCTCCCACTTGCTCCGCGACTTCATGTCTGCTCTCTTCCGCGTTCTATCCTCTAGGAGCTTGTCGAACCGAGTTGTGCGCACATCCTCAAGAAATTATGCGTCTGAGCATGGCCTCCAGCATGGCCTTAAGCCTACGAGGTTCGGCCAACCGTTGTTTGCGTCGCATCCACATCTTAGTCAGTCTATCTCAATCGCGGGCGCAAAGCTGAACCGACGCGTCGCGCGCAGTGAATCCAAATGAGACCACCCCCGGAATACCCGTGGAAGAGTACGAACGGAGACGAAAAGCCCTCATGGATAGACTACCAAGCGATAGCATCGTGGTTGTCGTATCAGGGCAGGTCAAGTACATGAGCGGTCGTAAGTCCTCGGGAGCTTCGGTGTACAGGCTCGTAATGACCAAGCACGTATCGCGTAGAAATATTGTACGTGTCGTATTTTTCCATGCACCGAATCTATGCTCAACAATGCATGCAAGCTACAAATTTCGGCAAGCATCCGATTTCTGGTATCTCACAGGATTTGAGGAGCCAGACGCAGCGGTTATCCTGGAGAAGAACTCCTCTGCGCGAGGATACCGAATGATCATGTTCTCTCTGGGAAAGGACTCACATAGGGAGAAATGGAACGGTGCCCGTACCACGCCGGATGATCTGTTACTGCATTTCCGGGCGGACGATGCGTATTCTATTACATCCTTCCCGGCAGTACTGAAGAGTTTCTTGGGCAATTGCTCTCACGTTTATGCTGAACTTCCGCTGTCCGCGTCATTGTCCCGGCGAGGACGCTCCTCGACCTACCAAAATTTACTCAAGGTATGTTACCTTCCCTTACCCATACGATCGCTACAAGCGTCCTCATAGTCCATCAAGGACCTCTCGCCGCTCGCACGGATTACTCATTTGGAATACGATACGATTATGGACTCGTTAAGTAGCAAAAAGCGAAAAGCACTTGCACCCGAGTTGGCAATACTGAGGGCCATCAAGAGTGAGCCGGAGCAGAGGATCATGCACTGCGCCGCAGATATCAGTGCCCACGCACACACAAAGGTGAGTACTGCGTTTTCATGTTTCCTGTCGCGGTCTCATTTCCGGATACTGCAGACGATGCGTTTCACGGAATCTGGCATGTCCGAACACGCAGTGGCGGCGCATTTCGAATACCTCTGCGCAAGGAATGGCTCGCAGCGGCCGGCGTATGTACCAGTAGTAGCATCGGGGTACGCTCTGCAGGTACTACCTGCAATTGACTCGAATTAACCACTTCATTTCTAGACCAAACGCTTTAATTATTCACTATACTTCAAACAACCAGACCATTCGTGATGATGAGCTCCTCCTTGTTGATGCGGGCTGCGAATACAAGTGCGTCCCAGGCCTTCTTTGCCGTCTCTTTTCATGTTGGTTAACGCATATCGCAGCGGCTACGCCTCGGATATCAGTATGTGCCCCCAAGCACGCCTCCACACGTTATTCACGCGAATACCCCGCAGCTCGCACTTTTCCTGCCCGGGGCATATTCTCGCCCGCACAAGCCGCCTTGTATAACGCCGTGCTTCAGGCACAGAAGTACCTTGTTACGCTCTGCACTGAGTCGGCCCGCCTGTCGCTTGCACACATTCATCGTGAATCGCTTGATGTGCTACGCAAGGAATTGAACAAGATTGGATTCAACCTCCATAGCGCGTCGGGCATGAGCGACCTTGAACACGAGCTGTACCCTCATTATGTCGGGCATCCAGTGGGAATCGGTGAGAGCATTTCGTAAGCGTGAAGAAGCAGAAGTTGATCAGAACGTAGATTTACACGAGTCAGCGCACTTGGACCGAAATGAACCGTGAGTACACCGAGATATACACAAGCCATGTGTTCACGGAAGACCGCAGATTGAAGGCCGGTAACGTGATAACAATCGAGCCGGGCAAGATTTCTTGAGCCGTATATCCGCTGTAAGCAACATCATTGACTCCCTCATAGGCATATATGTCCCACCATCGCCAATATTTCCAAAGGAGTTCCATAATATGGGTATCCGGATTGAGGCTCGTTCGCCGTCTCAGTTCGTGGTTACGAGCACGTGTGCTTATATTGGTACTACAGGATGAGGTCCTGGTCGGCACCAACCATCCTACGGTGCTGAGCGTAGCCGCTCCAAAGGAGGTGTGTGCCAATGCCAATGAGCTTGAAGATCCTGCAGCCGGCTAACTTATTCATGCAGATCGTCGATGTGGAGGGCGCATGTAGAGGAGACTTGGGTCTAGAGCCATACTAAGCGTATATTGTCGGTAATAACGCCACTATCCTTCTTAAAACACCACTCAACAGTGCACCGTCCTGTACACCCGTTGCAAGATATAAGGAGATGGGCATAGGTAGCGAAACTAGTACAGGTCCGCAACGATACAAGGAAAAGAGGACGGGTAGACTTGAAAGCCAAGCTTGGCACAATCCAAAGGACAAACGAAAACAGGAACGGTGTGCCGATAGCAAGGCTTCTGACTTTAGTCGGTGTTCTTGTTGTCCTCACTGTGGCGACGGACAGCCTGGGTGGCGGACAATTCCGGGATGGTACTTGTGCCAATAGACGTCGCTCCGTCGTTAGCGGTGTGGAGTTGCTGTTGAACCAGTTCACGGCGAAGCCACTTGCTATCAGGAACAATGTACCAACTGAGGAGTCCGAAGACTGTGACGGAGCCGAAGATAGCGCAAGCCTGATCAGGTGGTCAACAACAGAGGGCCGACAAACGTCTGGAATACAACGCACGAAATTAAAAGTCTCAGCGGTGACCGGGAAAAAGAACGGCGAGATCTGGGTCTGCATAACAACGTTAACAACATACCCACCGACCTGATGCTATTATACTTACCGCGAATATCAGACCGTTGAACAGGACCGCCGAGATGTAAAATGGCTTGCGCCATTTCCCAAGGTAGAAGTGCGACGACTTGAAGTCGTTCGGGGTGAACACGAGACGCAACAGTGCAATGAGACCATACGCCGCAGTAGTGGGGATACCTCCAGCGGATATCAGGGACGTGAACGCAACCTGGCTTGGCAAGATAGTACAGAGGATAGCAGCACCAAAAAGGAACATGACTGTTACGGCGTTGCGCGGTTGGCGCGCCGCATCGACGCGGCCAATCCATCCGGACATGGGCAGCACCCCATCACGAGCGACGGCGTAGATAAGACGCGAGGCAGCAACGATGGCGACACTGGTGCTCTGCATGCACAGTTAGATACGATTGACGGGACATGACCTGCAAATGCTAACCAGGATGAGACCGAGGATGGCGATGACAGTCATGACAACGCTTCCGGGACGACCAAGGGCAAGCGCATACAGCTGCACGAACGGTTGTGGAGCGTCCAGGGAGAAGAGTGTGTCCAGATCTGGAGTGCAGAACAGGAATAGAATCGTGGTGGCGAATCCGAGGACACCCGTCGCGATGGCACTGCTTAAGATACCACGCCCTGCAACAACACTGAGTGGATCTCAGTTTCAGCATGCCATGAAGGCAGTACCACCACGTACCTAGCATTCTTGGTCTCTTCAGCAATGTGCCCAGAGGCGTCAAAACCGATCATAGTGCCTGCGGTAAACAGGCTAAAATTTGTCAGGTGAATGTACGGAATTGACTTTGTAACACGTACAAAGAGAGAAGCCAATTCCAGCCAGCAGGTGCACCGGTTCCATTGTCTGTATTTGCGGTTAGCACTGTACATGAAACGCATGCAAAGTAGAGCGTACAAGTCATCGTGAAAACCTCTTTGGCAGAGCGAAAACCATAGGTGTGGGATACGCCAATGGGCAACCAGATCACGCAAAGCAAGAAGTCGATCATGTATAATGCGACCGAGATGCGGAAGACGGCTGAGTACCACTTAGGCGGCAAGTAGTTGATGGCGATAGAGCAGAACAGGACGCCTTCCGACACGGCCCAGATGAGAGCCCGCCATTTGATGTTGTCATTGCCTACACCACCAGGAAAGTCGACTTCCCAAATAGCAAGCTGGGAAACAACGTAGTTTGCCGTTGTCTGCACGCACAAGCAATCACTGTCACAGGAGCTTTGAAGTTCAAGTGATTGTACGAACCTGACAGTTACCAGCCGCGAAAGTCATCCATGCTGTCGTGGACCACCAAGCAACGACGAAGCCGAAGAGTCTGCTGTACTTAGCACCAGCACTTTCGGCAGCCCAGATATAGATCGAGCCACTCAAGGGAAGAGCAGAACAGATCTCGGCAAGGACAGCCGCCGTGATCCACATGAAAATCATGGAGATGATATAGGACGACCTTGGGTGACCTCAATAAGCTTCACACCACTACTGTGTAATATGACCATACCACACAGCAGCTGGACCACCGGCAAGCAAGCCCAAGAAGAGACCAGACCTGCATCATTGTGATTAGACAAGTCGGGGCTTGGGATGCGTGCTTTGCACTCACCGGACGCCTCCAATGAAGTTGAGGGCTACAAAACTCGCCGAAAAGCTCTCAACGATGCTCCATGTACGATGCAGTTGCTAAAGAGAATAGTGTAAGTACAGGAACAGCTGCACTACACTAAGTTACTGGGTGTAAGACTTTACCTGCTTATACCCTAGTTTCTCCTAATGTCGAGGGGAAAAATGAAGATGGTCAGTAGATTCTATCGGGCCCCTCAACAAGGAGCGAAAGAGAATAGGCGACACTGGGGGCTTCCCTACGCAGGTATGAGCGCTGATCAGGTTCAAACGGTATACTCTCAATCCAAGCCGCTATCCGCCGGAGCAAAGCAGACAAGCCTCTGAAGATCGAGAAGACCCGTAAGTTGCACACGACGTCGTCACGAGCAAGGATACCCGTAGCCTTCCAGTTTGCCATTAGAAGATGACGTTACCGAAGGTAAAGTCTTTCAGCAACCTCCATTCCTGCGTAAGTCTGACCCAGTACCCCCGCTGATTATTACCAGCTGGATTTCGTCTGCGTCGACCGTCGACCCGCGTTCAGAACTATCGACCTTGGCAGCGTCGACAGCCATTTTCCTCGCCTTTCGGTGCTTTTTGGTAGATGTGGAGTGAATGAAAGAAGAGTCAATTTTCACAGCTGATAGTATGGGGCGTCTATTGATACAGAGACGTGCTTATATAAACAAATGATGAGGTGATACAACGCTTCCTAATAGTGCTACTCTGTGGAGTTCTGGCATAACGAATAACATCAAGGAATATTGAGACGCTAGAAAGACGTGAATTAGTACACGGTAAACGTTCGCCTATTGAGGGTACACACAGGTTTGAGAGCCTTGATGAGCAGCCATTCCTCATTTGAGACGTCTTGCTTGAAGGAGGTCTTAAGGACATCAATGCTCTGCCGCGTGATGAGGGAATAAATCTCGTCCTTATCATCAAAGTGACGGCCAAACATCTTCGCTGATTCGTAGACAGCGTGTTCAATCTTGACAGCGACACCACCACCTGCTTGAGACTTCTTGATCACGTCCTGTGTTTTGTGGTTGATCTCCAAAGACGTACTGAGAAAAATAAGTCAGATATATTACAGCTGAAAGGCCAGCACAGCACTCACATCTTGCCCAAGTTGATGATATCCTTCTTTTGTGTCTCAGGATCTACCTTCACAACACATAGAGGTGTACCGGTGCGGAGGGTGCCATCAAGAATGTCGACACCGAGGATAATCGGATCACGTTTGGCGAAGCAGGCGATGATCTTGAGACGACATGGCCAGACAGCTTGAGGTGCAGCATCGCGCCTCTTCGCCTCCATAATCTCAGCGTTGTACGCGGTAAAGGCATCGAACAGATGATAGATGATGTCCGCTGCAAAAATCGGTCGGCACAAATGCAAGATAGAGCAGGTAGCGCACGCACCTTTGAAGACTTTGATACCCATTTCCTCAGCCAATCGTTCGGCATCCTTGTCGACCGTGACGTCGAAGCAGAGGATGCATGCGAGCTCCTTGGCCTTCTCCAGCATGGTCGCCGCACGCATCACATCCTTCTTGTGAACAGGACCGATGTTGATACCGGATACAGGGATCTTGCTTGACTTGAGGAAGTCAAGCAGAGCCTCCAACGAGCCAAGAGTGCTGGCTTGAACGCATACACCGCGGCCTGACTTGTCAATCGAGTTGAGCAAGGTGGTCAAATCGGACATGACTTCGTCCATCATGTCCTCCTCATCATCGTCAGGACCGACAACGAGCAACCGGGAACCAGCGATTGCCTTCTCGAGATCAGGGGCGACAATTTTGACACCGAGCGCGGCCTTAACTTCCTTGTGGTGGACGTACTGGGACTTGATACGAAGCTCACGGAGGGGCTGAGGCGTGAGCAACGCGCGAACTTGTGTCACGATAGGTCCGTTGAGACCGCAGACCACGATTTTGTCACTTTCGCGCAGAATACCGTTCGATAGAACCACGTCGATAGTGGTACCAAGACCTTCGATAACCTTGACTTCGAGAACGGTACATTCAAGTTCGGAAAGGTACATCAACCTGTCGCTCATACGCTGCTGTGTGAGGTTGACGAGCAGCATAATCATGTCGGGGACACCCTCGCCAGTCACAGCGGAAGTTGGAACCAGGGAGACGTTGCGAGCAAAATTCTTGTTCTCGTAATAAAGAATGGCGTTGAGACCCTGCTCAGCAAAAGCAAGGATGGTCTTCTGTACACGGTCCTCAAATTCCCGCTGAACAGAGCGCTTCTGCTTCGCAAGCGAGCTGCGGAAGTCGTTATCGGGTATCGTCTCCCAGCCGTACATACGGTCGATCTTGTTCAGAGCAACAATAAAGGGCGTTTTACGGTCCCTCAGCAGACGAAGAGATTCGAGGGTTTGTTGCTCAAGGCCGTGCTAAATAGCATCATCAATGACTACACACTGAAAGACGAATACGTTTACCCACCATGATGTCGACGACAAGGATGGCAATATTGCAAAGCGAACTACCGCGAGTACGTAGGTTGGTGAAGGACTCGTGGCCAGGAGTATCAATGACCAGAAGACCAGGAATCTTGTACTCCTGCTTGCCATCCTTATTCAGTATGGCGGTCTTGGTCTTGATGGCATCCACAGGGAAGTAGGTTGCACCGATCTGCTGGGTAATACCTCCAGCTTCGCCCTCTTGGACGTTGGTTTGACGAATCTACACGGAAGAGTAAACACTAATATTATCACGTACAAAGCGGAAGTATACCTTATCAAGAAGTTTCGTCTTTCCGGTATCGACGTGCCCCAAGATACAGCAGATAGGGCTACGCAGGTCATCCTTGTTACGAGCAGCAAGGGCAGCCTCGTGCGCCTGCTTACGACGTTCTGCTGCTTCGGCCTTGCGCTTCGCGGCTATTCGCTGGGTGTTAGTCAATCCATCGTCCGAGTCCGAGTCCGAGTTCGAGTCTGAGTCGTCCGAATCTGAGTCATCAGAATCCGAGTCAGATTCTTCAGAACTTGACTCTTCTTCAGTCTGGTGTTTTGGTGCCACTTTTGCGGGGACCTGAGCGGGCTCAGCAGCCTTAACGAGAGCTGAGTTGCCATTAGTGGGCTTCGTAGTAGTCTTCTGCTCAGTAGTAGCAGCCTTGGCGGCGCCGTTCGCTAGAAGGAAGGATCAATGGGTGGGCCATGAGAAATTTTGCAGGCATCGCACGCACCAGAAGGCTTGGCAGCCGATTTATTCTCCTCCTCTTCCTCTTTGCCACTTTCATCCCAAGAGTCCTTGACGCCTTCTGCGGGCTTAGCAGGTTCCTCATCGCTGCTAGCGTCCCAGGTGTCCTTGACATCTTCGACCGTTGGCACTCCCTCTGAGGGGGAGAGAGCGGAAGCCGGTTCCGGAGCTGGTGGTGTACCCTCACGAACAGGTGATGGGGCGCGAGTGGTGGGGGAGCTGTCGGTAGTAGCCTTCTCAGCGGCATGCCTCTTCTTGCGGTTACCGTAAACAACTTTCTTCGGAGCTTGACCCGAACTCTGCTGTTGGAGACCCTCGATAACGACTCCGGACGCGAGCAGAGCCTGCTTGCGGAGCTCCGCGGCGCGCTGCTCTTCCTTCTGCTTCTTCGTGAGGAGTCGTCCCTCCTTCTTCGCCACTTCGCGCTTGGCCTAAGGCGAGAAGTGAGCTCGCTGGGTGCGCTATGAAGACAGAGCAAAGTATACCTTCTCCTTCTCCTTCCTTCTCTGCTTCTCTTCTTCCTTCTTCCGGGCCTCCTCTTCAGCTTTCCGTTCTTCCTCTTCGATGCGCTGGCGTTCCTCTTCCTCCTTACGCCTGACTTCCTCCTCGAGACGCTTCTTCTCCTCCATCAAAGCTTTCAGCGCGCTAATGCCTGCTGCACCCTTCTTCTTGGCGGGGGCGGGAGCGGCGGGCTCTTCATCCTTCTTGGGCTTCTTCTTCTTCTTCTTCTTCGATGCAGCGCCACCGCTAGTAGCACCTTCACCTTCACCTTCCTCCTCCTCTTCATCTGGCTTTTCAGCAGGCTCTGATGCTGCAGCTTCTGGAGCGGCCTCTGATGCCGCGGCAGGCTCCAGTGGCTCTTCTTGAGCAGCTTTCTTCGCAGCAACTTGTGCCTTCTTCTTGGCCTGTTTGATCAGACACTGTGAGCCGACAATGGGAAGTGTAAGGCACAGTGATACAAACCTTTTCGCGCTCCTTTTTCAGCCTCTCTTTCTCCTTTTTAGACAACAGCTTTGGACCAGTATCTTCCTCCTCCGCTTCTTCGACTTGCTCGGCGCCCTGGGAATCTGCTTCCTCTATGCGAGGAGCAGGGGCAGGAGAAGCTATGGTATCGATAAATACTTGCAATCCCATAACGAATATATTGTTGGGGCGTACCTTCTCGTATTTCGTCCTCAGCCTGGTCGTCGCTCTTGACCTTACTGCCCCTTCCCTTCTTTCCTTTCTTGCCTTTGACTGGACCCCATTCTTCATCAGCGAGATCCTCCGCCGTTACCTTCACTGGCTGTTTTGCGTCTGCAGCTTCAGTGACGTCCTCTGAGTCCTCTGGTGGCGGAGATTCCGGGAGACCTTTCTTGGTCTTCTTCTTGTCCTTCTTTCCCTTTGTTGTAGATGCCTTGAGTACGGACTAACGGCAGGATCAGCAACTGTGTTGACGAGACCTTTCACGACAGACACACCATCAGCCCACCAAAATCTTCCTCTTCCTCCTCTGCAGCGGGTTCTTCGGGTCCTACGGCAGTGAAGGCTGAGAAGCCTGATCTGCTTTTGGTCTGTGAAACAAAATCGTCCCCTTCATCGTCGTTAGTAGCAAGGTTGTTGCCTGCAATCGAAGTGCCCGCGTTCTCCCTGATCAGACGATTAACGAACATACCATAGTGCACCAGATGCATTCACGTACCAGAAATCGTCGTCGTCCTGCTTTTTGCCTTTTTTACCTTTGTTCTTGGGAGCCATTTTGACTTATCGACCTGATAAATGAATGTTTAGGGTCGATATGTCGGCAAACAGAAGGCGAGATGGAGGAGATGGGGGTGCGGGTCCAAAATCGCTTCAGCTTACACGGTGAGCACTTCGCCCGCTGCCGCATCATGATTTAAGCGCGATATGGCGCTAGCGACCCAGCCCGCGTGGGGGCACTGCGGCAGACAAGAGCTGTGAAGCTAAACGCTTATATTGAACTCTTACCTCGGCTTCAACCGCCCTAACAATCATGGGCCTATTGACTATTATCAGGAAGAATCGTCAAAAAGAGAAAGAGATGCGTATCCTGTTTTTGTGAGGAGCAAACCAAATATCATTTATGTAAGTACGACTTAAAGCATCAGAGGACTCGACAATGCAGGCAAGACGACCATCTTGAAAAAGCTCAACGGGGAGGATATAATGGGGATCAGTCCCACCCTAGGCTTCAACATCAAAACTTTTATGCACGGAAAGTGCGTCGATAAACACACTTTATCTTTCCCCAGCTAATACAGCAAGCTGTTGATCAGATACACCCTTAACGTCTGTCAGTGTGGCGTAACCACGCTCGCTTCGCATCATCTCCTCACGTCATAATTAGGGGATGTCGGGGGTCAGCGAACACTGCGACCCTACTGGCGGAATTATTTCGAGCAAACCGACGCGATAGTCTGGGTCGTCGACTCCGTCGATCGTATGCGCATGGAAGATTGCAAAGCAGAGCTTCACAGCCTTCTGCTTGAAGACGTCAGTCATAATATTCCTTCTGTCTCAAGTCGCTGACGATCCCGGCAGAGGCTATCCGGCGCATCCCTATTGATCTTAGCAAACAAACAGGATATCCAAGGTTCCATGTCGACACTGGAGACACAAAATGTGATGCTCTAACCTGCCTCCGCGCAGCCTATGCCGACATGCTGACTAGCATCCGTCTAGGCCCTGAATTTGCCCTCTATCAGGTCACACAACTGGAAAATCATGCCTTGCAGTGCCCTCACCGGGGAAAACCTAGTCGAAGGGTTGGATTGGGTGGTCGATGACGTTGCGCAAAGAATATATTACAGCGCCACCAGCGACTCTAATCGTTGAAAGTCTTAAAGTGAGCCAAAAGTAGTGATTATCTCGTGTATCTTTTCTACTTACGTACACACCGTCTAGCCAATCCGAACACATGGCATGAACGAGCGAAACCTGGTATCAGAAACAGGATGGCACATGCTTTCTCACAGACAAAGTTCCCAACTACTGTCGTGGTTATGGTTCTTACGTTGCATGGGAGCCGACAGGTTGCACATGGTGTGATAAGAAGCCTAGATTCGGACTGTTCCCCACTGTACGTTCCGTGACTAGGTACTGACAACGTGGGCATTCGGAGCTAGGCTTCAAGCATCCCCTTGAACCCCGCCCCCGGTCGGCGGGGAATCCCCGCTGCTCCGTAATGTCATCTCAGTCAACTTATGTCGGTTACAGAGCCATGCAAGGACGTAGCTTCAATGACTTGGGTGAGATATAGACATGCTGTCGGCATACCAGTATGTCGAGAGTGTTCGGCAAAGTCGCGGTCGGAAAGAGCCCCGTTTAATAATGTTATGCAGCTGACCCGCAGCTGTACAGTGGACTTGCATAGCATTCTCTTTCGATGAGGCACAGTACCTCGTTGCGGAGAGAAAAGGAGACACACAGAAAGCCTTCTAGGAACTAAGACCATGCATGCCAGACCACGACTGGCCCCTTCGGCCGTCGAGTCGGTGTGAAATTGCCGCCTTGTTCCGCTTGTTCCGCTTGTTGCTTCTGATAGGGTTGCTAATCCTCTCACAACCTGCCGGCAGCGAACGACCATTCACTCCCCAATATTCTCCAGTCTCCAGCAGCTTCGCGGGAGAAAACGAGGCGCCGCAGCCGTGAAGCTTTCAAGACTATTCTCATCGCCCCTTCTTGTTCGGCAGCTTTCAAATTGCAAGCTCAAGCTTAAGCCAGAATCTGTGAGAAGTGTGGCGTTAAGCGTGAAGCGTGAAGAAAGAAGCTAGTTGTATTGAGAGAAGTGTAAGCGGTATCCAAGGTACGACTCTCATACGCAGCCATGTTCGATATGAACGGGATCACATGGATCAATGTCGTGCATCATTTTCATGAACAGAAAAAGGATCCAGCTATTCCCGCTTCGGGCGTGGATCGCTCGCAGCGGATCAGGAACGTTCGAAGACATTTAATGTACATAGGCGCAACCGTCTCAAGCCGTAGGACAATCACCCTTCGGGGGATGTGAGCAAGGGAAGCTACGAACATGGAGTGTGAACGTACCGCTCGAATGAAGGTTAGCATGTGACAAGTGATGTAACCTCTGGCGAAACCTTCTCCTGCGTAAGCGAAGAGGTATTCCCACTTGCGCTTGAACATGGCGTAGGTGGCGGCGTTACATAGAGCGGGGATTTCTTTGGCGACGACTTCTTGTTTGAGATCATTCTCAAGTCGACGACCCCACGTTCTCAAGGTACGAGGATAATCTAACGGCTGTTAAAAGCTACTACGAAGGTGTAAAAGAAAAGGGGCGTACGAGCTGCGTGGTTTTCGACGCCCTCGAGGGTGAAGCGGCCCCGAGACGATGTCTGAACGGCTTGCACTAGTACGGTCGCAGATGGTAGACATGAATTTGGCCACATATATTTGCGCATAAAATCCTCCGCCCTAGGCTGACTTAACATGCAAAACAAGGAGTGCAACAATTTCAGCGCTTACTGGTATCCCGTGTACCGGCCCTCCGGGAAGGTGGATGAACTGACCACAATAGTCGCATTTTTTGGTTTGAGGGCGAAGTCTACCAGCTTGAAGTATTGCCGATAGTGCTGTTCGGCGTGTTATCTCTTAGCTGCCGTCGGTGCTTTTACGAAACTCACCTGAGAGCCGACGTGTTCTAGCATTTCGATGCTGATGAAAGCATCAAAAGCTTGCTCGAACTCCGCAGGTATATCCCGGTAGTCCATCAGGTGGACTCGGACGCGTCCTTCTAGACCTGCTGCGTGGATTCTCTCTTCGGCAAGCTTCTTCTGCTCGGCGGACAGCGTTAAGCTATCGACTTCGCAGCCATACGTGCGAGCGGCCTAGTCATGGGTTTAGCTCGAGCAGACTTGAAGATTTGAGGTTTTTATATATATATAAAAACAGAAAAAACTGCACCTCTATCGCTAGACCACCCCACCCTGACCCGAATTCCAAAATACGATGTCCTGGTCGTACTCTTGCCTTCGTAAGGACATAGCGGATCTTTCGCAGCTGCGCGGCCTCTAGATCCCTCGAGGTGGGTCTATCAGTAACGTCGCCATTCACACCCCCCTCTTCTGGGCCCCACAGAGCGCAGGAGTACATCATCTCCTCGCTCAAGAATGCCTGTGGATTTCCCGATAAACGACATGGCCTAGCCCCGGCGTTATGAAAGTCGCACCTTAAACAGCTCGTTTGATTGATCGTAGCTCGCCATGGCATTCAAACGGGCTTGAGACCGGGTCTGTCCGAGAAGTGCGTTTGACAGGCCGGACAAGACTGAGTAGGCTTGGCCCAGTCTGGACGACAGAGAAGCCATTTCAGATTGGTTGTCGAGCCACAGCTGTCAACACGTAAGATGAGGTGCTCACAAGCACAGTCGTCGGACTTACATCCATGGCACCCTTGAGGTTGTCTATCTCAATGGCACCCACCATGTAGGCCTCGCTAACTGTGAGAGGACAGATGAGCCACCGAAGCGCGCGGTCCTAAAAAAGGGCTTACATCCAAGGTCGCCAGACCTTTAAACATGGCTCAGCGAGACCAACTTCGAGGATTATTTGATTTGGTACTTACAAAAACACTTTCAGCCAAAATTCCTCTTGGTGTACGCGTATCCGCACAGAGGTCTCAGACTTTGAATCATGGCCGTACTCGAAAGTACCAGTGGGATCCTCGATGCAGAGGTGTCCTTTCTTGATAGCATTCGATAAGAAGGCTCGAATGGATGACCTAGCTGCACGCCATGAGTGAGGCCATGAACGGGTGTCGTACCAGAGCGCACTTACCAAAGCCAGCGAACCATTCGTGAGGTGATGAGAAGGTGAGCGTCAGGTATGAATGCAAGGCTCTGCGGCAGTTAGATGGTAACGTCAAAGCATATGACGACGACATATTATGGGAAAACTCGGGGACGAGAAATGTTGAGCTCTGGGATTGCTCTTGAACGGTGGGCAGTAGGCTTTTTATACCAGCAGTCCAGTGAGAACTTGCCGTGCCGAAGAGCACACGGCCCGCACAGTTTCCTGCATTCGAGATACGACGCATGATGGTAGAGTGACTGCGCAGCTATTAGGGTCATGAGCACACTCTGCTTGCAGACGTGCGGAGTAGCTCTGTTTGGATGGTCACAGGTCGCGAGAGATGCATCGGCGTATGCACCATGGCCCATGGGAGTCTGTCGTATGGTATAGTGCAGCGCGGCTCTCATAAACCGCGCGAGGAAACAGAAGAACCGTGAGCACTACGTCGCACGCAAACAACCCACTCGGACCCTGTTGCAAGATGACATCGCTTCGCCCAAACGAAGAGTAATGGCGATGAAAGGTGATGGGATCCGGAATCTGTGCTCGAGGAAAAATCACTAAGGCAGAGGAGTAGCCGTAGAGAACCGCTTTCGTGATATCATCGGTTATAACGGGGTAACCGAAGCAGGTTTACGACGGCATGAGAGAGGTCGTTGCCAGGCCCGAGACCATGGAACGTCCAAGCGAGGCAGGGTTCGGGCCCTGCATATGTTGCGAAGACGATACTTCTCCGCCCTGGTTCGAAATCACACGGTGTAGTGCCGACCAGTCCTCGAGGCAAAACCGAAGCTGGGAGTGGGTAAACAAGGAACCACGGCGGTTTTCAGGGTCTCAGCTATTTACGAATCCGGTAGTTCGCTTTGTGGCGTTCTCACTCGATTCGAGCCGATGTACTGTTTCCGGAAGAGGCTCCCGACATGTTCGCGTTATGTCCTGGAAAACTTGTTCCACTGTTTCATTATTAGGGCCTAAAGACACCCAGATACTTACACTCCTTCGATGCCTGCCGGATCCCGCCGTTCGAGAACTCGTACATGTACAGTGCGGCACTAGATCATGTGGTAGTGACCCTCGCTGCATAGGTGCCCAATGTCCCATGGCTTGTTGACTTGAAAAACCTCTTGAGAGATCACCGCCGGCTTCTAGCGCGGCTGAACGCAAACTAGGGTTGGCATTATGTCGGCCCAAGAATAGCATCCGACTCCCATATACGCCGACACGACGCATGTCAGGCAAGTAAATATTTGCCAAATGGCTTTTCTCAGCGTGCGACGATTGTTGTTTGCTGGCATAAGATACGTCATGCCGATAGCTTTCGAAGACGACGCACATGGGGGGTAGTGGATCAGTCATTGTGACCAATCTCAACGGGAGAAATGAAAGCTCAGCATGTGCTGCAGCGCACTCCACCATCCGAACTAGTTGCCGTCTACTGGGTTATGTTTATTGCGAGTTTGGGGTTTTCTGCTTTCATCTCGCATGGATATATGCCACCGAAGGGTGCACAGCTCATGACTGGAATACTCCCACGGCCCGGCTAAGTCAACGCAGCTCTTGGCTATATCCGTAACTCAACATTTGGCTCTGAGGAGCAGGTACTATTGATATCAATTGAATTAGGACCCTCGAACCTTACTTCATCTTGGGCAAGCACAGCCATCGCCGATTACCTTAAGAAAGGGGATCCGCAGTCTACCTTGACCGAGATTCACGATTAGGAACGACTCAATCATGTCGGGAGTCTCCAGCCGGACGTAAATCAGTCTCTCATAGCGGGCATTAACGAGACGCGACGCGACGCGGGTCTCCGCATGGGAAACTTCATTATGTCTCTTCAAATGCCTAAAACGAGAGCCCGGCAAACCGCAAGGCAGACCCATGGGAAATACTATACCGAGCCGCACGCAGTGTGGATCCCAACATGAAGTAATGCAGTATTCCACTGCCTATTGTCGCAAGCACCTGTTGTATTGAGCCAGCCGCTCGGCCTTGCTCGACGGATCTTCACCACAAGCCTAGTAACGTTGAGATGTTATCAATTCTTAGGCTTGGCACGCGCTATATACAGCTATATATTGTGTTGTTACGACACTAGTATCCGTGGACCACCCAATTGCTGCCAACGAAGCGTCGACATCATGTTACAACCGTTCTAATGAACGGCTCCGTGGTCTATGTGATAGATAGGCATGCATCGGTCATGAGGTCGTGTTCACAGCGGTGGCTGCCGATGTCCTCGAGTTTTCCCTCTCACGATATCGAGCAATATGCCACGGGCTTTCTGAGGCCTCGACCGGTCGTTCTAGTCTGAGTTTGACCTGCTTTCTACATCAAGTCCGCTCTACTCTGAGTCACATTGCGGCCGTGGCCGTGGCAAGCCGCATGGGAAGCCAGGAAGTAAGGATTTTCCTCATTAGTGACTGGCCATACGGTGGCCCTGAAATTGTCCAAACACGAGGTCTCCCGCAGTACCGTCTGCGAACGTAAACACGATTTTCGGTTTACATATCTGCAAGCAATCTCTCGACTACTTCCTCATTGTTCCTCCAAAGTCGCTCCTTGTACCTTCGCAAATCCGCCGGATCTCGTACCCAACCTCCGTTCACCATCTCCCGCATGTCATTGACCAACGCACGTAGGGGCGGGAATAGACCCATCACGCCGTCTGGATCTTGCTCCAGAAAGTAACTCAGGCTCCCGGTGCGCAAGGCGAGCAGAGCCTGAACTTCCGACATCGCCGCCGGTCGTGTGACGACCGCTCGGTCATCGTCGATATACCCGTACGCTTTCCGCATACGCCGAGTCGCCAGGATGGGCACCTGAATAACGGTAAGGACTTTCGAGGGTCCGAGAGCTGAAAACACGCACGTCCAATTCGACCGCCATTGCGACCGTTGAACTGGCTTGGTGCTCATAGTCTAGACCGCATGGTGAATCAGCGTGAGGCGCTGCGTGTTATCTTCAATGACTCACATCCGTTGTCAGCGAAAGCCGGAACGACGATATCCATACTTGCTACCAGATCGTAGAAATTTGCGTAGTCTAGCCCCCGATGGATGCTGACCATATATGCCAATTCCTGTGGCACTTCGAGAGACCCAGAGCCCACCAAAGCGAGTTCAAATGGCGGAACTAGGGACTGATAATTGGGGACGAAGGAAGCGCGGTCGCTTAATGAGTTGTATCCCCAAGCTTCGGGGTTCCCTGCGTGCACGTCGTCAGATAGGCCTGAATCGCAGCAGATGCCAGCAGATCTCACTGTGCAACGATCTAATCAACTCGTCAAAAAAGTTGTAGTAGCTGCGCCTTGTGGTATCGAACGACCCTTGAATGACTGCACGCGCGAGGGATCGGTTTGCTGACTTTGCAGGAAGACCAGACACGTCCAAGACAGGAATATGCAAATCGATGGGGATATACTCGTAGCCTCCACCACCCAAAGGTTCCTCAGCAATCTCCTCAAACATGTTGCGGAAGGACTTCCCCACGCTATCATGACACCACTTAGATTCATTTGCACTCGAGATAATTGCTCACTTACTGTTCACCAAGGGTGACAAGGCGAATAGCCCCGCGACGAGACCACTCGCCGATGTTAGCCTGCCAAGGGGTATCTTGCACGTTGTGTACCATGCAAACCAGTTTGAACTTCTCCTCTGGCGCACGCTTGTCCCACTCGTCGAGCAACGCAGAATGTATCTGGTTCAAGCTACAATGCGTAAGCCAGCGTTTTACTGAGCATACATGATACACGTACTCGATTTCGCACGTACCGAGAACGACTGTGTCGACGGTGGTGTTACTCTGAATATACGACAACAACTCCTCCGGATCCCGACGTACTCCATCGTAGAGGCCGTATTCACCAACGACGGCCTCGAATCCGTAGTAGAATGGGGCTGCGAAGAGTTCAATCTGTGCTTGTGGAACTTGCATCAAAACGCGCTTCAGCGTCCACGCCAGGGTCATGTAGACGTCAAAATGAAACCCGAAGAACGAAGCGACCAAGACGTGTTTCCGCTTAATTAGTGTTGTCGTAGTCTCTTGAGTGGAAACTTGGGCCTCTATAACTGCAATATCGTGGCGAGAGTCAGAAAGTCGGAGACAATACTCTCCATCTAGCGCTACACTAGATGGCGATGCAGGGATGAGCTGGTTCCATTCGATGTCTATCACGAAAGTTGTGCAGACAACTAAGAGCACTAGGAAGAACGGGCAAGCCCAGACGACAGAGCGACGCGTGGCAAGGACCATCTTTATCGAGGTGCGATCTGGGAGGACGGCCTAGCACCAGATAACGGCGAGCGGGGATGTACGTCCCTCTCGCAACTCAGGCCATATATGAGAGCAGATGCCGAGGAGGCATTGCATATCCGATCGTCTAGTCAAAGTTTTGATTCAATGGTGTCTTGGCTAGCGGCACGCCATGGGGCGAGCTCTGTCATTGCGATCGCG